AAAGCTGCAGGCGCCGTCTGCCAAAATGCCACCATCGATGATCATGGGACCGCAATCTCGACGGATCAGCCGAGGCAGGATCGATTTCAGACGGTTGCTCCTACGAAACACAAACTCCAAATGGGGAGAAGGCCGAAATAGAGAACGATAAATGATGATAATGATATGTCAATCCAACAAGTTTCATGTTCCAAGCCCGCGGATTTTTTCACAAAAAACTGGGACTGCTCGATATCGCGATATCTCAGCGGTCTCAGTCCATTTCAAGCCATCTGAGGCCAACTTCTGGGTTGCTAATGTGGCCATGGCAAACCCTGGCGATCACATTTTCTTCAGCATGACTTTTGTTTTGACTCCCAGGTTCCGCGTTTGACAGCATCAGCAATGTTGGCTGGCTGCCTCTTGAAGGACCTGATGTGATGACAAGTATGTAGCATCAACCGGGTGTTGAGCTTGCAAAATGCGGTGAAACATTATAGGAGTCCGAGTCCAAATTGGTTGGCTCGAATTTTGGGCCTTAGGTGCAGGGGATCGGCAGCAACCATGAAATGGTTTTCGTCTGTCAATCTCTCGCGTCTTTTCATTCATTTCTTATATTTTCCCCATTAGACTTGCGAGGTCTTTTAGGTGGCTCCGTGGCCGTATAGCAGCCAAAGCTGTTCTGCCATTAGAGCCAGAGCATGCATTTTTGGAGTGGGAAAGGGCCGGGAACAAGGCAGGACTCGAGGTGCATAGCGACAAATCTTTGGCTAAACATGCTATAGCAGTGATCCCAACCTCAGTCTGTGGAAGTTGAGATGGGTCCACTGCTTGATACGCGGCTCTTTCCGGCTCAGATATTTATTCATAGCCCCTCGATGTCACCTTTTGGATCCTGGTTTTGATTTTGAACAAATATAAATATACATCAAATATACTGCAATGACTCAGCCAGAGATGGTGTGTGCTGTGGTTGTGACCGATGTGGAGGGGATGTGTGTGCCCGGCTGGGTTGTACATTGCCACTGAGCGCAATGTGCAGCCTTGGGAAGGTGTCACACTTTATATCCGGCAGGTCCAATCTGTTGCGTTGTGCTAAGTCCAACGAGCTGCTGAAAATTCGAACACATCTGACAAAGTGCAGGGAAGTCTCAGCCATGAATTGTAGCGTTCCGAACGATGTTCCTTGATGTTCACCTTTGATTTCCGTGCGGCAATTTGCATCAATTTGCCACGGTCAAAGCAAAAAATGTCCTGGGAAACATGGCAGAGCCTTCCAGTAGCTGGTTTAAGTTTACCTTAACCTACACGGAAAACAGGTTGCACGGAGGAGACGGGGCGGAGAAGTCCGATGCCTATGGGTTTGTCTGAAAATTTGGGGGTCCCAATCGTTTCTCGGTTGATCAGCACCCTTTGAAACTGTCAAGCTGGCATAAACTGAAAGAATCTGGCCATTCAACGGGAATCCCCCATCGTTATCCCCCAAAGAATTATTCATTTCCGAACATCCCCAATCTATCCCAATCTCATGAATCTCCAAGCAGGCAGCAGTTTTCGGCTCGAGACATGGGCCCCTTGGAGCGGTTGCTACTTCTGGGCAATGATGGATCGCCTGTTCAGGCCTTGCTGCAAGATTGCTTTCAGATAGTAACCATTAATGTAACCGGTACATTCATGGTTACTGGTTTGTTTTCATATTTAAATTTTAATAGTTGATTATGTGTTAAATTTTATGCTATAGTTAAATTACTTTACTTCGCGTGATCCCCACCATGACATTTATACATTTTGTTACTGGCAAATCTTCTGGCATTCTATCTGACATTTTATCTGGCATTCTATCTGGCATACCTTCTGGCATTCTATCTGGCATATCTTCTGGCATTCTACCTGGCATATCTTCTGGCATATCTTCTGGCATTCTATCTGGCATTCTATCTGGCATTCTATCTGGCATATCTTCCGGGATATTATTTGGCAAATCTTCTGGCATTCTATCTGGAAAACCTTTATCTGGCATACCTTCTGGCATTCTATCTGGCATTCTACCTGGCATATCTTCTGGCATATCTTCTGGCATTCTATCTGGCATATCTTCTGGCATATCTTCTGGCATATCTTCTGGCATTCTATCTGGCATTCTATCTGGCATACCTTCTGGCATTCTATCTGGCATATCTTCTGGCATTCTATCTGACATTCTATCTGGCATATCTTCTGGCATATCTTCTGGCATTCTATCTGACATTCCATCTGGCATATCTTCTGGCATTCTATCTGGCCGTTGAGGTCCAGCGGTGCACACTGAGCTGGGCAGGTCCCAGGTTGAGGTCCAGCGGTGCACACTGAGCTGGGCAGGTCCCAGGTTGAGGTCCAGCAGTACACACTGAGCTGGGCAGGTCCGCGGTTGAGGTCCAGCGGTGCACACTGAGCTGGGCAGATCCCAGGTTGAGGTCCAGCAGTGCACACTGAGCTGGAACGGTCCCAGGTTGAGGTCCAGCGGTGCACACTGAGCTGGGAAGTTGGCAAAGAGCTTGGCGCAGAGAGTCGGCGAAGAGAGTTGGCAAAGAGCTGGGCGAAGAGTTGGCAAGGCGGAAGTGCAGGTGGAAGTTGATGCAGACATGGTCGAGGAGAAACTGGAGGAGGAGGCGAGGAGGAGGACGAGGAGGAAGAGGACAGCTAGTCGAGGAGGAGGAGGAGGACGAGGAGGAGGACGAGGACGCGGAGGAAGAGCGCTCTGATAAAATCTAATTACTTTACTTCGAGTGATCCCCACCATGACATTTATACGTTTTAATATTGGCATATCTTCTGGCATTCCACCTGGTCACTGACACATCTGCAAGCAAGCCATTGCGTTCTTTTTGCTCTGTGACTTGCTAGCCGGTCTGCCGCTTCACTCTAGAATGTCACCTGGCATCACCGCTTGCAGTTCAGGCTGCAAAACAAACATGCCAAGACATGTTGGAGTTCACCTGCATCACTCATGTCATGTCGCCTGCAGTGCAGCTTGAAAAACAAACATACCAAGACATGTTGGAGACCACCTGAATCACTCATGTCATGTCGGCCGCAGCACAGCCTGGAAAACAAACATGCCAGATACCGGACCACCACGTGATTCAAGACCGAACTTCTGATGTACACTGTGCTGCTCTCATCTGCTCTCGAAACCGACACAGCTTTCCCACTATCACAAAACAAGATCAAGTTGATTCTGACATGATGAACTCTCATGAAAAATGTCATTCTCATACGCCACCTTACCCTTACCCTTACAAAGCCTACAAGCAGTGCACCCGTGATCACCAGTCATCACATAGGAGCAGGATCAGCAGTCATGACAACAGCTAGCATATCTTCCACCACAAGCATTGCTTCTGCCAAGTGTGGCGATACATGCAAGTGCTCCACAGGATCCAACTGTTCCAATAGCATCAAACATCCGTGCAAGCCATGAAAAAGTCTCTGTCTAAGTCTATTCGGAAACGCTCTGAAGGTCACATAACTGTTTCGAGTATCATGTTCAAGAGTGGCAGTGAAATAGGGCCAAAGAAGCGGTAGCAATACTGGCACAAGCGCAGCAGCCCCTGGATCTTGGAATAACAAGGCCAGCCGCAGCGCTTTCCATACGTTCTGCAAATCTTCAAGTCCCGGACGCTGACCAAGAACACGAAACAGTACTTCCAATACGAAGCACGCTCGATCTGCAGCCTCTGCCAAAGGCACCCTCTGGTAAATTAACATAGACCCTGAAAATAGCCTAGTTTTAATGGAAACTAATCTTCCAACCCCTATCTGCCAGGGTCTATGTTAATTTACCAGGGGGTATATCTCTCTCAAAGCTCGCCAAAACGAATTGCAACCAGTCTTCGCACCATTCAGGCATAGCCATGGTCACAGTTAAAACAAATCAAGTGGGCACCACTGTAATTAAACATAACTAACATCAAACTATTTGGCATTCTATTAGGCATTCTATACAGTGTTGGAGCAGGCGTGCATAATGTTGATGTTATAAGTTTGCATTGGTTAGCATGATATGCTCAAAACATCTGATACACATAGCTAACTCAACCTCATGAGAAGATGCGATGCACAATTCATCGAGTACAAAAGCAAGGTTGATCAGTAGCTGCAGAGCCAAACCAAAGTAAAACCATCTTGGCATACACACCCCCGCATACACACACCCTGCAAAATACAGACAGAAAAGCAAGCAGAGACCTGATATCCAACTGCACAACACATCCTTACACTACATTCTCTGCAACTGCTCAGCATGAGAGAGATTCACCTATCTTTTCGCAATCACCATCTGGTTCGCAGTCACCGCTATCACAGGCCGACCTAGACAAAACTAGTGAGGCCACAACAAGCGCAGGATTACTGTCCATCATAGGCAGGCCACGACCGGAGGCGTTCAAAGGTCAAAGCAGCTTTGGCTTCCAATTTGTCAGTAAGTTGCCGCAAATACGGCGGAGGGCCCCTGCGCAGAAGCTCTTCTACTTGGTCCGTAAACCCCAGCAAGATCAAATGCTCCAATTTCCTACCACGTGTCAGCATGACGTAAATGGCGAGCCACCAGTCAGAATCCTCCAACCCGCCTGCACGACGTAAGTCCAGCACCACTCCCCCATCCAGAGTCAAGCCTTGAGCACCATAAGCAGTATACAACATGCCATGCAAAAGAGGAAATTGCCAGCGAATCACTTCGATTTTCTCTGTTTCATCGCCAATCTTGAGATCAATTTTGAAGTCAGCATGAACCAGTTCCACGAAGAACAAAGTTTTGGCATCTGCTGCGTGCTCCGTCACATCGGAAAATTCTTCTTCCCATTGCTGCAGCAATGCTTCTTCCATGGGCGAATTCTGTCCTTTCAGCAACTTGACCCAGATACCTTTCGCCATGAACTCTGGAAAGAACTGGCGAAAGCCTGGCTCTAGGTTTGCCAAGCGTTTCTGATCAGCATGATGCAAATACCTTCACGCCCACAGCCAACTTATCCTTGACCAGGAGAAACTGGAGGAGGAGGCGAGGAGGAGGACGAGGAGGAAGAGGACAGCTAGTCGAGGAGGAGGAGGAGGAGGACGAGGAGGAGGACGAGGACGCGGAGGAAGAGCGCTCTGATAAAATCTAACAACCCTCACCTGGCAGGTGGGGAAATAACATATAGATATATATATATAGTTACTCATGGGTCTTATACTTCTAGTTTTATGTTTTTTGCAATTTGGATTCTTTGTCCCTTGGGATTTGCCCAATTTTCTACCAGGTGAGCAGAGTTTTGGCCACAGAGCTGCAAACATGGAAACGATCGCCGAGGAAGGCCTGACCGTTGATGGAAAAAAGTTGGGGTGATATTCCTACACACATGGGGAAAGCATTCAATAGTTACACATATAGCTGTAGGGCTTACATCATGATATATCACATCTCCCAACTTTTGGAGGTTATATAACTTATAGTAATAAGTTATATAATTGATATATACATGTTGGTTATACATATATAATAGTATTTTACCATGGTTTATATCATTTAACATGGGGTTCCTTGCCAGGCCACCACGGTTCTCAGCAAACTCGCCAAAGAAAAGTGGCTGGGAGCAGCGCGAAGGAAAGTCGTTGTGAACTCATCACGGTTGGTATTTTACCTTACCCTCTGGTAATTTAACATAACTATGGAAAATTACCATTTATAGATGGTTTAACCCATTAAAAATTGTGATTTCCCATAATTGGTTATGTTAGTTTACCAGAGGGTATGCTCAAATGAATCTTAAAGTCCTGCTGGAAATCAATGGTTTCATCATGATCCAAAGAGATCAAACAGCTGCTCCACGAGACTTTTCAATACTTTTGATTTTTGATGTTGCTTAGGAAGATTTCAGCAGTGAAGAGTGACTAGCAATTCAAATAGTTTTGCATCCATTTGGACAAACTGTCATCAAAATCATTGTAGCAATTCTATTGAATCCACCCAGAATGGCAGAAACTGCCGCAAACTGTGCCCAAAATGGTGCCCTCCAGGTTGCCAGACTTGGCAGTGCATGTGCTGGAGGTCATGTTGCTCGGCTGACCTCCCTGTGACACAAGATTAGATTGATCAAATGTGCAGTGCTGAAATGACCAAACAAATGCATGCTCTCATCTATTTTTGCCTGTTCTTTGATCTATTCATTTATCCAAATCTTATCAAATCTTGGTTTTTAAGTTGCATGTGATATATATATAGTATTATTTGTTTTGTTATTGTGTTACCTTGTGTTACCATATGTTACCATATGTTACAACCGTATTTGGGATGATTGTTTTTCCTGGTGCGTTGAAACCACCAAGCAGCACGTCACCGCACTCCGTTGCGCCCAGGAGGAGCAACGCTGTGGAAGTGAATTCCATCCATGTCAGCTCTTCCGACGAATTAGCGAAACATTAGCGATGCATCAGCCAAAGTTATCCGTAGTTAATCAATGTTAATCATATAGTTGATCATAGTTATCAACCCCAATTTGCATGGCATTCTTTATGTATTTGTTGAATGGGAAAATGTGAATCGTGAACTTATGTCGATTTTCCAGAACTCTTATTTGTGCCAGTTGGTGCCCCAAGTTTGACCTATGTCCGGTTGACCAGTGGGTTGTGTAAACAATAGCCAATAGCGTATCTAGTTGGAAAGGGAACCGCACCATACCAAGCCTGGAGAAATTTGTGACCTGAATCATTTTGATCATTTGGCCAATTTGTGAGGCAAATTTGGGATCCAACTTCGATCATGTTGCGCTTTGATCTAAAAGCACAATATATCAACATATTATTCTGCAAGTGAACTTTTGCATGATGTGCATCAGTGGCCATTATATAAAATATAAAAGAAGCCTTTCCAATGGGATCAGCATGCCAGGTACAACACGGTTTCATAGTTGGATGGATTATGAGGGAACGGCTGTTGCACCAAAGATGGGAGGGCACACTAGTACGGAGCAGGGGGCACCAGTCCACAAGGGGCTCTGGCAAGAGTGACTTAAAACCAACTTCCGCAAAATACGGTTGTCCCGAACCTGTCCTCCGAGAAAAAAACGCAATTCTGTCATTCTGTCGCGATAATTGCTGTCTGTATATGTGCAGTCTGTTGTTTCCTTTTGTTGCAATTCCCATTGCCCTCTGACTTCTTCTGCTTAGGGAAACTCGCATCAGCTGAGATCTAAGTCTCTCCTCTCATGTTGATCTGGGATGGTGAACACCTCAGGATGGGAACCAAAACAGCTGTTCAAATATGAAGCACTATGAAGCAGACCAAAATCCAAGACTCTCTCTCATCATTTTCCACCCATATCTACTGTATACATATTATATATAATATTATATATATAGCGTTTATCACATATATACATACATATAGATGTACATATGAATAATCGCACACATATTCCTCCAGGTTCTCATATGTTGTCATACATTGGGTTTCATATTAGGTGCAGTGGTCGCCGCAGCAGCTCGTTGTGGTCAGTGGATGTTGGCGCTTCAACTGCTGCGGAGTTCGGAACTCTCCAGGGAGCCAAGTGTCGCCCGGAAAAGTTCCGCATGGTAGAACCACCATGGTTTTGCCATGTTTTGCCCGAACTGAAAAGGAAGATTTGAGCGGAGTATAGTTGTTAAATGGAACAAGATATATCCAGGTATAGATACTAATACTTTCTTATGATCTTCCTGAAAGCCAATCCAAAGATAAGTTGCTGGCCCTGTTTCCTTTGAATGTCTTAGTCTTGGCGGTTTGCCGGCAATTCTTTGGGTGGCAGCGAGATGGGACCAAGGTTTTTGCCTGGAATGCTGCCATCACAGCATGTGAAGCAGGCTCAGCTGTTTCATGGGTGAACCCCACGGCTTCAAGCGTTGCAACAAATGGGTGGGTCCAAGAATACACCGCATCCACTGAGAAGCTAACTTAACCATTATTAACCGTTGTATTATATAATATTCTCCATTCAATTGGCAGTTTGCGAGAATGCCAGGTACAGGTGCACCCCATGTTCAGACACACGAAAAGGGTGCCTCCTGCAGTGCTACGCACCTAGCCCCCCTTGAGCTAAATGTGGGCCTCCGGCCACTTGCCACTAGGGAGGAGGGACACATTTGGGTCACTTGGGTACCGACCCACGGAAAACAAACACCACACAAATATATATATGTCACCGCATATCCATGTCCATACTTCAACCACACAGGTGTCTCTCAAAATGTGGCATTCCCCCCAAAGGGGCGCAAATTATGGGGATGCGATGATAAACCAATGAATGGGTGTACCCCTGGCTGAGTTCAGGAGATGAATGGGAGCGCGCCTTGCTCCTTTTGGACTCCATGCCTGCTGCAAGCATCACACCTGACCACGTAAGCAGCTCACCCAAAATGTGCTGATCGTGGACAGTCGGGGATTCTGCTCATGGAGGTATAATTAGACTAATTAGACTTCCAGCTTGTGTTTTCTGGTCGTTCAGAGCCTTGCTGTCAAAACATTTGCTCAAGCTAAGGCAATCCTCCCCATCACCAACCCAGCCATCCAAGATTCTGATTCATGGCTGAGTGGTCCCTATGTTTGATGGTGTTTGATGGTTTAATCATGTTGAATCTCCATTTGGCAAAGACAAACTCCATTTTTGAGGGCTAAACTATGGTAAACTTATTTTGATTAGGGTCAGGCTCTTTGTTTAGTCCCGGAATTTCAGGCATGAACGCCGCCATCAGTGCCTGCAAGAAAGGAAGCAACTGGCTTCTTGCTACCAATTTTCTCAGGAGCGCAATGCAGTTCTCAAAAACCAGAAATGCAGTTCCACATGCTCGAATTTCGATCGGGGAAGAGCTTATGATCGAATATAATTACTTATATATGTGTAAATGTCCATCCTGTGTTTTTGGAAGTTTTGGCTCGCGCAGCTGGAGTTTCATGCCCGGATGAAGATTTCAGTACCACCGCAAAGTACGCCAGCCAACGCAAATGCACTTATACTTCCCCTGCGGCACTGTTTGGAAGATGCTTGGAAGGAGCTTTGATGGTGACGTCGTGAGTTATGGAACGGCAATCAGCGCGTGCGAGAAGTGTGGCATGTGGGAATCGGCTTTGGTTTTGGCTCAGGAGATGCAGGCTCGCTACCTATTGATGTCATTGTATGTTTGTTCATGTTCATGCCGCAGGCACTGTGTGGACTCTATATATACGCATCACTGCACATCACCAGTGACACCCATAGGCAGCCATGTTTGCTTGTGAGGCAGGCCGCATCTCATTGGACTTGGTGAGTGTTTTGGCTGACTAAAGTCAGGGTTGGAGCAGCAGAGCCCAGGGGATTATGGATTTGAGGTTACAATGCCACCATGAGTGCCTGCGAAAAAGGCCAGGCATGGCAATATGCACTAGGCAGGGCCTGGTGTCAGACCCAATGATTGCGCACATGGCACTAAGATTGGTAAAGATCAAGCAGATTTGGTATGTAGAAAGGATCTCGGGTGGAAGCATTTCCTGTTTTGAGGATGTCGGGGCAAGTACAGAATGAGTTCTGGAATGGTCTGAAACTCGATGCAAAAACAGAGCCACGGGATGCCACGGGTTTGATCCGTCAGTTAAAAGATTTCGTTTGCGCAGGCCTTCTGTTTCAAATGCCAAGTCTACGACTTTTGCCCGATGTGGTCTCCTTCAATGCTGCAATTGTAGCATGTGAGCAGGGTAGCAAGTGGGAGCTGGCCCCCAGCTTGTTGCTGCTCGGACGGGTAGCCTGGTTGGGAGTGGGACGGTAGTTTGGTTATGGCGCAGTGCTTTGCAGCATTGAGTGTGTGTGAGTCCTGTGTGAGAAGCAGAATGGGACCCAGAATGGCCGGGAGCGGCATCTCATCGAGGACTGTGATGGCAGACTCTCAAGTCCCACCCGACCTCTTGACCTACAATTCCATGATTACTGCGTACGTATCTGGGGTCCAATGGGAAATGGCACTGAGTACCTTGACAGAAGCGTCCTCTCATTCGTTCAAACCAAACACGATCAGCTGCTTGGCTGATTGTGGTTGATCTGCAGAGCGGCTTTGGGCTTCGGTTGATGATCGTTGTTGATTTTTGATGGGTCCTTGGTCCTTGGTGCTTGGCGATCTGATTCTCATTGCAGTATCATCATCACATATCATTACATGTTTGTATATTATACATGCTCAGGATTTTTATTGCTACTGGTATGATGATCATCAAGTGCTGCTTTGTCAGATGTCCCAAGGCTTCAGTGCTGCGATCACTGCCTGCGAGAAGGGTTGTCAATGGGAGATGGCCCTTGATGTGCTTCAGGGCATGCCACAGGCCACCGCGACGACACGAGGAAAACATCACGCTTTAGCAAGGGTAACATAGGGATATATAGTGATGCATAGGGATACATAATCATATAGAGAGAGAGAGGGTACTGATGTACTGTAACTATCCCAATATGGCTTCACTTCAGGTTGGTGAACTATTGGAATTCATCCAGAGAAATTTTCAGAATTGTTCCAGCCAACGCAGGCGATGGCGTTGCCCAATCTGGTGAGTTTCAACGCTGCAATCAGCGCCTGTGAAAAAGGCTGGAGATGGGAGGAGGCGGTCGCAATCTTCCAAAGGCCGCCGCCTGATGGGCGAACGCTTAGCAAACTGTTCACTGTTGACTTGAATGCTCTGAATCCAAAGTGACAAAAAAAAAGTGACGTTACCATCACTGGAGTTTGCTTGAAAATGCGGTTCCCATTAAAATGTCAATTTTGGGTGGGAGTCCCCATTTGCAAATACACCCAGTGATAGTTGTTAGTACAGTTTCTGTACTTGCTGAGCCGAGCGGTGATTTTAAATGAGCATCACCATAAAATCATGTTCAAAGTCGAGCACAGAATAGATTAGCCTTTCTTTGCCACCGTTGCTGTTGGATTTGCATGGGTTTGCTGCTAATTGTTACAGGCTGCCAGAGAAGAGTTTGGTGCCAGACTTGATCAGCTACAATGCAGTCATCTCTGCTTGCGAGAAAGGCAACTCAGCCATTGGAGACAATCACTTTTTTGCCGCGGTCAGATGTTCGAGATGCGGTCAGATGTGCGAGATGTGTTTTTACATCCTGTTGACTTGTCCCTGCCGGGGAGTTTGCGTAAATCGGAAAAACATGACATTTTTTTGGGGGGAAAGTTTGTTCTAAAAAAGGCCAGTTAAATGGCCTGTTAGACGAGACAGGTGCGCAATGGAAGATGGCTTTGCATTTGCTTTTCCGAATGGATGAGGGTCAACTCTTTCCCGATGATCCTCGGAGAAAACAGACTGCAGGAAGCCGCAGCTGCTTTCCGGTACCCAAGGCCCTTAGGCCAACTTGTATACTAGTTCCGCAAATCAGCTTGCTGCAACAACTGACCAAGCCTTTGTGTCATTGTGGCCTAATGAAGATATGAAGATGTCTAAAATGGGTTCCACATGTTGCCATGGCAAGCGTTCAGTTCGCTGTGCATGCGTAAGGTTTTTTTTGGGGGGTCCACAGGCCGAAATCTCCCCGTTGCCCCCAGCAGAGAAATCAAGCAGACAGAGAGGAGCTGCAGAAGATGGATGCCTCCATCTATTCATTTTCATCCGCCTTGCGATTTGTAGTTCACTTTTGGCGGTGGTGATTTTTGCATGGACAATGCATTGAAAGAGAGGAAGAAAGAGAAAAAAAAACACATAAAATCCCGTCAAGCAATCGACCATCAACAAACACCGGACACAGACTGAACGAGATTCCAAAGTACGAATAATATTTCATTCAGACCTCTCACCGGCAATCAACACCATTGAGTTTTCGACAATGGAACATTCTCCAACCAGGTTTGAACAATTCAGAATTTATTGCCAAGTCAAACTAAGGAGATCAGTTTCAACTCCGCCACTATTGCTTGTGAAAAGGCAGGTGCTTGGCAGGCCCGCACTTGATAGATGTCAGTTCTTTTGCACGTGCAACACCTATATAATATTATTATTGTTTATTATATATAATAATATATTTATATAATTATATGTATATATATATATATATGTATTGATGTGATTTAATGCGTGTGTGTGTGTTTATGCTTGTGTTGTTGCAAGCATCGCACCCACTTGCTTGGTTTTTTGCTCTATACACTTGCGTGCCTTGGATCAGGTATCTATGTAGTTTTTCGGCATCTCTATGACAGTTTTGTTTGGTAAATTATATATATATATATTCTTTATATGTCTCATGCTGACTACATGCTCATTTGTTTGTGACACAGATTCATGGGTGCAAACTTGATCTATCATCATATTTAACACAACATATCATGTATACATCTCATAGCACGCACACACACATATATTATACATATATATATATATCATATATATGTTACATATGTATATATATATATATGTATACATGAATATGTGTGTGTATGTATATATGTCTGTATCTGTATCTGTAAATGATATGCATATACATTCACCCCAACAAATCCTGCATTTGGTATCCCATTTCAAGCGCCGGTAGGCCGCCTTTCACATCCTGGAGCACATGTTGGTGCTGCAGTTGCTACCAGATGCGGTGTTTGCAGGACATCCAGAATCGCTATGCCAGTCATGTTCAGTCGCATTCCAAGCATGTCCAAGTGCATTGGAAACTTCAGCTTGCTTTTTCAACCAATGAAATTAATATAAATTAATGAATCTTTGCAGACTTTGAGTAATTTGTTAATGAATCTGAGAGATCTGACATTGATGGCTTTCAAAGGATCTGCCACAAGTGCCTTGAGGGCTGCCAGGGGCACCTTGGCTGAAGCCGATTGAAGCCGTCACACCGGGATACACCGGGCACGGAATCAGATCAGCTAAGGCCCTGTGAAAGCAACACACTTTCTGCGCTCCCTGCGACGCTTCTGGCAGCCTTGCTACGCGCAACCTCCGGATAGCCAGGAACGGAATGTTTTGGAGCAACTTCATCATGCCCATATATGATCATATATGCCCATCTTGAGCTGGTTTGCCGAAGTGTGCTTGATTTTGGCTGAGAGAGTGATTTAGATTTCAATAGCCACGACTTGGAAGCGAAAATGAGCGGATTTCATACTGCTTTCGTGGTGCGCCTCATGGCAGGCGATTGTGGCAAAAGGTGCTGGTGTCATCGCCATTTTCAAACCGGCTGGTGTTTGAGTCTCAGAACCCGGGTAGTCTCGGCTTCGTGCTACTGATTCTGGATACAGTCCGTTTCTATTCGGGAATGGCTCACAATAACATACCCCCAGGAATGGAGGGGTGAATGCTGAACATCACCAGTTTTCGTTGTCCAGGATGGCTAGCCTTTTGAGCTACCCCAAAAACGTGTCGAATTCCTTCCAGGTCACCACGGAAGACTTTGTGGCGCCACTTCGAGAGCAAAGCCAGCCAGTGGACGTCTTGCAGATTGTATCCAGGTGCCGGCGAGTGCACAGGCAACAGGCAGAACGCTTTGTTTTAGGCAGTCGCACTTCTGTGCTGACACAGAGCGTTGCTCTTCACACATTTTACACAACCAATATTGGGAGGAGCTTGGAGCACATAGCAGAGCTCAAGTATGGTACTAGAATGTACTAGAAAAATAAAGGGCTTTTGCTCATTCCGGTTTCTTGTCCCAGGCTGGACCATCCCACGAGCGGCGTCCTACCTCTGGCAGTTGGAACAGCAGGTTCAATGGAGGCAAATTGGCTGCGCGGGCAGTTTGCTGGCCGTTTGGTCTTCAAGGAGTAGGGTTCACCGTGTTCCATTTGGTTCCCCTTTGTTTCAGGTTGTCCACTAAGAGGCCCAGACCCCAGATGACGCCAGGAGTACCTCTGCCTTTGCGAGGGTCCTGCTTTAGGTGAAGCAGGAGTAGAGGGCACAATAGACGCTCCCCTTCTGACCAAAGAGATAGATGGTGTCAGCAGAAGTGAGGTTTCGGAAGTATTTGGGCGGGAAGCCATCACAAAGTATACGGTGGTTGCCAGATATCGACCAAAGCAGCCGGCTGCACAGGAAGCAACGGACCGTGAAGTGATGCTGTTGGCAGTGAGGCCAAAGACAGGACGGACTCATCAAATCCGAGTTCACATGGCCAGCATCGATTGTCCCTTAGCCGGCGATTTGACCTATGGCTTCCGAGCCCAGAACTCCTCGGTTCGGTGCCCTCGTCTCTTCCTGCACTGCCGTCGCATCCAGCTGCTAGACATCAACGATGATGTCTTCTCGGCAGAAGCCCAGCTGCCTCGGGAATTGACAGAAGTGATTGAAACCTTGGACCCACTTGGCTAAACCTCGGCTAAGCGGCTAACCATGGCTAACCCCTAGCGGCTAAGCCTTGGCCAAGCAGAGAGGCATCTTGAGACCCAGATGGTGATGGAGCTTGGGCCGCGCAGCAGGTCTTTGCGCAGACTGACGAGAGATGACAGGATTTATGTAAGGAAGACCACAAGATATGGTGATGTTCGGCTGCTGCCTGGACGGAATGGTTACAGTTACAGGATATTACAGGGTTTACACCATGATTCACTTGGTGACTGTTGGCGGCTGTTTGGATGCACCATGATGCACGACCCGGGTCACGACCAACATCTTGCAACGATCCAATGCCCTATGGCCTTCTGCAACATCGATCCAGAGACACTTCGGCTGTGTGCAGATTTGTAGTTTTGCTGCCCTCAACCTTTGGAACACTTTGCTTTCAAGAGTTTGGGTCGGCAAGGAAGGTGCCAATGCCATTGGTGGACTGTCAGGATCCATCAGGTATGAAAAATCAGCAGCTGCTACCGACTGTGTCCTGTGTTCTGATTTGTTTGCGGCAGAATGCATGTAGCTTTGGTTGTGGCATGTGCTTCTGATATTTCTGATCATAAGATCGAATGCTAGGGAAGCGAGACGAACTAAGACGAGAAGTTCAAGTCGAAACGCATACTTCCACGTTCAACACCAGGGGAATGCATTCAAGAGTGCTGTCCGGCCGAAGATAAAGACCCATTCGGGGCACATCCTTGCTCACAGCCATTGCCATATCCCTTGGCGCATGGAAGAAGCTGTGGCTTGTCACTGTCATGACGACAAATTGACCGCGGGGCCCATTTCTTCAGACAGTTCTCACATACTACTGCAAGTTGTGCACGGTTCATCCATGTTATATGCGGTGCTTTTATGTGCTTTTCAAGAATTTGGCTGCCATAGGGTACCGGGTACCCCGAACTCCACCATATAATAGTCAATGTTGATCATCATTTTCCAATATCAATATACTCCCGCTATTTTCATCAATGTTCCTATTTTCCCTATCAACATTGCTATTCGGGGGGGTAGACCATCGTAGATCCCATTTCAGACACATTCAACTGGCTGTCATAGTAGCAGAAACAACCTCAGCCGTTTCTCCACGAACCACCTGTGCAATGGAGATGGACTTGGTACCTGACGACAGGCCCAATGCACAAGGAGCGGTGCCCCAAATTGATTCAAATTAATGTTATGTGCTCATGTCTTGAGCTCGACAGATTCGAAAGCGTCGTACATGTTCGAGCGTCAAATGAAACATGCAGAAACATTAATCTAAGGGATGGTTGGAACTGAAGAACCAACATGATTCAGACCCAAGACCCGAGACCCGAGTCAGTAAATTCGGAACGATAGGAATGTCAGCCAGCGTTGCAAATAGGCGATTATTCATGAAGTATTTCTCTTGCAGTGTGTTTGCGTGAGTGTGATATTAGTGTGTTTCAGGGTGCCTTGTGAACACTATATACCTGATATTACAGTACATGATATTACCTGTTTGGCTCAAGTGCAGACATGGCCTTACATGAGTGGAACATGTCCTTCATGTCCTTCTGACTCAAGGCTGTCTTAGCAACAATCATCGTCAGGATTCATTTCAGTATTATATAATTTGATTAACTCATTATCATTCAGAAGTATTCGGCATCAACCTGCACTTACTCCATGCGAGCAAACCTTCAACACACCTACCTATTTTGGTGAACTGCAAAAGTGTTTCTCATGCTTCAGACTCAGGTTTACACACACAAACCCGTTTGGTGGCCATGCGAGGCAGCCCTGAACGCAGATTTGGAGACATGTCCATGTTCCGGCGCGAAAGCTTTGCATCACCGAGGACTGAAAGGGTGCGTGCTCTTCGGGAGCCAACAACTCTGGAACTGCGCGAGCGCTTTTCCGCCCTGTTTGCACACTTGGGAAAGGAGGAGGAGACGCTGAAGAGTTTGATGTCTCAGAATGAACATGCTGAGAGGCAGTTGCAAGATCTTCGGCATTGCAACTGGCCCAAGAATTGACCTCTTTCAGTGGAGCACATGCACACAAGCGTGTGGTGCAGTACCCAGAAGGATAAAGATGAATACAGAATACGCGCAATATTTTACATATTTTACAATTGCATAAAAAGAATAGAATATATATAGAAAAATAGTATACACAAATACATGCAATATAATGAAATATATTTTGGACCTACACACATACAGTAAAGTCTGTACATGCATTAATTACATCAGAACACTTTACAATTCAATGCATTACACACATTACATATATTACATTCATTACATGCATTACATACATACATAACATTACATAGCATCAGATAAAAGTTGCATAACATTGTATAACGCTTCATTAAATTACATTACATCGCATGTCATTTTGTTACATTATTTAACATTACCAGTAAAGTACATTACATACATTACATGCATGCATAATATACATTACATATATACATTACATATATACATTACATATATACATTACATATATACATTACATGGATTACATACAATACATGCAATACATTGTTCAATACATACAGCACATACAACACATACAATGCATGCAATGCATACAATACATACAATATCATAAAATACATTCAATACATAAAAAGCATACAATACATACAATACATACAACACTTACAATACATACAATACAAATACACATGCAGACACAGATACAAATACAAACGCCCGTACAATAGTAGTACAATACAATACAATGCAGAACAATACATACAATACACATACAAATGCAAATCCAAATGCAATACAAATCAAAAAAATACAATACAATGCAATGCAATGCAATACAGTACAGTACAGTACATCCATCCATACGCACGCACGCGCGCACACACATGCACACGTACAAGTTTTACTCACTTATCTCGCCGCGCAGGTAAGCTTCCACAAGGCTTCAACCGTTTCGACCATGAGGCGTCGGAACTTCGACAAGAGGCCTTGTTGGCTGAGCAGCGATGTGCCCTGCAAAGTGGTGAGGCCGGGGCGTTGGCCGCTGCAGCTGCTACCTATGAGCGCCAGAGTGCCCGATTGCAGGAGAGTGGCTGAGAGTTATAGATGGGGATGGGTGTGGATATGTGGATGATGAATTATATGACCATTGGAATGGAGCATGAACGTCCACCACGAAACACTATTTTGGTATGAAGAGTCCTAAAAATCCCAAGACCAATGGTCAAATGTGGGCGGCAAGACGGGACCGCCTCCATTTCGTCGCCTTTCCCACTTGCTGGTTCTCTTTGCTTGTTGCGCATCGGAAGAGGTTCATCGAGTGAGAAATCGACACAATCATAAAGGAGCAGCTATGTAAAGATCAATCAAATAGCAACCTGCCTGCCTCTGGAGTGAGGAGCGCTGCCAGGCAGAAGCCAGCCAAGAACGTGCTGCAACCGAGTCCCTAGGACGGAGTGCCTCAGAATCTTGTCTGGTAAAGCGTGGCGAGAGAGTGAAGAGATAGAGAGAGAAGATGAACAACTACATTTTCCTCCTCATTTTCTTGTTGCAATGTTTTACATGCCATTCATAATGAAACTCAATTCTTCCAGACGTTCCAAAAAATGAAGACATGCCATGCCTTCACTCAGGAAATTCAGCAGCTGACCGCGGAATGCCGTGAACTGAGCTCCAAGTTGGAAGGCATGGAAGCCCAGCGTCAACGGGTTCTTCGAGAGCAGCAGCAGGTGCAGGAGCTTTCGAGGCAAACGGCAGCTTGAAGCGAATGTTGCGAAGTGATTGCCTGGAGATGCCGCACACACACACACATATATATATATATATAAAGATCATTGAATGCCACACTTGAAATTTGATATATAATGATGTATAGTTTTAAAATGTGTTAAATACATTATATAATATGCGCGTTTTTTTTTCACAACAATATCTTGTTCATTATTGTTGATGTGGCTTGTCCGTTCTGGTGTAGAATAGGTTCGCGCAATCCTATTATGCTGGGTCAACCTCCCTCGTCACTAAAAAAAGTGCAGTCTTTGTTCTAGGAAGGTACTTCAAGTGGCCATATGCTTCAGACACTTTTGTGAAAACTTTTGTGTTCACGCAGCATAGGGCTGGTATGCTCACAAAACTCACTAAGCCCCATTTCTGTAGGTGTTCAAGCTTTCAAAACCCAGCGTAAGGCTACAAATTATGAACTATTACATTTTTGCACTGTTGCACTTCCCCCACTAATTATATACCTGTATGAGCCCAAAACATCCACAGATGTTGACTTCCTATGGTACTGGGACTGGGACTGCTTGCCAAGGCATTGCAATCAAAGGAAGTGCAAGACCAATTGGGGGAGCAGAGGTTGAAAGCACAGAAGTTGCAAGATGAGGCAAGACGGTTGGGCAGATGGTTGGGACTAACTTTGGACAACCAATTTGAAGGTATAGGCATGGTCAACACATAGACAGAAAGCTCTGTTTTGCAGGCAGTTGATTGCTAGACTCTGCTAGACATTGCTAGACTGAGTAAATCTGAGTAAGAATATGTGTGAAAGATTGCATGTCTCAATTTGAAGCTTAAGCGGCTGAGAGGTTGACATGATGGATGCACGTCCAAATCCTTGCCTGTTGTTGGCCTCGTGCTGCTGCCAAGGTTGCTAGAGGACGTCAAGACCTTGCAACCCTGGAGAAGCTTGTAGCATCCAAGCAGACCGAGTTGCATCAGTCCAAGCGCTTGCTGGCTGAGGAAAGAGCCTCCTGACTGCAAAACGGATGGAAATTCTTAGCCAGGATGGATGGCAATGGATGGTCTAGAACGGTTGAACTGTTAGTTGACCAATGTGATCAATACCTTGGAAGATGATTCCTAAGCTTGCTGCTATGGGTTGCAAACACCAACTGGAAAAAAACAACATCTTCCAAAGATTTGGATGATGTGTCATGCATGTCAGATCCTTGGCAATTCTGGAGCCAGTAGATTTGTAAGGCTTCTTCATTTTGAGCTACTTGAAGAATCTGATGAACATAGAGGCGAATTATTTCAGTTATTGGAATTGTGTCATACATGGTGATTACTTTGTTAAGAAAAAGTCACATTCAGAACAAGGCCCACTCATTCAGGTAATGCGTTTTGGATGCTTTGGACTGTGTAACCCTCGAGACTTGGTGTGACCTTATCAATAGCACCTCCAAGTCGATTCAAGACTCCTTGGACACCACTTGATCGCGCACCTATGATGACACAAGACTTGAAACAGGTCTCCATCATGTTTGATCGTTTTTGAGGGTCCATGGATTTGCTTAGGAGAAAGTTTAATGGAAACCGCATGGTAAAAGCAAGCCATTGACTTCGGTTGCGTTGCTCATCGTTGCTCTGGTAAGGAGGCGGCCTCGCATAGTGAATCCCGTCTCCGTGAGACTGTGGGGAAGAAGACACGGTATGAAGAAGAGCTAAGTGCCCTCAACGCCCAGCTGGAGCAAGCCCGGAAGGACTGGAACAACCTGGACACTAAATTCTGAAGATTTCTGAAGCAAATACATGATTTGATTATGCAATCACAGTACGATCATATTAGTCCTATTGATTTGTTTGGTTCATTTTGGTTCATTTTGTGGACTTCAAGAGCGGCAAATGGCGGAACGCCATCAAAAAAAAGGCGAGTTCCGACCTCCAGTGACCTCCGGCGCAGGAAGGTTGCGATCTCCAGGCATCCTTCGACGAAACCTGTCGCGAGGCGAAGCTGTTGCAAGAGAGGCTGCGCAGCGAGGAGCAACGCCATCGAAGTGAGTTGGACGCCGCTGAGGCCTCCAAGGCGCAGAAGGAACGTCTGGAGGCTGAGTTGAAAGGAGCTGAAGGCGATGGTCCGATGGTCAAAAAATGTCAGAAACATCATGAAACATCTAGTGCAGCCAAGAGACTACAGATTTGGTCCATGGATGCCATGGATTGTAAATCACTCTGCATCATGCCAGTTTGGTGGTTCAATCATGTTGACCCATACCCAAGTCACTTCTTTCAAGGTACATGTGTATGAGGCACAAGTTGTGAAGCATCAAGTTTGACCCAGTGTGTGCGTTCAACCAATTGCAGGACGATGATAATCCGTATGATGTCTTCATACCCTAGCTACTCTGCAAACGCTTTGTGATACAACTGGCGATCACAGGAGCTTGATCAAATATATTAGACGGAATTATAGATGGTAGGGCTGTTGAGCCCTTCATGCCGATTCTTTGTGGGAGTTGGCCAAATGTTGCCAGGTGCCAAGATGGATGCAGAAAAAGAGCTGGGAGATCTCCGGAAACTCGCAGCAGATTTGGCTGACCACTGCTCCTCGCAACGCAGATGGAGAGACGAACAACTGCAGAAGCAAGCGGCTAATGAGCTTGCATCTGAGCGATTGAGGAAGGAGATTCAGCAATTACATGCTGAACAAGAAAGATTACAACAGGAAGCCAAGCTGACCATGCACAAACGCAACCGCTTAGAAGTTGAGCTGCAGGTGGCCAGGCCTGCCTTGGATGATGCTCGTCGCCGATGCAAGGACTTAGAGGGCCGATTGGTGAGTCGTGTGCGCGAGCTCAGTGACGAATCAGAGCGGCTAAGGCGATTGCAGCATGAAGCGGACGCCAAGGCACGCTTAGCTGCCATGGATCAAAGTGGTCAGAGCAGCTTCAGGGGGCCGAAGCTTGGCCCTGTTTGAGTATACTAGTAAGAGTAATGTTGGCTGCCTAATAGTAATTACCCCCTCCCCCTATTTTTTTTTTTGGGGGGGGGTCAACCTTCCTATAATTTTTGGGAATCTGTAGCTGGGATCATGATATGTATCTGATAGATTCTCCATGTCCAGCAGTGCCCACTGCGCGCAGAAGTTGGCGAAGAGATTGGCGAAGAGTTGGCAAGGCAGAAGTGGACATGGAAGTGGGGGCAGGGTGGAGGCGAAGGAGGAGGACGAGGAGGAGGAGGAGCAGGAGAAGAAGGAGAAGGAGAAGGAGAAGGAGAAGGAGGACAACAAAATTGGAGTTGCGGAAAAAAGTTTCCACTATTGCCATGCCTGGCGCGGGTTTGTTATTGCTATTCTGGGGCTTGCAAAGGGGGTACCCTTTGTGGACCTGTTTTCTTGCTTTTTTTAATAAGGGTTTTATAAGGAAATCAGCTGTTTGGTAATTGGATCAGATTTCTGGAATCTAAGCTTTTGCTAATCAAAAGTGAAGGCTGCTTTGAAAAGGATTTGGCAATACTAAAAGTAAATAGAGTTAATTGACTTTTAGTATTGGGGAAAAAATTGGAGTTGGGAAAAACGTTTCCACTATTGCCATGTTGGGTCCACTGTTGGCCATGCCCTCTGGACAAGGTCTGAACATGACTCTTTTGGCAATACTAAGAGTAAATGGAGCTAATTGACTTTTAGTATTGGAGAAAAATTGGAGTTGCGGAAAAACGTTTCTACTATTGACAAGATATCACTATTGGCTAGACAACATTACATTCCATGAGTTTTGTCGGGTTGTGTTTTTCTTTCTCCTTTGGGCTTTCAAGGGCTAAAAAAAACAATACCAAGTACCAAAGCTAGAGTCTGAAACTGTCTCCCACATTTTTGAGCACTGGACAAGGAAGCTTGAAGAGCTTTCCTCTCCGAGGGCCTTCCGTTTGCAACAAAGTCAGCCAAAGAACTACAGCCCTGGCAGCCCTCCAGTCCTGCAGGCATCGCCTGCTTTGCAGGAGCCTCGCAGAGACACCAGTGGGAGACTTGGCAAGTTGGAGTTCGCAACTTACAGTCCGCCCAGCCCACCAGTGATGCAAGGTGCCCCATATCCCACCTTGAAGGAACCTCGAGGTGATATGAGTGGGGGAAGATTGAGCAAGGTCAGTTCACCTCCTGGGACCCTTGGAACATCCATAGCTGTAGCTGCACCATCTGCACCGCTCCCAGCACAGCTAATACCTAGCAGTATGGATACGGTGCGCTTCCTTTGCGACTATGTTGCCAAAGAGGAGGCCAGACTAGGCCTTCAAACTCCAAAGTAAAACCGCATTCATGTTGCAGAGATCACTGGAAGTTCGAAGCTTCCAGATACTTGTTGGCTGTCAATGTACTATATTTATCTTTTACTGTACAAGTATGAGTGTGGCTACCCAGAATGGGTAGCAGGCAGTCTTGGCACTTTGGCCTGCGGTCAACTCCAAGAGGCAAACAAAAAAAGATCGCAGAGTCTCAAGCAGGTTGCATCATGTTGATCATGTATGATCATGTTGCATACACTTCCCGCGCCCTTTGCTCAAGGCAAATTTTTGGTCCCCCAAGCCCCCAGCTGTTTTTGGGCACTGCTGACGCGCCTCCATTTGAAACCCTTGGATCATGCGGCCATGTAATGATTTCGTTTACAGCCTCACCTGTTTTCGCAGGAGCTTGGCGGCTCCTGCATGGAGAGGCTCCGAGCTTGACAGCACCGGAGCAGAGCTCATCGATTAAGTGTTGGGTTTGTCTTCCCACTGTCCTCCCACAGCCGGCCGTTGTTCCTGTCGAAGGCAGAGTTCAACCTATGATAAACCATGCAATGATCATTTCCCTGACCAGGAGCCGGAGTGCGGCTGCTTCCCAGGCGAGAAGTTTCAGTCAGGGGTCCTTACACGGTATCGTCATGTATCGTCAATTTTATACTATATACATGATGCATTTCTGCCAGGGGATTCCGGGATTCCTGTGCAAATTCAAGATTAATGCCGCAATGTGAGCCTGATGAATTTGCAGGAGAATATATCATTCAATACATGAATACTATATGTACATGAGCATTTATAAATGATCTAAACCATCATAAGCATCTCCTTTCTCGAGGTTCTGCAGCTGCAGCAACATCGAGTCGAAGCAGATGTGCATCACTTCACTGCAGCAATCGTAGGCCTTGAATCAGGGCAGCTTGGAAGCTCAGCCAGGTTATCAGATGTAGGTAAGCCAAACTTGGACAACATTGTAACGTCACGGCTTATTTCCCTCAAATTGTAGCCTTCATCATCTAAAACTGATCACCATTTTGGGCCTTGAATTTTGCCCCCACCCTCTACTTCCAGAATTGGTTTTCGGGGAACATCAGCAGGTCTCAACCATTCTCACCCCTAATCATGGTTTCCGGATGTTTCCGGTTAAGAGTTTCCTGTCAACCAATCCATTGATATGTCGTTTGGCGATGCGGCAGGTGCATCATGGAGCTTCGCCTTGCAGATGATGCAGCGGATGGCAGAGCTGTCGGTGGACCTCGATGTCGTGGTCTGCAATGCTGCGCTGAGCGCTTGCGGGAGCGCGTAAGTAAAGCGACTGGTTGGGCAGTGTCAGCGCAATGCTTCTGCCGTACATGATACATATGGGCATATACAGTAGATATGTAGAGTAGAATATCTAAATGTATACTTGGATATGGATATATCATATATCATACAATACATGCATGCATGCATACATAACATAATAAAACATAACATAAGATAACATAACGTTACATAACGTTACATTACATTGCATTACAGTGCATACATAGACACATCTACGGACTGCATCAGCACACAGTCGCAGCCATCACGTCCTGCTACAACAAAGGAAGGCAGGACCCAACATGTAATTTGAAACATGTATACAAAGACACAAAGATGCAATATATGTCAATGGTTGACCTACATATGTATATCTGTAGGGATAGAGCAAAAGATTATCATAGTATGCCCCAGAGTGTGTTTTGTAGGGCTCGTCAAGAGTGTGAAAATTCCTGTCCCTGCTAGGAGAGGTCAAGCATGGACCAGGGCAATGAATCTTCTGCGGCTCGCCCGAGCGTCGTTGCGTATCTTGCTTGGCAATATTCAATATTGCATTGTATATTTATCTATTTGTGGGTCTAGATTTCTGATGTTCATTATACATAAGAATGATGTTTACTATATATATATATATACATATGTACATATATAATCATATAGATATATATATATATATCCAAATTCACGTATTCATTTACACACACCCACACATATATATATATATATATATTATAATTCCACTTTGCCTGTCAGAACTGCTTTTCTGCCCCACTGCTCTCGTACCTTTTGTGGTATCCAGTGTTCATTTTTGAGAACTGTCCCATAGTGCAAGGAGATCCAAATCCCACATGAGTTTCGGCCATTGGTGAAGTCTCCCACCATTTTTCACTGGTTGATGCATGTCAATACATGTTGCTTTCAATTGATCAATTGTGGCATCTCTATCACTTGATTCACTTGATATCACTTGCATCATTCCATGCAGAAACAAAAATAAGGAGCACCAGGAAGGCTTTTTGCTCTGTTTTGTTGGGTTTCTAGGCGTGCTTTGGGTCAATTTACCAAAGTTTTGGCCCCACCTTGGCCCAGAATTCGCTATTCAAAGATGGGGAACCAGGTCCAGACGCCATCAGCTTCAACACGGTCTTTTCCTCAGGGAATTTGCTGTACAGGTTACAAGAAAGCACAATTGTGCATGTTTCATGAGTGAGATACCAAGTGACCCAACAAAATCATCATTTCTATTCATTTGAGTTTGTTTGAAGATAGGGTGATAACCTATGTCCATCCCATTGGCAAGTGGTGAGGCGATGGTGAGCTGTGCTTGGCCCGCAGCACTCAGATCTACCATGGCATCACTGGGCTGCCAACCAGACATGGAATCTGGGCTGAAAGCTGACAGCTTTGTGCAAATGGAAAGGCCGGTTGCATTTGCGAAATTTGATGGTTTCAAATTTCTAATGTTCCATTCTGGGATCCAGGGACGATCATAGACACGGTTACAGTACATAATAACAACAAGAATAATAATGCTAGTATATGCTAGTATATAATGATAACAAGAATACTAATAATGAAAGTAATAATAATCATAATTGTATCCAACAACTTTATAACGACTGTTTCAACCACAAAGCACTTTTAGGTAGGTGCCATGAATTTTGCTCTTGGCATATTCAGTGAACACCATTCCAACACCAACACATGGCGGTTCCATCTGCAAAGTAGTGCCAATTTGACTGCCAATGACGCTTGTAAGGTCACTCAGAACACAGAGGCAGCAAGTTGGGCTGCTTGAGCTAATTGGATCTATTTGGATCTAATTGGCTTGTTTCTGAAGGATGCTTAGGGGTATCATTTGGGAAACTGAAATCAGAGGAGCTTGAGCTTGATCTTGCAGGGTTTTGACGGAGGATTCTGTTCAAAATGTTCAAGGCAAGAGACCTTACGCCGTGTTGCTGTTTTGTTTTCCTTTTGACTCAGTTCTGCCACCATCATTAAAAACGCTGAAAATCTCAGAGCAAGAGACATCAAGAAACTGATATCCCGGGGCCTGAATTCATTGTTCATGTTGGTCATGTGATGAAATAAATGGTTCAAACAGGTTCAAATAGGCAGGTATGGGTCAGAAGCCTGGCATCCTTATAAAGTATCCACAATCCAATGGGAATTGACCCATTCCCATCTCCCATCTCCCGTCATCTCCCTATTCTTGGTCGGATCATGTTGGATCTCAAATTCTGAGGCTCATCCAACTTATACTACGTACATCTACGTACTGTAGCAAGGTTATATGATTGTACAACTTATATATATATAATATATATATATATGGGTGGTTAGAAGATGTTCTTCCTACGAATTTCTGTACGGTTCATCGATGTTCATCGACCCACGCCAGCGTTGGTTGAAACTTCGCACCGGAGAGTGTCCAAGGTCCGTCGGGGACAGTGGCGGCTGGCCCTGCGAAAACTGTTCAAGAAGGCTGGAGGATTTTGTGAAAGGAGAGGGGCCAAGAAAATGATATTTCATAATATACAAATATATATATATATATATAATATGCGTGTGTGTGTGTTCACAAAAAGTAAGACTGGATTTAAGCTTCAAGAATGGGGGTTTAAGCATCGCAAATGGGGATTCGAACAGATTTGACGATCAAAGATGGCAGCATGCAGATGGGGCAATACCCATGAGACCAGGGGGATGACCGGTGGATTTCAGGCGGTGTTTCGCCTCGCTTGGCGCTCAGAGTCCTATTTACAGAAGGTTTGGTATTTGATGATTTGATGACATGAAAAAATGAAATGACATGACAAGGATGACTTGCATCGTTTTCGGAATTACGAGGGTTCATCAATGAGAGACTGTCCAGGGAGTTTCTGGCCTGGATACCTTCAGCCTGACAATTGCCACCTCAGCTTGTGAGGACAGGGCTTCAACATGCTTCAGCCTTGCTTTCCGGAAAGTTATATATAATATATAATATATAATAGTGACAAAGCCAACACTAGAGCCAGAAAATTGCAGAAGTGGATGTGTGCTTCTGTGTTTTTAGCAAGGAAGGGAGAGAGCAAGACAGAGAGAGAGAGAGGGAGAGCTTGTTTTCTTGATACAACTTCATACTCTTGATGATAAAATATGATAAGTGATAAGCAGACAAGTGGTGATGATACAATTGGTGAACATGATGAGCTGCAGATCGCTGCAGTGCCTTGACAGCAGGAGGCGAAATCGTGGAGCAAAGCCTTAGGCAGCTTGGCGCGCAGCTGTGCACCAGTGCCGACAGGTCGTCCAAGATGTGGGTTTGATTGGGTTTGTCGGAAATTTAGGTAAACACGGAACACCCTATAACTTTGATGTTGATGGTTAAGCCATCTTCAAACCAAATTTTGAAATTAAATAAATTGGAGGCATACCCCATTTCCAAGGAAACCCATGTGGAGAATTATAAAACATGTTTCAAGACTCCTAATAAAAACCCTTGTAGTTCAGCAATTTCTTTTAGCTTTGGCTGCTATGTGAGCCATATTCATCATGTGTTCTGGCTCAGCCTGCAGCGTGAATCTCAGAATCAGCTTGAATCATAGGCCTTGGGGCAATCGCTCGTGTTAAAACAAAACCAAAGCTCTGCAGTTGAGGTATCTATGCTCTTTCGCATCTTTCTCATGCCAGAGGAGACAAGCTACTCCCAAGCACCAATGCAGAGCTCCAGATGCAATGAGTGGAGCTGCGACACCGTTAGATATTCGAGACGTACAGATGCACATGCGTTTTAGTCGCATGGTTTCTTTACCGCGGTTGATTCCTGGCATATCAAGTTTGAAACACAACACTGACTGTCCTGTTTCATATTGTTTCCAGGATTTTGCTTAAATGTTCACACTTTCCAGTAGCGAATTGTAAGGCGTTCTCTTGGTCAATGTTCACTGCATGCACTATCAGTCCCTGGTGGGTCAGCGTCAACGGCAGAAGGCAATGTCTGCGTGCACTTCGCAGGGCTGCTGGCCTGTTGCACTTGAAATCCTGCAACTCGGCCCTGAGTCGGAGACGCTGGCGAGACCCACAACAGATTGAACAGCCCTTTTGCTGAAGTCCCAGCTGCTTTTGGTGACATCCTGAATGCACAAGGCCAAAGCCTTTAATGGTTGGAAGGAATGAGACAACAAGGTTTTTTCTTTCTGATTGGCGTATTGGTTTTGATTGAAGTCACAATATGTCACACTTCTGTCGGCCGTTGCAGTCCCCGGCAGTGTTCAATAGTGTTCACTGTGTTCACTAATATAGACGTACCCTCAAGTGCTCGAGGCAACACATGCAGAGATCAAGGTGTCGCGGTGATGCAATTACCCTCGGTCCCTTTGTCGAGAGGAGTTTGGCCGAAGATCTTTGCGGGATGAATTGGGAATGGCTCAAAACCTACAGTATTATTATCTAAAGATATGGAATAGGGATGAACATCCAGAACTACCAGTAATCCACTTCACATCCATTTTTGGCAGCCAAGGTCAATGCGCACGAAGCTTCCAGCTGGCAATCCTGTGGCTGAACGCGTTGGAACTCCTGGAAGGTGAAGGCGGTGCTATGCGTTTTGCGTGTGATGAGATATACTATATGATAAATATACTATTACCGTGACAATCCTTGATAAACCTCACGTTTGTATATGTGTGTAGAGTTCTTTTTGGAACATGTTTGAACTAAAAACTTCGACCTTTTCGGACAGATCCATCAGTGAAATCGACCGTGCTCCAAACTTGGGTGTCAAATTCCCCTTTGCTCCCTTGCCAGGTCACTTTTTTGATGAACAGATTGCGAACTTAGCTGCTTGCAGCAGATTGGGCTGACAAACCACTCGACGGGTGCTGGTGGTGACGGTGATACATAGACTGGTCTGTTCCTTTCGTTTCTGCTATAGGCTTTATGGACCAGGATCTTTGGTCCGTGGTGGTCGGGTTGGTGTTTGACCCCACCAGATCTATCAGCCGGTGATAGTTGGTATAGCGCAGACAAGTGAAGAAAAATCAGCATGCCAGGGGCCCGCGGATGAAATTCACATTTTCGTTTAAGACGAACTACGAAACTACCTGAGACATTCCTGTGATAGTGACGGAGGACGAATGAGGGCGTCTTCTTATCTTGAGATCAAAAAACCAAACAAGAATTCTCGCCAGTTCGGTGACTTCCCCAGATGGGTTAATCCAGACTAGACGGAGTCAGTCACCCACTAGCGTCAGACCACCCTGAGTCAATCACCCCCTCACATCGCAGTACTCCATTTTAAGCCCCATGGAGTGGAGCTCAGGTGATTCAGTCATGTGCTTTGTCAAGGCACTTTTCTTCGGTCTTCCGCGTTTTGAAGTATGGTGATGCCAAGGGGCTGTCGATGGCTGTGGCGATCCTCGCCAGCATGCGTGGAGTTGTTCACTTGAAACTTGGGTTTGTCCATACTTAGCCCATCTTACTGTAGCCCAATTTTTGGCCATTAAAGAATGTAAAAAAGAGAAACCACATGGTAGACCTGGTAGACCACTGGATTTTTGGGCACCACATAATGGAGGTTTCCTAAGTCATGGTGGCCCAAATCATCCAAGTCATAAAACCCAGGTTTTGGGGATCCCTGTAGGAAACCACAGGAAACCACCAGCCATGTTCATCCGACTGAGGTCGGCTCCATGGACCTTGGCATTGGCCATGTTGCTGCACTCTTCTGGGAGCAGGCGAACATGGCAATAAGAACAAGATGTACTCATTTGTCAATAAATGCGCATATATATATATATATATACATATGGATACACATATACATACACATTTGCACACAAATTTGCACACAAATTTGCACACAAATTTGCACACACACACACATAGCATATACATACAAGTGCATACACACACACACACATAATCACACATATATTTAAATTTACATTTTAATATTTATATGCATATACACGCGTATGTATAACCTATATATGCGTGTGTACATGCCTATATGGACATATGCGTACATATTCCACATATGTACATATACAGACACAAAATGCACTCTCTCTCTCTCTCTCTTTAAAAACAATCGTTATATACTCGCCGCTGGAACATGAATGCACCGGTAAAAATATATATAATGGATATACATATTATGGATTCAGAGTTGACAGACTGCGCAGTCCATATGCCCCGTTGATCCCCGTTGCAGGTTGCCCAAGTCAACTGTGGCCTTCAATTCTGGCATCTCTGTTTGCAAGGCTGGTTGAGTTTCAAGTTGCATGTTCATATATGTTAATTAGAATGTTGGATGCTGCTGAGTGGATAGCCCCCAAATTCACAACCATCCCCAATTCACAGCCATCCCACTCAATGTTTAAAACGTTTTTTTGCCACTTGAGAATGACACTTTTAGGCATGGAAGGATTTGAACCCATTGCCTGGAAAGGCGTCGCGCTGGCCGTTTGCCAGCGAACTGCTACAAATGCAACTGTTTGGCAATGTGAAAATCCTCGAAAGCAGAATCATCCAAGCCAGACCCTATCAAAAATCCAGAAATAGATATCGATGCAATACTGTGACATGTTGAAAACATTGCATGACATCTATAACTGTCAAGATCGTGTTATATTGCAATACGACCGTAGCATGTGACTATACAGTTTAGTTTAGACATGTTTAGACTTAGACTGTATGGCTATTTGTAATGATATAAGATGATATAGCATGTTCAGTTTGTGTGTCTATGAGCTTGCGGCAGCTTGCGTCTCGTTCCTAAGGATGTCACAATGCACGTTGAGATTGGACAACTTCTCTTTCCATGCTGCAGCGGACCTGAGCCAGAACTCCAAGTGGATGGTGGAATATGATACATGGGCATTCAGCCTTTCCCTGCTTGACATGATGAAACAGCAGCTGGCCTGATAAGCTCCGTCATCAAGTTGCTGCTTTAGAGACTTTAGGACAGCAATCAAAGCCAATCAAAGCCAAGTATGATTGAATGTGATTCTTGGATATTATTGGTATCATATCATAGTCTTTACACATGAATCTGACGCATTGTGATGTGCCCTATGACACTATGACGTGGTGGTCGCTCCAAACAACACCTAGAAATGAATTGGAATCCAGACAGTTCCAAGATCATCCAAGGATGCTTGTGGAGCAGGATTTGATCACACAGGGGGTGGCTTGGCATGAGAATCAACGTGGTTCTATACTTTTATATAATATATATATATATACAAGTAGCATCAGCTACCTGAGCTTTCCGTGCTTCAGATTTTTTTCCGGGCAGAGGGCACAGGAGTGGCCTTTTTCGAGTATGGAGTCCGGAGGTATTCTTCACTTTGAAGGGGGGCTCCCCCTCCAAAATGGTGGTGGTTTCAATTCCCAGTCTGAACATGCCATCATCATCCTCATCCTCGTCCTCATGGCCATTATCATCACCACGGTCCACCATTACCATTACATCATCATTGTCACCATCATCTCCATCACCATGTTCATTATCAGCATCGATCACCACATCAACTACATGCCATGAAAATGTTGCACCTGTGGTAGCTTGATCCGGGCATGAACCAAAGCAACGCGTGTTCTGCACCCTCCCGTCCATCACCTACTATCACAGCATATCACAACTACGTATCTTTCATCTCTCCCCGGCTTGCTCTCAAGTAATGTATAGTATGCATCACAATTCACATTCACTTGTTATGATCTTTTTACATAACTTTTTATCACTTGTTAACCTGAAGGTTCTCGTGCTTGTGCCCTTTCCCAGAATTATGTGGGTTCGGCACAAGTATTCGCAGAAAATCTTGAGGTCAATATGTCAGTGCTTGCAGAGAGCAAATTGTGGGAAGAAGGACAGCTACTGCTGGACCTTATGCGATCACAGAGTCTCAGTTGCACAAGATGCACAAGTCTGTGCGCCGACAGAAGTGTTTGGGTGGGATGTGCAGGTGCAATTTTGGAGTGGGCCCCACGTGGTCAAGACATGAAGCTGATAGGAGAGACATCAGGTATTTTTGGATCGTCATAGATTGTTGATTCACCATGATAAGCTATAATGAATCATAATCCGGAATGTCAGCAAGGTTAATCACCCAACTTAGCTCAAGACATTTGACAAAGATAGCAGATCACAGGTCAGACCTTTCTTGGCCAGATTTGGTCAGCATTTCTGACCTGAAGAACTCCAAATTCTTCAAGCCCAGAAGTTGTTAAGGCATGTTAAGGCCAGAAGTTGCTGAACGCACAGATAGGATTTCTAGAATCATAGAATCAAAGTTTCCTGGCTCCATGATATCAATGAGATACAATGAGATATTATATATATATATATTATATATATTATAATTTATTAATATGATATAATTAATGAGATCCATCCATATCCATCCGTTGAGGCGAATTCTTCCAGATCTCCTGGTTTGCAGCTCTGCCATCAGCGCTTGTGCATCAAGCCCTGGCCGCTGGATGAGAGCCCTGGAAGTTACGGCCCTGGCTGACTCAGCGACTGGGTCGCAGTTATTCGCAGCGGAAAAACATGTTGGATGATAGACCAATGATAGATGTGTTCATAATAGTTCATCATGAAATTTAAACAACATGTATGTAATCGTATGCATATTTAATCATATTTATACCAATTTCATAGGTATAATATTGATGAGTACGCACTTCTTATCGACCCTATCGTTGGGTGTAGCCCAGGTGGATAGGATCACCTGCTGTGCTCTGATGGACGCCACCAGCGGCGTTTTCGGAGCTTGGATCAGGGGACTGCAGGCGCTGTCGTTGGGTCGATTGGTTGGGAAACTTTACTGGTGAAGCGATTGGTGAAACCATGGTTTTTCCAGTCTCAAAATTCGTGGGTCTGCCAATGTCTGCCATAAAAATTGTGAAAATCTATCCAACAGTCAGGAGGGAGCGGTTCGGAGCAATGGTTGCATCCATATTCCCCCAAAAAAAGGAGCCACGGAGGCTACGAATTGAGTTTCCCAACCAGGTGGTAGACATTTACTGTTGAAACATGGTGAAAGACCATGGTTTTTCCAAGCTAAACTTTGCTGGGTCCGGTTCTTTTCTTCATCAAGTCTGGGATGGCGTGTGAATGGTTAGATGATGCTTCATGGCTAAGATGTGGAACTGACTTGGATTGAAGATACTACACATTGCATTTATTTATATATATATAAATGATTGGGATGGAGATGACTTTGATGTGGGTTGATGACGACGACGCAAGCAACGGAATGGTGAGGATGGCGAGGATCTTATTCGATTCAGGGGCCTTTTTTTCATTCATCCCTTTGATCCCACTGGGCCGCTGGTCCAGTCCTTGGGGTCACTTTCTCAGCAGCTGTGAAACACCTGAGCAGAGCCTGGAGAGTTTGCCAAGACGGACTGAATGCTGGATGATGTTCTACCATCATAATTAGTATGTCATAATTGATATAATTGTGCAAGCGGGAGACCTTTGCGAATGCCAGGGCCGGTTAAAAAACATCAGGAGGCCGGAATCCAATGACATGAGGAATGCTCGACATGAGAAATGATCCTAAAAGGAATGGCGATCTAATCTTTCTACAGGATTTAGAGGCCACTCAGATGGCCATTTGGTGCAGGTCTATTCAACTATGCTGCGACAGAAGCTTCGACTTGATGCGCCTCACGGTTGCATAGTACTAAGTAGGGGTAGTTTGAGAGCAGTTTGCACATGATGATATATTGCTTGAAAGAGATTAGACGCATCCGATTGAATCTGTGGTTTGAGTATTGTGGTACCATCAAACATCACATATATCATATGTAAAATTATTATGTGCGGATTCCACTTCTCCCGGATACCTCCGGCGGGTGGTCAAGGCGGAGCTGCAGCGCAGCCTTGCAGTGCAGCGGCAGCAGCATGGCCTGGTGCTCAGCCCAGGAGATCTTGCGGCAGATGTTGGCTTTGTGGCTCAGCAAGCACTGGCGGATGCGCAGGGCGGCAATTTAGGGTTTGGAGAATGGGGAAACAATGGGAAACACTGCAACCACCCATCATTTATCATCATTCTGGTTGTGGGTGTTGTATGATGTTATCATGTGTGCGCGTCAACTGGTGAATATGGACTTTTCTATCACAAGTCATGTGAGAGTGGTGACGTCCTAGGATGTTTCAGACGACAAACGCTTGCCTGGCGGGCACTGAGGTCCTTCAACGAAAATGCAACTTGCTTTTCAATTTCACCTGCCTGATGGTGCACACACTTCAATCATCTTCGGTTTTTTTGTTGCGACATTGATCGCATGTCCAGCGGCTGCTTTGGCGCATTTGTTGAATCCGAGGAGATTGCCGTTGATACCCTGATCCGTTGCTACAAGAAAGCCATTGACCCATGGCCGCTGGCTGTAGACCTCCTGACAACGAGCTACACATGGAACCTGGGCAGAATTTCGACATTATACAGATACATGCGTAAGGACAACATGTTGACCCGCTTCTACTTGAGAATGCCATCGTATTTGTCTGAAACCTCATTTGTTGAACTCTTGAGTTGGCCAAGACTGAAGCAGCAAGGGCTGGAATGGGGTTAGCAGCCACAGACATGAACAGACACATGGTAAGCCCAGCACCCTGATTCCATCGAGTTGGGGCTTGGGAAATGCGCATGTGATGCACTTGACTTGTCAAGCCGTTCATGAACTATGTAGCTGGTTGGTGGTTTCAACATGTTTCAACTGTTTTCTTTTTATTTTCAACTATTGCCAGCCAGACTTGATAATTATGAGTTATGATGATCCCCATTGACTACATCACTATATATTTTTTCAGATTGTGTGAAGCAACCGGTCAGATAGCTAATCCATGTTAATCCAGTCATATTTCATCATGTTTCCATTTTTTGACCGACTGACTTTTTGCTCCACCAGGAGCTTTCCGCTGAGGGACTGCAAGAGTGGGGCTGTTGCGGCCTGTGAAGCCGCCTCAGTGCCCTCTGTCCAAATGGACAGCCAAGTATCGTGGATGACCAATTCGGTGAATCCTTTGGCGACTTGACCGATTAGTGCATAGTATCCCATACCCTCTGGTAATTTAACATAGCTATTGAAAATCACCATTTATAGTGGATTTTCCCATTGAAAAATGGTGATTTTCCATAGTTATGTTAGTTTACCAGAGGGTATCCCATAATCGTTTCGGTTTCACCAAAGAATAACATGGCCTGGAAATGTGTACAGCCAAGTCAGATGCTGAAAAATCGCGGAGGCGGCCCTCGGAAGTTCTCAGGCCTTTGATCCTTCGAGTCAAGCCTTCAACAGCTAAACGCTTGGCCGATCTCGGCCGTCAATACAAGTCATACATATCATTGGAGTGCATTTGACTGTGTCTGATGAAGATTTTCGAAGCATGTGAGATCAGGGCTTACACTCTAGATCTTCGCATATGGTAAGTGAAAGGACATGAACGGACTTTGCCGCTTCTTATGGGAAGCACAGCAACTTGCACACTGGAATTGTGCAGAATCTTAATGCTCAAATCGGCATGGATTGTCTTCAGCTGCTAGCGAGTTCTGCACAGCACGGCCAAGGTTCTTGAATGTTCTTGATAATATATGATAATACTACGTGCTTCATCTGCAAATGTACCTCAGAGTCACGTTGAGAGCAGCCTAGTAACAGACCAGCTTTGGTGAATATCAAAGATCGGCACGCAGCGTGGGTCCTTTCTGAAGTCGTGTTCTTGGTTCAGGGGATACGGGAAGAAGGCATCAAACCCAACGCAAAGGGTGCGGCAGCAATCTTATCTTACCAAATTTCACTGCCTGATGGGACGTGCATGATTCTGGCTGTTTCAGCATGGCAGCTGACCGCTTGCTGGCGCACCCAAGCGGCACTAAATGACTTGAATCATTTAGAACAAGGGATTAGTGTGTTTGCAGCTGTTTGCATTCCATGCCTGAAGCGTGAGGCAGCCTGGCATTTTGAGATGTTGAGCCTGACTTCCTGGCTTTGAAAACCTGGCTCAAGCTTCGAGACTCAACATTGTCCAATTTTGAGCCATGGTGCGAGGAGTACGAGCTCTGAGGATTGGATGGCGGCGACCTTTTGGGGTCCTTTTAAAGTTCATTCTCGTTTTGTTCGTGCCATCTCTCTTGGCTCCAGCCCTTGATTTCAGCTTCTCAGGCGCCAAGCATAGCTTGGTGGGCGGAGCCTGGGAAAGATCCACGCGGGAGACAAAGGTGACGCGTTTCTCCGACCTGAGCCCAGCGGCTGAAGCTAGCCGTGAAGCTGCAACGGAAGCCATCAAGGCTGTGCCATTTACCTCTGCGCCAGGAGATTTGTTTGGAGGTGGGGCCTGGTTGGGCACTTCCCCATGTACATGTATACTAGTAACTACTTGTAGTATACAGAATTACGTAATTATATAATATAATGTATATAATATATATGGGTGCAAGTCAAAATAGGAGGTCCGGAACAAGCTCCGGGACCACACCCGTTCCATACCCCCGTTCCATACCCCCGTTCCATACCCCCTTGAAGGATCCGTTCCATACCTCTGTTCCATACCTCTGATCCATACGTTATAATATATATATATATATTATTATTATGTATATATATATATATGATATAATTATGTATATATTTAAAATTTTATGTATATTTAATTTTGCAAATACATATACAATAGATATATAATTAACTTATAATTGTATTTTTAATATATATATATGAACATGTGCAATTTGATTTTACATGTTTGCGCACATACAGCCCAAGCCCTGTGATTGTGTTGGGAAGTCTGTGCCTGCAGCACTTAAAACTGCTACCTACTTTGTTGTGTGATGGTAGGGATGCGCTTGGCTGCTGCCAGCTGGCAGTCTAAGAATGGATTGCTTGTAACCCTCTCTCCCTCTCAACCTGTGGCAGGTTTCCGACTGCACCACTTACAGTTGTTGCCTGCTGCGGCACAGCTGTGATGTTTGATGGTAGAGATGCGCTCGCCAGCTGCCAGCCAGCTGGCAGTCTACTCTCGCTCCAACCTGCCAATTTTGATAAAAATGCGCTGCGTGGTTGATAAATAGATGTGCTGCGTGGTGGCAGCTGTGCTGGAGTGGGCCGTTTCGTTCCAGACCCCGTTCCATACCGTTCCATACCCACAGCTTCACATGGTAGCCTGTGGATGACGCTGGCTACCGGTTGTGTCCTAGCTAGTGCACGAGAACTAGCCACGCAAGGCAAACCTGCGTTGAACAGGTGTACAGCAAGCATGTCGTGCAGATATGTGCAGATGAGAAGTGAAAATGAGCGGCAGCCAGCGTGAGTAGCTTTAACAAGCATATCCCTGAGATGTATATTGCACACATATTTACAATAGGTATATATGTATATATATGTACATATGTATGTATAGCTTATATTTCATCACACTCCAAAGGTCCGGAACAAGAACAGTTACGAAGCCCCTTCGTTCCATACATCCGGAACACCGCGGAACGTTCCATACACAATTTTGACTCACAGCCATATATATATGTGTGTGTGTTGTGCAATCATACATGCACACACACGCGCACACACACACCCACATATATATATATAATATATATATAATACATTTTGCAAGTAAAAAAACACGCTCGCATATGTATAATATATGTGTATATATATGTATATATTTACATATGCATATACACATGGGATCACATGGGAAATCATTCAGTCAAATATTTTCTCCCTTTGACTACTACGCAATGGTTTTTTTTGCCTTGCATTTGACCCCTGAACCGCCGAGGTGCTGTGCAGATTTTGATCATCCCTTTCTTTGTTGGTGTCTTCATTGTCTACTTGGTGACAGTCTTCAAGCCTGATGCAATCTTGACAGATGACCAGATGGTGGAATACAAAAAGGCCGAGAAGCAGTACTTCCTTGAAAAGCGTGGTGCCGTCAAAGACCCAGATGCACCAGCAGAGATGAATCGGGCACAGAGGCGTGCTGCCAGGAGTCTCAAGGGCAAGAGGCGTGTGCGCAGCGAATGAGCATCTCAAATTGCGAGTAGTAACTAGTGAATCTGTCCAAAGTTGTGTAGAGTCTCATCCTCATCATGTCATCACGGCAAAGAACCCCTGAAAAATGGCGATTTTCGGCGGCAGAGGCAGTCAAAAGTGTCAGCAGCTTGTCCTAAGATGTCCTAACTGCAGGTGAGCATGTCCATTCCTTTCAGGTGGAACTTCAGTTTTATTTAAGACATTTTCCACAAGTATGTTTATTTACTGTATATAGTTTGCATTTGTTCTCAGCAAAAACTTTGACTCTGCGGAGACCAAGTCAGAAAGATGTGGAAGACTTATGATCCACACCCATATCCATGTTTGTATATAGCTAGTCGCATTGGTGCTGTCAAGTTCCACCATCTATAGATCACAAACCACGAGGCACGTGCCGCTGTGGGCCCAGAGAAGCAGTTCTGAAGTGAACTTGGCCAAGCGGCAAAGCTTGGAACTGGCTATGCGCTTGGGCGGCCGCAGAGGCGGCCCAGAATCCAAGCGGTTGCATGAAAAACATCCTGCGGTTGAATGGGGTGAAATACACGAAAACAGATAACAAAGGGCCACTTAGTCCACTCACTGTGCATGGAAGTTTCCATGAAGTGCTGAAAGATCTGGGGGGGCGGAAATTACTTTAAATTACTATATCAATGCCTGGAGCTGCACCATGCTGGGGATTTTGCACGTGGCAACATTTCACAGCGCACAGCAAGCCCGGGGGTTTAGGGACCTCACTTCAACTTATCCTCACTGATCCTCACCTTGTCTCTCTGGATTGGATGAAAAACCATGAAAAACATCTTTTGCGAGACTGGGCAGCTAGTCATGATATACAATGGTTGCAACGAGGCAGCCATCAATGGAAGCCATGGTGCAAAAAGCAATGCAGTTGGCAGCACAAGAGTAAAGACATGTTTGTTTGCCAAGTGAGTCATTCGCAGAGAACGCTAGGCACTTCTTGTGGTGTGATTGAAAACCATGATTCGTGTTACTATCCTGTGCTGGCTAAGGGCATTGCCCTTGTTTGACAATAGAATACCCCCAAATCCCATCAAATCCCTTGGTCTATAATAATGTTCACCATCACAATGCATACAATTGCCACATTGTGGGATCCCCCATCATGGACAACCCCACGTGTACAAAATGGCTGTTACTGTACATGCTATGGTGAATGAATGCCATCATTCACCATCCATTACCACAATATCTCCATTGTTGGGAGTGACAGACTCTGCGCTGCAGGAGGTGTCTCTGAGTTCATGATGCGCTTTGCTCTTGACAGATGTTTGGATGCGCGTAGCGCACTGAAACTCAGCTAGGGCAGATATGGGCAGATGCGCCTGGTAATCCCAAAACCCCCCATGAGCAAAAAAACTAAAATAAAAAACGCAAACATCAATATCATTGATAGATTCATATAGATATATATATATATATGTCAATACCAAACGAGGGTACAGTATGTGTGGGACAATCACTATGGTGGGGGGATTATGTGCTCAAGTGGCTAGTCGTGCTTAGTTGTGCAATCCAGTTTTGTTAGTCAAGGACTTTCTTCCAGATTCTGCGTGAAGCTGAGCGTCAAGGGGGACAGCTATATTCGCAAGAAGACATCAGTGCAAGCTTCCAAGTTGCAGCTCAGTCGTATCACCAGGAAAGATGCACTGAGACAAGCGCTGCGCCGATGTCTCACGTTAAAAGGTTGAACGTTACACATGTCCTTTTTTTTAAATGCCGGACAATCATGAGAACCATGGACTTGCTGTAGAGAACTAAGAGCCTTCATCCATTTGCATCCAAAACTTTGTAGGAATCGCCCGCAGGCCCCCGCGACACCGAGATTCGTACAACTGGTAGTGTGGTATAGTATGCTGACCTTCAGCCACGATTGTGATACGTACAGTAGGCATCATTAACAAAGGCGTGCTGAGACTGAAGTGCAAAGAATGAGCCACAGTGGTTGAATGGGGAGACAACGGATGTATAGTGGGGATATGGGGCAGTGCCATTGAGGTGAAGAATCGTGCTTGGCAGCTTTGGCAAAGCGTCGACAGACGCAAGTGCAACGATTGAAAGCAGATGGAAGTTCCGATGAAGGCATTCGGGGAAGATCCTGTGAATATGTTTCGAATACCAACACACACACACACGCACACACACACACACGCACATACATGCACACCACACACAAACACACTGTGCATGCGTCTCTATACCAATAACACGGTGTATATATATATATAGAGAGAATATATTATTAAGCTTTTTATTTATAATCATTATTTTAAATTATATAAATTTATTATTGTTATTTGTATTATTATTGTTATTATACCTGCCCAACTTAACTACTTACTACCTACCTACCTACCTACCGACTTACCGACTTATATACAGACCTATATATCGACTGAGCATGACTGAGCTACCTACCTACGTACCCACATACCTACATACATAAGTACATACTTGCGTACGTACATATACATACTCATAACCATCTGCCCGTCCGTCCGTCCGTCCATCCATCCATCCATCCATCCATCCCTGCCTCCCTCCCTCATTCCCTCCATTCCTCATCAAAAACTCTGAGCCAGGGCTAGAGCCCAATCGTACAACTATGAACGCGTAACATTTCATTACGAATGGCAGCAACAACAGCTACAAATTGAATAAACGGATTCCTTAAACGATGTAAAATGGTTACACACTGAAAACTGCTTAAACATATTTCCTTTAAATATATTGCCAATATTCTCCCCATACAGTTGGAGGAAAAAAAGGGCCAGGAGGGCCTGCGTGGCTGTTTCCCGACCCGCCAGGTGCTGGCTGGGAGGTCTCTGATATCGAGTGCCACTCAGGGGAAGAGGCACTTGAAAAGGAAGCGCCACTGAAGGTGACACCGCAGCTCTTGGCAGACTTGGGTGACTTTGGCCATCTTTGGCGCCAAAAAATAACGTCCGTCTTCATTTGCAAACACTGCGTTTCTGAGCGTTTTCTCATGGAATTTATGGAGTATGTTGATTTGATTCTGTATGGAGTATTGTGTGTGTGTGTGTGATTTCTTAGCTTCCTATTCCTTCCTTTCATTTGTTTGGTGTGTTTTTGATATTGCCCCTGATCTTCTCAATATTCATTGCAGTGAAAGGGTACCATTCATATATGGCCTTTCCGTATCTTTCCGTTGCTTCCCAGGTGTGGAACCCACCAAGGAGGAATTGGACATGGATCAGTGGTATCCATCCCATTTGTGGGATGAAAATTCAAATCTCCTCCCTGGCGACCTGGCCGAAGAGATGGCCTGGAGATTTCATGGTTGATCGTTGAATTTCATTGACCCTGTGAAAAATTAAGGTTGCAAAAATGTTGACCATCCATGTCTTGGAAACCAAAGGTCGCATACAATCATAGACATATTATATTATATATATATATATCTCTCTCTCTCTCTGTGGCCCATTGAACTGCTGCTTTGATCCATTTTGGCTGATTTGTGGCTTCGGCTAGGGACCCTTTTTTGACAGCTTGAAACTGCAATTTTGGGGCGCGCCCCCGTGAGACGAACTGGTCACATCATGTCACATCTTGCAAGAAATGCTACCACCTTAAAACGGTTGCACCTCCAAGATCTGAGTTCCACCAAGGCAGGTGCAATTAGGTCCACCAGGTCCACCAATACTTAGGCCATCGTGGCTTCAATCAGCGGGCCACAAAGGCATCTTGGTATATCTTAGCCGGCTTAGCATGTTGAACGGTCAACGAAGAATGCTGATTTTCAATGCAATCCGCTAAGACGTGTTTGGCCTCTTGGATGGACCACATTCCTGACACATGGGGATGCTGAAAGTAAAGGCTGATCAAGGCAGCCACAAGGCATCTTAAGGTGTTGATTTTCGACATGGCTTACTCCGAGTCAGCCACTATCAGCCACTCCTTGGTGGCACCCACACCTCTTCTCCAGATCATTGAGGTTCTGCGACGGGCAGAGGTTTGCCAGCCACCCGTTCCTCAGCAAAGCTCGGCTAGCTGCAGACCTTTACAGCCACACCAGGACAGCAGGGCAGTGTCGTGCAGGCCACAACGGTTTCAATAAAGTTTGAAGAGATTTGATAGGCCTGATGAGCACTCCAAATGAAACACGGTAATTATATTGTGATAAATCCAACGAAGTAATCTGTACTGTTCCCTCCTACTAAAGCATAGCTAAAAGTGGATGTTATTTATTTTTAGGCTTACCGCTTGATAAGAAGCACTAGGAGTTCATCCGTTCATAGGTTGTAAACATTTGTAAACATAGGACCAGCATATAAAACATCTCCAGCTTCCCAGGAGATTGTGCGACTCTTGGTTCACCCGAAGAGTCCGGTGCAACGATTGCTGGTGGATCATCCAACTGGATCTGGGAAAACCCGCGAAATGATTTGCGTCCTGGAGAATTTTTTCTATGACCAGCGCCCCAAGATTGCCATTTTCCCCAAGGCCGCAATTTGCCACCTGCCAGAATTTTGGTTTTGGTGGTGTAAGATGGCCTTTTTGCATTCCACTGTTCACAGGATCACGTGGATGATGATAGATGGGTTATGATTGGGTCACCTGCTCAAAGCAGAACCGGTGTCATCAGGATCATCAGGTCCATTGGGCCTGCCGTTTCATGCTTGGAGACGTCCTTTTTTTCCGCACTTTTTCGATGATTTCCCTTTCTGAAAACATGTTTGCATGTTCAGCCTAAATCACAGGGTTTGCGCATCGGGGCACTCCAGCAAGTTCTGCTGCGAGCACCTCCCATGTGTCCACAACACAGTCTCCCTGTTCCTTATTTATGATTATTCATGTCTTTTTCGATTTCGACTCAATCCTTGCGTCATGTTGAGGAAGGTGTACGCCGACTCTCCCACTAGACATGTTGTGTGAAAGTCTGACTGCTACCTTTTGGCAACCTTTGGAGTCTATTTTGCGTTTGTGATTCTCGGTGTTTCTGTGACGCGCTCGATATTTCAAAGGTCGGAATTTTTATACAGAACCTTGCCTGAAAGTGGCTATAAGTCTCCTTTGAGTCCGCTGATGAATTCTCATTTGTGTGATGAACATTTGAGGGCCAGCCTGAAGGGAAGTGCTGGTAGGTCGTGCAACTAGGGCTGTGGTTCTTGTTTGCGAAAAGAGGATATATCCTAAGTCTTGCCGAGTCTGGCCTGGATTTAGATCTGATTGACCTGAAATCTGTGGATTTCATAGCTTCAATATATGGGCTGAGTTGGATATGATATGACCATGACTCTTCAATACTCTTCAATTGGCAGCTTTTTTTAACGTCATGTCATATCTGCCGTATTTACCCGTGATCCCGTGACTTCTGCCACTAAGGAGCTACTAAGATGGCCGAACCGCTACCGTGATTACTTCAGTTGCTTGCGGCCACGGGAAGCTTCCCTGGCAGCTGGAGCGCATGAAATGCGACGAGAGATGTGGGACCTCACAAGGCGACTGCCTTGCTGTGTAGCCTCAGGTTATCATAGCTGCAGCTATGACATAGCTATGACATAGCTATGGAAAGTCGCCTTTGTGCAATAGGTAATAGTTATTGGCTAGGTAAATCATGGGAAATCATCCATGCCCTGTTCCATAGCCATGTTAAAATTACTGGAGGCTTGACTCTCTATGGAGTAGGCGGTTCCTGCGGATGATTTCAGGCTGCCGGAGAAGACAGTCCGCGAGCTGATCCGATCCCTACGGGAGGTCCTGGAGATGAAGGGCCAATCCTTTCGAGGATTCATGCGGAAATCCTTCAGAGACCTCTTTAAGGAGCTCGGCTGCAAGATCAAATAGCCTGGAGCTGGTGAAGAGCCCTCGGGTTTCATCCAAAATAATCAAAATATGAGAAAACGTTGGTTTTGATAGGAAAATCTTGTACAAGCGGGCCATGCTCATCCATTTTACATAGCTATGTTAGATTACCACATAGGGTTTGAAGTTCGAAGTTGCAGCGGCTTCAATCAAAGCAGCTCCGGCCTCGGTATGTCGCAGTGCCTTTGATGCTCAATGAGTTCAAGACCCAGTAAATTAAGACAAATTTACGATATAGACTCAGAAGTACATTAAGATCAACATGATTATTGATATAGACCATCTGGATATATATGGGTATATATATATATATGTATATATATATGGAGGACAAAACCATGTGTAGGTCTTTTTCTCTCCCATGAAAGCCATGTTGTCCACCAAGGCGCAGCACCCTGGGGAGCCCATGCCGTTGGCGCCTCTCATTGCCATCAGTTTCTCAAGACGCCTTTAATCGTCGTTGTGTGCGTGACCAACAATGGTTACTAATGGTTGTACCGCTTGGGATGGAACCGGTTTATAGTTGGCAAAAAAGGTGCAACTGAAGTTACTATGAATTGAGTATTCGTTTGATTCTTTTGGGGGTGGCTGCAAATGATGGAAACCTACAGGAAACTCCGATGAATAAACGATGGTCCACGGTCAGAAACAACACGGCTTCCTCTAAATTTTCCTGCCAGCAAACCCAGTGAACAGCACTTCATGCAGGCTATGCATCAGCCGGTGGTTCCTATGTTGCGATGAACAATGGCCAGCCGGTGTCTGCAGTGACTTTGCTTAAGAGGCGGCCAGTCCCATGTGTGATTTACTCCTGGCAGTTGACTTCTTCAGCTGTTACTGTTTCCGTATATTTCGTCCACATGACAGATATGACCGTACAGTCTTACAGCGGGATGATGTACGACTCAAAGGACTGCTTACGCTCTTTTGCATTCTTTTGCGCAAATCTGGGACTTGGATTTATTGATAGAGAATCATTCATTGCTCCGTCCTGTCCTGCCCTGGCAAAGAAGGCGAGTTGCAGCGGTTTAGTCTTGGCAAGCGGCAAATCTAAGGTGATGAAGATAGCTTGGCATGGCTTCTCGGCCGGTCTTTGCCTTCATGAGTTTTTCCCCACATCTTTGTGTGGGGTTCTTGTTTTTCATTTTGTATCCCGCCGCCTCGCCCGCCTCACTCGCCCGCCTCGCCGACACACCACTTTGACACACCAACCATCTTTCACACACCACTTTGTCAACACCATCTTTCACACACAACTTTATCACACACCATCTATCACACACAACTTTGTCACACACCATCTTTCACACACAACTTTATCACACACCATCTATCACACACAACTTTGTCACACACCATCTTTCACACACAACTTTATCACATACACCATCTATCACACAACTTTGTCACACACCATCTTTCACACACCATCTTTGTCACACACCATCTTTCACACACAACTTTATCACACACCATCTTTCACACACAACTTTGTCACACACCATCTTTCACACACAACTTTATCACATACACCATCTATCACACAACTTTGTCACACACCATCTTTCACACACAACTTTATCACATACACCATCTATCACACAACTTTGTCACACACCATCTTTCACACACCATCTTTGTCACACACCATCTTTCACACACAACTTTATCACACACCATCTTTCACACACAACTTTGTCACACACCATCTTTCACACACAACTTTATCACATACACCATCTATCACACAACTTTGTCACACACCATCTTTCACACACAACTTTATCACATACACCATCTATCACACAACTTTGTCACACACCATCTTTCACACACCATCTTTGTCACACACCATCTTTCACACACAACTTTATCACACACCATCTTTCACACACAACTTTGTCAGTCTTTGTCACACACCATCTTTCACCGCACCATCTTTCACACACCATCTTTGTCACACACATCTTTGTCACACACCATCTTTCACCACACCATCTTTCACACACCTTTCTTTCACACACAACTTTGTCACACACCATCTTTCACCGCACCATCTTTGTCACACACCATTTTTCACACACCTTTGTCATACGCATTCATACGCCATCTTTCACCACACCATCTTACACCTACATCTTTCACACACATCTTTGTCACACACCATCTTTCACCACACCATCTTTCACACAACATCTTTGTCACACACAACTTTGCGTGGCAGGCGTGGCACTTGGTGACATCTAAATTCGTTTCACGTCGCAGGCGTGGCACTTGGCGACATCTACCTTCGTTTCACGTGGCAGGCGTGGCACTTAGGGCACTGGGCTGGCTCTGGTGGCGCGCTTGGGCCCGGATTGGTCGCCGGTGATGCCGCGGCACATTGCGTGGCAGGCGTGGCGCTTGGCGACATCTACCTTCGTTTCGCGTGGCAGGCGTGACACTGGCCTGGCTCTGGTGGCGCGCTTGGGCCCGGATTGGTCGCCGGTGACGCCGCGGCACTTTGCGTGGCAGGCGTGGCACTTGGTGACATCTACCTTCGTTTCACGTGGCAGGCGTGGCACTTGGCGACATCTATACCTTCGTTTCACGTGGCAGGCGTGGCACTTAGGGCACTGGGCTGGCTCTGGTGGCGCGCTTGGGCCTGGATTGGTCGCCGGTGACGCCGCGGCACTTTGCCTGGCAGGCCTGGCACTTGGCAACATCTATCTCCGTTTCACGTGGCGGGCGTGGCACTTGGCGTGGCAGGCAGGCGTGGTACTTATAGGGCACTGGGCTGGCTCTGGTGGCGCGCTTGGGCCGGGATTGGTCGCCGGTGACGCCATGGCACTTTGCGTGGCAGGCGTGGCACTTGGCGACATCTATCTTCGTTTCACGTGACAGGCGTGGCACTTGCCGACATCTACCTTCGTTTCACGTGGCGGGCGTGGCACTTAGGGCACTGGGCTGGCTCTGGTGGCGCGCTTGGGCCCGGATTAGTCGCCGGTGATGCCGCAGCACTTTGCGTGGCAGGCGTGGCACTTGCTGACATCCACCTTCGTTTCGCGTGGCAGGCGTGGAACTTATGGCCCTGGGCTGGCTCTGGTGGCGCCCTTGGGCGCGCCTTGGCGCGCTTGGTCGCCGGTGACGCTGCGGCACTTTGTGTGGCAGGCGTGGCACTTGGTGACATCCACCTTCGTTTCACGTGGCAGGCGTGGCACTTGGTCACATCCACCTTTGTTTTGCGTGGCAGGCACGCACACACCATCTTTCACACACCACTTTGTCACACACCATTCTTCACACAGCATCTTTGACACACCCTCTTTCACACACCATTTTTGTCACACACCATCTTTCGCACACCATCTTTGACACACCATCTTTCACACACCACTTTGTCACCCACCATCTTTGGCACACCATCTTTCACACACCACTTTGTCACCCACCATCTTTGGCACACCATCTTTCACACACATCTTTGTCACACACCATCTTTCACACACAATCTTTCACACCAAATCTTTGTCACACACCATCCTTCACACACCATCTTTCACACACCATCTTACACCTACATCTTTCACACACATCTTTGTCACACACCATCTTTCACCACACCATCTTTCACACACCATCTTTGTCACACACCATCTTTGTCACACACACCAGACCATCTTTCACACACCATCTTTCACACACTTCTCGATCCTCCACCACCTCCTTTGTCTTTCCTTCCTCCCCGTCCCCGCTACAACATTTGGTGCTCATTATTGGAAGAAGCTGCCTTGTAGGGTTATCCGGTCCTTTAATTAAATGCATTGCAAGGCGGGCGTATACAAGCAAAACAATGTCCAAAAACACAACAAACAGCGTTGCAACAGAAAAAGCAGACATAAGTCATCATAAGTCTGAGATAGTCTGAGTTTGTGCAATTACATTGCTTGATTATGTTATATTATGTTTTATTCATAGTATGTTCGTGTCTATTCATATATTCAAGTCTTTGCACAGCAGCAACAACAACAAAAACGAAAACAAAAACAAAAGCAAGAGAGGTGCACTTTGTCGCACCACTGAAATATCCACAGCATCAGGGTCCACCTCTGCAGGGTTCTGTCACTGAGGTGCCCGACCTGGGTGTGCTGGTGCTGGGAGCGCACCGCGGTCCCACAATGCACCTTGGGAGAAACGTTGCGATGCTTCCAACGTGTTCCAAGGTGTGTCTGAAACCTTTCTTCAGGTCTCGCAATGTCATACGTGTTACCTTTACCTTACCTGTCCCTGACACATAAAATATGTTTTTACAATTTTTTCTATGTTCAACAGTTTTCAGGATACTATTTCTATCTCTATCATCCTCCTCTCTCTGCCGTTCATAATTCGGAGTAAGATCCTGAACATTTCTTGTCACAAAATGCCTGAGCGACAATCATTCCACAAAATTCAGAGAGCGTCATCAACATACCATACGTTTCCAGACAGAATATGAAGTTAAAAATGTTCCTGCAGTGCAGCACGTTTTCAACAATCAGCTTGTTCAGGCTCAGGTCTTGATGTGTTCTTTTTTTGCGATGTTGTTCGTATTGAGTGATAGAAATCAACATCGGTGCAAGATATAGATGAAAAAGGCGCCTACTTTATCCCACTGTACTAGTCTTGGGTAACATGTTCATTTGTTTTTGACGGATTGTCTTAAAAGAGGTTGCCTGCATTTGGGAAAAGTTAGGAGTGTTTTGGACGTCAAGGCATTTCAAAGAGGTCTTTCATGGTCTTTACTGTAGACACTCGCTTATTCATGAATCCCCTATGTAAACCTGGCATGTCGGAGATTCCATTCATATACGGAAGTTCATTCCACAAAACCAATTTGTTGCACACTTTCAACCCTGGCCTTACTCTTTGTAAACATCCGCGTTGTGTGGACTGCAAGTGGTACGCCCGCAGAGCGGGAAATATGTATGGAAATATGCTATCCGGAAATTGCTCATCAGGCAGAGAAATCCAGATCTCAACCATCCAGAAGTTTGCAACAAACATCAAAAATGATTTTAGAAACCCAACCCTAGCCCAGTCATGCCCAGTCAGACCCCAGGTGTTGGATCACAAGATCCTTCTACTTGACGAAGCGCACCAGCTGCTGCATCCCGGCCGCTACTTCTGGCAGTTGCAGCAGCTCCGGAGGCAGCTGGCGGCAGCGCAAGGCTCTGTGGTGGTGGGTTTCAGCGGTACCCTGGCGTTGGACCAGCCGGAGGAAGGACGACAGCTGCTGGAGATTGTCAAAGGCGGTGCCGAAACGGTGCTGTGTGATGAAGGCGCACAAAATGGGAATGTAGAAGTAATGTACCCGTAGAGACTTGTTGTTACTTGAGTATGATTAGAATATCATTTGCAAATATATAATAATAATATATATATATATATGTGAGATTGTATTAGATATGTATGTAAATAACGTACAACGGTTATTGTTGTTCCTCTTAGGGTACCACATAAGTTCCATGCATACATTTTGCTGCACTGCAGTTTGCCAAGACATCCCATGGAGACGCTGTTGCAAATGGCAGAAGCATCATGATAAACTGGGCAGGCGAGCGCATGCATGCATATAATATTATATATAATTGAATATATATATATATTATTTTATTATATAATTTCAAATATATATATATATATATAATATACAAATATATACATACAAATATACACATCATGCAACAGATATAGACATAGAGGTTTAAATGTCAGCATGTGGGAACAGTAGATGGCCCACAATGACCCGTATGTGCTTCACGTTGTTTTTTAAACGTAAGGACTACGCCCAGCCATTGAGGGTACCCGATGTTTGGCCCGCTATGGATGTTTTCATTGTGGCCGCGATCAGTGACTGCACGCACCAGGTGCATCGAGCGCACCGAGTACACCGAGTATACACATGATTACACATGCAGCGCACCGAGTGCACCGGGTGCACCGAGTGAACCGAGTGCACATGCAGAGCACCGAGTGCACCGGGTGCACCGGGTGCACCGAGTACACCAGTACGCATGCAGCATATCTACATCCATTTACCAATCTATAAAATCTAATCTAACCCAATCTAAATTTAATCTTATTTAATATATGGTGGATAGATAGGGATATAAGTAGACCAATCCACAGACTGATAGATCGATAGATTGAAAGGAAGGTAGGACGATAGTAGAATGGGTGTTCGCAGTCTGACTGCATATGCATGTTTCACATTTTATTCAGCATGCAAATGTGTAGTCATGTCAAACTGAATCTGCATCCAAGTTTGCAATTAACACCTGCAGACTTTCTACAGATAGGTTAACAGTCCCCCGCAAGATTTGCTCGCAACCACAGCTTTCTAGTTTTCAAGTGTGGACTCTTGACATGGACTATTGCAACTTTCAAAAGTCCACAGTCTCAGGCAGTCTCAGACAGATTCGTCCCTGAGGTTTTTTGTCCTCATTTCCAACTCGACCCAGAGAATTCTTCGCAGAAGCTTTGCCCAAGGGCGTTCCAGACGAGCTGAGCGAGCAAATCCAGGAGAAATTGGTACATCGAATCTCGACTGGCGAAATGGGTCGCCCGAGTACCTTTTACCCTTACAAGGCCTTACAAGGTTCGTGGCCCTCGCAAGGTTCATTGCATAATAATCCTTCAATTTAGTGTTTGCTCCGGGGCTTTGTAACCCCAGATTTGTCAGGAATTAGCCTATCAGGGGAAAGCCTGAACTCATATGACCTGAAGATAGAGAAGGGCGTGGACGGCAAGCGATTGGCAGCATATTGCAATGTGTGCTCTTTCGTGTCCAGTTCCTTTGATGTGATGGGGCTCTGGCATCAAATGTTCTGCACCTGGTGCACCTCACTCCAAACATCTCCAAACTGTTGTTTCTAGATCTTTTCTAAAGCTACCACATCTACAATCAAGCAACTATTGTGGGTGGTTCCTTACATCCCACTGAGCAATTTCCTGGGCTTCCTGAAACAGTACCATTCAGACTGTGTCAGAAAAGTGCCATGAGCACTGCAAAGCTTTGTGGTCGGGTGGTTCGTCATAATATGACTTGGCTAGGTTGTGCCTCAGTGTGCTTCAGGTGTTACAGACATCATCAGACATCATGCCACTGCAAAAGCTGTCAACCACGCAGGCTTCCACGATGGTGCAGGAGGTAGCAAAAATCGAATCCTGGCGTGTCCAGAAGAATGTTGTCCCAAACTATGGGCCGTAGCCCAAGCAGTCGCCAATTCCCAGAAGAAGGCCTTGGTGATGACATCGCGGGCCTGCGGTTACCTGGTGATGTTGGCACTGCTGCGGCAGATGGCTGAGAAGTCCACGAAATCGAAGTCAGCAGTACCGTTTCAAGTCGCCACTATGGAGGAACTGGCGGAGTTTAACCATGTGTCAAATGCCACTGGACAAGCTGCTTGGTGGAAGTTGCGTTGAACATGCTGAACCATTGGTGTTCACCAGGTTTCTTGTTGGCCAGAGGTTCGGTACCCAGAAGTTGGCTTGTGGAGGTTTCATCCTTTGCCATGTTCCATCATGTTCCATCATGTTCCCTCAATTGGCAATGTGAAGATGCATGTTTCAATTTCACTCATTGTATACATAATTGCTGTGGACACATGTTTTGACTTCTCATTGGGTAGACCCATCAGTTTCAGGTCTTTCGCGTTTTGGTGGCCAATGCTAGTGATTGCGCCGAAGGAATCAGTTTCCTTGCAGTTCGACACGTGCACCTGACAGAAGTGCCCTTGTCACAGGGTCGTTTCCTTCAGATTTGTGGGAGAGCATTGCGCATGTTTGGTCATGAGAGCCTGCCCAAGGACTTGCCGGCATGGGACATGGCGGAAATCATTGAAATGCCATTTTGATGCCATGTTGATCTTTTGAAGATCTTGAAGTTACTTAGATTTATAGTATTTTATAGCTTGATGATGTTGCATGCTACCATAACCAATCCTTCCTTCACAACGTTTGACTGTGCGGTTACTAACCACACCGTTAAACCTGTTTTTAGTTAGATGACTGCAGAAAATCAGTTCTATCTAGCCACAAATTGTTTCACATCCAGAGAGTGGACTAACCGTATTAGCTCAGTCCCAATGCAGTTGGGAAGAACATATTGATACGAAGAAGGGGTGGAAAGCAATATAAGAGAAAACATCGAATCTGCTAACAGGTCAGCTTTAGTTGCAACTGCAAAATCTGAAACAGTTCTTTGTCTAGATCATTGTTTGGAACTGTTTGATCCATTTTGAGGCATGCCACGTGCGTGAAAAACGCGTGAAAAGTGCGTGAAAAACCCGTGAGCACCATCAAAAAACTAATGTGTGTGTGTGGGGCAACCCCGGTACCAAAGGGCTATAATCAGAATTACTCCGGCGTCTAAGTTTTAACTCATTACTGACTAGCAGCAGGGGGCGGCAGAGTCGCTGCATGGCTGTCGCCAACGAAGCTCCATGCAGTAGACTAGGATATGGAGTCTGATCAATTCCACGTACCTGCATTTTATCCGTAATTTCATTCCGTTTCAGTGAGCGACTGTTTTTCATCAGTATGTACACAACAGAATCCAGTTTTGCAATTCTTTCGAACGGAGTTTATCACAGCAGTTTCATTTTTTTGCTGAAAAAGGCCTTAAACTGGAATAATCCCTTCCTCCTAATACTAGACGTTCCCCCACCTGTTACTAAACACGGCAGGTAGTTTTTAGTATTAGGGGGTATTAGTATTGCGGAACCCTAATACTAAATTTAAACCCTTAATAATAAAAACTATTTTTCCGATCTCAAAATCAATTTAATTTCGTTATTTAATGCAATTAAAATATTGCCAAAAATTGGATTTCGAAGCTTCCCCCCAATAATAAACACCCCGGGGTTGACTAGTTTTTAGTATTAGGGGGGGAAACCCACAAATGGTAGGTTGATTTTTAAATTGTTTTCTAAAGGGGATCAATTAACAGTCAAATTGGCCAATCTGAAATTTTCAAAAATTGGAGATGGACACTAGTTTTTAGTATTTGGGCGGGGTTTAGTATTAGGAGGAAGGGATTATCCAGATCCCTTGATGGGAAACAAGAAGTGACTCATAGACGACAAAGGGTCTGTCAAGTGTGTCTTCGGCCGAGATTCCGTCATGGTCCGGTCGTGATCCGGTAAAAAATCCTCAAGGATTGCCCGCGTGTGAATTTCTTCATCTGAATGGGCTTCGGCCATGACGAAGAACCTGTATGTCTGTTCCTTGATCAGAGAAAAAACAAGGCAAAATTCCTGGATCGTTTTGACCATGATTATCTCCATCTGTATTCTCTGAAATCACGATATGATTTGGGAACTAATTTTCCAACTGTTCCTCAACCTGAGTAACTCGCGAAATATTTTCCTGGAGATCCAAGATCTCCTCATGCATGTTTTTACCGTGCCAAGAAGTTGAAAAATCTCTGAGTTGGTCTTGTACCATGAATCTCTCTGAATCTCTCTGAACCTTTTGGGTTTACCCAAACAAAGGTCTCCGGACCCTCACCTGAAAGAACTATGAGTCCAAAAGAAACAAGGCAAGAGAACAATTTTCAGTCGATTTTCATTCGGTTTCCCATTATATACAGTTCTGCGGTTACATTACCATTGCCCATCATGTACAGTTTTTCAGCTGATTCGTCGTGTATCCACTGTACATAACCGAAGCGCATGAGTATGATTCTTCCTTCTTGCATAGTCACGTCGGCTCAGTCTCACGACCAAAAAAGAATTCCGATTGCTCACAAAGTTTTCCATGGTCCAAGTGTTTGTCATTTTTCCACTGTTTCTGCTCTGGAAGACTTTTGATTGCGAGCCATGACATACAACGTGTACAGTCGATAGGGAAGACCAATGATTTCAACCATTCAAGTGTTTTCCAAAGGTCGACCACCAGCACCACCGAGCACACTCTCCAATGTAGAGATGCCCAACAGTGCAACGGCAGTAGATCCAACTGGACCATTTGTGAATTCAGCTCCCAATGTAGAAGGTCTCGGTCGTGAACATGCTTCTAGGCATAAACCACGTAAATCGCGTAGTTCTCGGAGATCCAGGTCGAGAAGAACTAGACTCACCAGACGTTCGCCTAGACCAAACCAATCTATGAGATCGTACTTGTATCAATCTAGAAGATCTAGAAGATCTCCACAGAGGTCACGTAGTCCTGCACGTTTTCATGCGCCAGGTGTTTGGGCCAACTAAGATTGGCTCGATGCCTCACCAGGCAATTGGCAGATAGCACCACTGCCACCGCCTCCGTTTCCACCACCACCTCGGTGCCGGGGAACAGACCCGGACCTTTTACAGCTTTTCCTCACCAAGTGTCACGGGCATCACTAGACGCATCGACGGACCGATGGATGCTCATTTCTACGCGCTGTATAAAAAATTGTACAGACAACAGAATCGTGATTTTCCCCACTTCTGAAACCTTTTTGAAACATTTGGCCTTTTTGCTGGCGAAAGCTGATATCATGGTTACTGACTAGCATGAGTTGAGAACTGTTTCACACGGTCCCAATTGGTATCGTTCTCCAACACAAGCACCAGAGGCAATTCAACAATTTTATGTTTTGCCCCTTCCAGTGCTCAAAAAATTGAGCCGGTGTTCCATCAGATATGCCACCAGCACCTCGAAGGGCAGCGCCTGACAGAAACATGTCAGAAGTGATTCACTTAGCATTTACTCACGCTACAAATCAAGGCAACTTTGTAGCCATCATGCGTGAAAGCCGTCTGGCAGCTAGTACGGTGAAACATTCAGACAGTGAATCGATTTTTGCTCAGGGACTTAAACTTGGCCAAACAACCTGGGATGATCATGAACTTGGCAGGATTCTTCACAATGGCACAACCATTAGTAAGAATGAATGTGGTGTCGTTTTCCTTGGCTTAGCCTGGGGAGCAGGCAAAGCGGTGCACCAAGGACGAGAGGGCCAACGTATCTCTATGACAAAGCCAGGTGGACATGGTTGCGTCCACCAAAGCGTGGACGAATGTGGGTGATTTCCACGCGATCCCACTTGCTACAAGGCCTGGCATGTAACTCTCAAGAGAAGGTCCCTAGCTCCATTTTCTAGTGACGTTTTGTGATCTTTTCTGTTTCTCCGAAGATGTTTTCCTGGTGATCACAATCTTCGTTTTCCATTATATTTCTATGAGCTTGGCAATCTCAGTCACGGCCGAGTGCAGATGGTGTGAAACATCATCCTGCTTTTAGCCGTTCTTCCAGTCAAATAATGACTAGACGATGACGCTCACCTAAAAATTTGAGATGATTCTTCAACCGCTAGTATAGTCAGTTCTTCATCCGCACTATCCCCACGCAGTGGCAACAGACACCGGCCCATTTTGATGAAACGGTGCTTCATGGATACTCCATGTACCGCACCATCCAACCGACAGCTTGGAGTAGAAAGAGAAGATTACATTACATGCCATGGACCCACTCCAAGTTCCTTTGGCGGCTCTATGTCGACATGGAGCACAAGAATTCAGTTTGCGTCCTTTTAGCGCTGGACGCTTCATCGGCATTGTCACGACCAGAACGGTCGCAGAATCCGTGTTTTGTTCTCAATTGCTGAAATGCATGCGAGACAGTGGTATTGATGTGGATGCAGTAGCAGAGCACTGGCATCGCACTCAAACTTGATTCCTTCAAAACAGGATCAACCTGTGGATATTATCAATCCTGTAGTTGCTGAGGTTGTTTCAAGATTGAAAGCGTTGCAACCGAAAAAGGTTGAAGGGTCTGCGGTTCGTAGGTTGCAACAAGTTGAACAGGAGTTGCGTCAAGCCAAACGCCAGTTGTCTGCAGCTGGCAAGGGTGCAACACCCGCTCCAGCGTCGGCGTCGGCACCTAGCTAGCTTAAACAAACGACGTCCATCGGAACAGATTGGAAGCACCCCGAAGAAGAGAGCCCGCCCTAAACGCAAGGCGAATTCTGAGGCTCTTTCGGGTAATTTAAAATCTTTGTGGGCCCAGAAACATGGTGATTCATCACAAGCCATGGAAGGTCTGTCCAATAAAATTGAACTTTTCTCTGATGATATTCCAGAGAAAGAAAAAGAAAAAGATGACGAAGTCATCACGGCAGAAGAATGTCTCCGCCCGCGGTCTCCAGTGCTCCAAGACAATGTTCCCATTGGCCATTCAGATACTGCCATTTCAAAATGGGCCAAGAGCTTCCCAACAATAACGCGGGAGGCAGCTGTCAAACTAATTCCAGTGATTCGCAAAATGCCGATCTTCCGAAAAGCCGTTTGCAAGAATCATGTATCAAGTATGATATCGATATGGAATTGACTTTGAAGTTAGCGCCTCGAAGCATGCACCAACTTATTGGAATAGGTGCAGCCTTGTGTGCTTGACTAGCCTTTCATCCTGAGGATTTGCCGCGTTTGAAAACTTTTTGAAGTCCTGGCAAACCTCCCAGAAGCTTTGACCTTTTGCATTCATAGTATACCTCATATTCCGAAAGCTTTTGCTATGCGGGCTTTGAGCTTGATTCATGTTCTGTTGCTTTCATGTTTTTCAGCCCCAACGATTGGGTCTCGTAAGTGGTGCAACAGAACTTTTTGAATGTGAGCCCAGCGATTTTTTACTTTCCATTTTTTAATCTCAATGTGTAGTTTACGACCAACTGCCATTTCACCCGATTGATCCATCTCATCCCGTGTGCAGCCAGCATGGCCATTTCTATGTCGGCTCCACTGGCATTTCAGCCAGTAAACGAGATTTCAATCAAGCGGCCAAGTTGAAACAACTTGAGAACGGTCAAGCTGTGCAATTAGGCACTGGCTTTCCAACAACAATTTTCCTCTCTTTTTAATTTGATTGTGTTGGAACCACATAGTACCTAGGAACAAGTGTAGGTTCGTGAACATTGTTTGATCGGCTATGGGCAAACCATGCTTTACCATCCTTTTATTTCAAAGGTCTTGAGGTTAAAATCTGAGGGTTGGAAATGGCAGTTTCAAGCCAACCGCTCACCACCAATCAAATTGGGACCTCGCCTTTTTTTCAGCGCTTGCGAAGACGTCTTCGCACTGTGGGCAGTGTTCCCAGTGAACACTCCAATCAAAACAAAGCTTGGCGTATATTACATCTTTTAAGTCTCCATACTCGAAGTAATTATGAGACTTTCCAGCGGATCCGAACTCGTGAATTTCACACCCTGGAGGTGTAGTGCATTGTACAGACTATCCGTTCATCCCGTTTTCTGGCACATGATGATTTTCAAAAGGCATGTTGAAGGCTGGTTGAGAAGTTGAATTCCAATCTTTGGCAATTCCATATTGTTTCTTCCAGCACGACATTTGAGAGCTCGCTTGTATTTTCAAGGAGCTTTAGATACATGGAATGATCCTGCTCTCTTTGAGAGATTCCAGCTCACAGAAGCTGTGGCAGAGTTTCCAGGCCACATTGCTGAAAGCAACTAGCCGAGCCTTGGATGCTGGCTCATGAAAAAGATTTTGACAGTGATCGCAATTTGGTGACTATTTCAGTGGACCTTTCTGCTCGAGGCAATATTCTGGAAGCTTGAAACGAATTGCTTTCCAGTGTCTGTATGTCAGTGACATTTTTGAGATTGTACAGTCCAGTCTGACTTTACATATTTTTTCAGCTCTTGGCTGTTTTTTGGCGACAGATTCGAGGAGCAGGCATTGGAAGCCAGATTTCTCCATCACTTTCTAATCTGGCCGTCACGTTGGTGGAACGAAGTTGGTCGGAATGTTTTGCTGAAATTCTACGACAAAAGGTGAATAATTATCATGATGGGTTAATTCTATGGGTGAAAACGTGAAAGATCGCCTGCTCTTCGAGAGGTGCAATAGCCTCGAGGCCACGAGGCACAGAAGAAAATTTCCCTTTGTGAAAGGCATGCCAAGCATACGGTCAGGCCACATCCCACCTGCAACCCCCCCGGCCAAGGTTGCAGATGCAGTCAGGGAAAGGGTGACTGTCGCCTCTGTTTGAGGCAGGCTCCGTGCAGCCCCCTTTGTAAATCAATGGCAAGACGCTCCTGCAATTGTTGCCAGGTGTGACCAGGGGGAGATGTTCACGTGTGTCAACCACCTCTGCCAGAGATTGAAGGAGGGTAGCTGTTTCTCCACAAAACCCACCGGTACTTTCAAGAACGAGCGGTTCAAACCCTAAGTTTTGTCGTGCGCAACGTTGCTGCATGTCGGTGTGTTTCCGTTTCAGGTCCGTATACTTATCAGCTGCCGCCAGGGGAGCGGTAGCCGAGGGTCACAACACAGAACTTTGGAATGGGGACGTGATAGGACAATCCAAGGCCAACTTGGGAGACCGTCCCCAGGAAGATTTTACGACAACCAACTCTACACCTTTGTTCTGTATGTTATGTGGAAAATCGATATTGATTTGCTCTACGCACCATTTCCACAATGATGCACTGAAAACTTTCTGCGATTTGGATTTTTATGGTCCACCTGTTGAACCCAAAACCGTTGATGATGATCTGTTACTGGGTTTTGATGTCAATATACTGGATCTGTAAAATATCGCCAGCCAGACATTTTCGTCAAATTCACGACTGTGTTTCTGCGGGATCTCCCCGCCTCAGATTGAGTGGATTGAAGAGCCGGGCTCACTTAATTCGAAAATAATTCGAAAATATTCCTATCCTCCGTATTTGGTATCTGCAAGCCTTTCCCAGCTGGGAACCCTGTATGGACAGAAAGGGTTTAACCAAGCTGATGTTTACCAAGCGTTGCAATTTTAAAACAACGCAGTTGGGCGACAGTGATTCTCAGAACCTGTTGAGACAAATCCTGTTTTCTTAACTCTGCTGAAGCTGTGCCGTTCGTTGCAATACTAACATCAATCTGTTTTTTCAAACTTGCAGCACCCTTTCTCAGGCCAACCGTATTTCTTCCGTTACCACTGGCTGCAGATCCATTCTCGCAATCCCTGTATATATATATAATTCAGTTTTCCGTTTTTCCGCTTTCTCGGTTCAGCACTCTTTGCGACATACGGCCTTCGTGTGTTTGGGGGCAACCCCTGTACCAAAGGGCTATAATCAGAATTGCTCCGGCGTCAAAGTTTTAATCCATCACTAGCAGCGGGGGGGAAAAATGCCCAGCTTCCGTACGGCTTTGATTTGCTCAAACGAAACAAGCGGTGGAGCAAAGGTCGCGCACTGATGAGTTATTTTCAGAATCTCCAGGCCACAGACTAGCCGGGCCTTTTATTCCATATTATGCAAACAGATTGTACAGTCCAGTTTGACTTATATATTTTCAGCTCTTGGCTGCTTTTGGCGATCTGTTGCTGGGTTTTGCTATCAATTTACAGGATCGAACTGCACAATATCGCCAGCCAGACATTCGTCAAATTCGGGACTGTGTTTCTGCGGGATCTCTCCGCCTTAGATTGAGCGGATTGAAGAGCCGGGCCCACTTAATTCGAAAATAGTTCGAAAATATTCCTATCCTTCGTATTTGGTATCTGCAAGCCTTTCCCAGCTGGGAGCCCTGTATGTACAGAAAGGGTTTAGCCAACTCGAAGCACCCTTGCTCAGGTCAACCGTGTTTTCTCTGCCAATGGCTGCTGATCCATTTTCGTGCTCCCTGTACATAATTCAGCTTTCCGTTTTTCCGTGTTAGATGTTCGGCACCTTTGCGACATCCGGCCTTCGTGTGTGGGGGCAACCCCTGTACCAAAGGGCTATAATCAGAATTACTCCGGCGTCTAAGTTTTAACTCATTACTAGCAGCAGTGGGCGACAGAGTGGCTGCATGGCTGTTGCCAACGAAGCTCCATGCAGTAGACTAGGATATGGACGTACCTGCATTTTTTTCGTCATTTCATTCCGTTTCGGTGAGAGGCTGTTTTTCATCAGTATGTACAGAATCCAGTTTTGCAGTTCTTTCGAACGGAGTCTATCACAGCAGTTTCATTTTTTTGCTGAAAAAGGCCTTAAACTGGAATATCCAAATCCCTTGATGGGAAACAAGAAGTGACTCATAGACGACAAACGGTCTGTCAAGTGTGTGTGAGTGTGTGACTCACATAATGGTTTGAGCAGAGTTGTCGCAAAATCAAAAATTTGGTGTGAAACTTTGCGCGCTACATCGCGCTACTTTTTTTTTGTGTGGATCGTGTACGTCACGGATGATGCTATCTTTAGGATTCAGTAATGGCAAGCTGAAAGGAAGGGAGCTTGCGGGAATTTTCAAGTCTGGTATTGCTTATTCTGCATTATTGATTCGATGAAAGATTCTGCCTCTTCTCTTTAGAAGGCTTTGGGGATACGCAGTGAAATGGTGGTGTTCAGTAAAGGCATGGGGTTAGACTAACCACAACGTTAAACCTTGTGGTTGGAAGGTCAGGGTATATATTTACTTTTAAAAATCTTTGATTGGAGCGGTTTTGCCAACTTGCTTCCAGAGGCTTTGGGGATTTTTGCGGCGTGAATGTGGATGCAATTTTAAGTGTCTCGGTTCACGTGCCTGAGAGCCTAAACAGTCTGCGAATGCAATGTATGTGAACTAGAGTTGAGTAGTCAGGTGCTGGCTACAGACTGTTGACCCTGTAATCATTGAAAATACAAGAAAAAAGTACAAAAAATACAATCCCCAAATACCAAAAAAAAACAACCATGCGGCGGGAGAAATCGCCAACAAAATGGAAATACAACATACATTAGTCTTAGTGAATTCGCGGTTTTGTTCTTTGACGGCATGTCTAAAGAACGAAAAATGCAATAGGACAAAGTGCAACCTGTGAAGGAATGGAGAAATACAAGCAAAGACAAAAATACAAAGTGCATTTTTGGAAGTAATGGAAAAATACCAGAATACAAAAGTACAAAGTAATTACAAAAAAGACAAAATAAATATGCATGCAATTGCTCAAAAATACAAAATGCAAAAAAAATACGAACAAACAACTCAAAAATACATAATAGAAAAACATACAAACCCAAAATTTCGAACATACAAAATACAAACAAAATACAAATTCAAAAATGAGCCAGGAAGCCAACCCCATGTTCATTTTGAAAAGCAAGAACCAACTTGCAAAATAAATGCAAAGCCAACCTGTTGTATTTTCTAAACTCTGCAATTCAGATTTTGTATTTTTCAGAAATTATTGAGTTGTATTTTTTCGTATGTTTTTTTTTTGTATTTTTAATTCTTTACAGAAGACCCTTCTGTAGCCAACGCAGCCTACTCAAAACTAGAGTACTATTATATAGTCACTGGCTCATAGCCAGGTTAGATTCTCTTAACATCTCTATATATATATATATGTGTGTGTGTGTAACTGTGTAACTGCTGTTCCGGCCATTGGGTCGCCCTTCCCCCAGCGCGGCAAGATGAAGGACGAACAGACAGTGACCTACCACCTGTACGTGGCGACACTTCCCTCGTGGATGTCTTCATCCTTAGCTTCCTGGGCCTTTCGCGCACAGCCACGGCGACGGCAGCTTGGCCGCGATGGTTTTCGTTGACAGGGCACCGTGAGATGGTCCAGCATGGGTTGTATTGAATTAGGGCAACCCCTAATCCCTAAATCCGGATAATCCGTCTAAGTCCGATGGTTGATACTTCTATTATCATCAATTATATTGCTTCGCCATCAGTTCCCCCACTGAAATCTGTATACACCGAATAATGCAAACTGCTAGCACCTGTTTTAAACCGCAGTAGCCGCCATCCTGAAGGCCGGGGAGTCTTGTGAGCGCCTTCTGCTGTGCACGCCCCGCCGCTTCTGTGGCAAGATGGTATATAAAGCTGCAACAATCGCTTCTGTTCGGAGATTTCGAACATCTGCAAGGTTTTGAAGTGGTACCTTCGTTCTTTGCACTTCCCATTCTGAATCTCACAATCAGCAAAACACCTCAAAAAACACAAGATAAACGAAGACCTAAGTCAGGCGAGATAGACATGTCAACTAGCATGGTATCGCCACTTCAAGCAAATTTCGTGTAGAAATCACTGAGACCTGTGCATGGGTTTCAGGCAAGCGGAAAAAAAACAAAAACAAGAGAAAACAGGAAACAAGAGAAAAAACAACCTTCGCAGAAACTCACTACTTAGGTCAGGTCATCAGAGAGTGTCGCGCGAATTAATGCGACAACGGTAAGGGAAAATGATCATCAAACTCTTACAAATTCAGCCTCAATAGACTACTCACTCAGAGTTCAGAAGCTTCAAGGTTGCAAGAACATTTGAACGACCACTTACTCTCAGAAGTCCCAAGGTCTACGGCCAATTCTCTTGCATGGAAAACGCATCATGTCTAACTTGGTTCCATCGCTCTGCTTCCAAGCAAAATCAACTGGCCAGTGCAGATTCTGCGTTTCTTCATCTCTGTTCCCGCTCTGGCAATCAGGAATCAAACAATTTATGGTTGCTCCATATTCTTGACAGATCAATGGGGGGGCTCTAGGGTCTCTTGGATCTCTTGGCACCTAGTGCCGGGCGCCGGTCAAGGTACAAGTCAGGTCGTGCTGCAGAATTTGGTGCCAGGGAGATGCTTGCGAAGCTGGAAGCGAAAGGTATTCGCAGTCTCGAGGACCAGCCGTTCAAGAGCTCGTGCACATGGGGATGGGATGGGTTCAGCATCTGTGTTCAGCACCTGTGGGACCACCAATGAGGCCATGGGAATGGGAGGGGGTTCCACCCATTTGATGGCCATTTTGATCTTTACCGGGACACCAGGATGCACCATATCCATCCATATCCACTATGCCATAGACATAGTTTTGATATGTTTTGATATGTCGTGCTTGGGGCTTGGGGCAGCACTTTAACCAAAACAATCAGCAACTGTCTGCTCAGCTAGCCTTAAGAGTGAGATCGGTCGGATGGTCAAGGCACACCACGTGGAAGACTTCATGATTACCATGTCTCAGGACCTTCGAATGCGTGCCAGCTGCTTGATAGCATTGATTGCAAGTGGTCACAGGGTCAACCAGAGTCAACCAGTGACAGAGAGACGGAGATGGAAAAAAGTGATAGAGAGGACTTTGATGATTTTCTCAGAGTATGCAGGTGAGCTGTTTACCAATCAGCAGCCATTGAACCTATGAAAATATGTCTTCAATACACTTTCTCCTGGGAGATTGACTGCAGAAAGTGACTTAGCCCCACGGAGCCTACACCACGTGTGGTATTGCAGCCATGGAGGTGGCTTTGAACAAGCCCAGTCCATCGACGAGAATCTGATGAAGTGGCTCTCTGAGCAGGACATACTCCCAAATGAGGAGCCTCGCTTTGGGTTCAGGATCCATCTGAAAACAGGAAATGTCAAGGTTATACATATTTGTGTTGTGAATGTCTACCAGTAGTACCGCACAAGGCGGTGGCGGAAGTTTCAAAAATAGGAAACCTATAGGAAAGGTTGGTTGTTGTGAATCCGGAATGGCAGGGCGAAGCCACTGATGGATCGAAAGGTGATTGATGTCTCCTCTCTTTGTCTCTCTTTCTCTCTCTTTCTCTGACTATCTACCTACCTACCTACCTATCTATCTATCTATCTGTCCATCTATCTATCTATCTATCTACCTATCTACCTGCCTATCTATCTATCTATCTATCTATCTATCTGTCTGTCTAGCCATCTATCTATCCTTTCTATCTATCTATCTACCTATCTATCTATCTATCTATCTATCTATCTGCAAGATCAAAAACGAAGAAATTCTGCGAGACTTCCGTAATGTTTGAACATAAGAACGTCCAAAACGGAACAATTCTACCTACCTACCTACCGACCTACCTACCTACCTACCTACCTATCTATCTATCTATCTATCACCCTCCTCTGTACTACCAGTTTTTTTTCCTGGGGGTTCAGTACGCTTTTTAAAAAGCACTATTTTCCAAAAATCTAGCAGACAGTGGGTGAGGGTCCCGGGGCATGATATGGGGCCAGGAAAAAAATATCATACCAAAAAAGGCCCAGATTTTTTTTCCTGAAAGCTTCCTGACGTACAGCGACAGGAAATCAATTTCTGTCTGTTGTGATTGAGGGGGGTTTGATCTATCAGTCTGTGTATGTAAGGCATCAGGAAATCAATCATGAATGACTCTGATAATGGGTAAGTTTGTAGAATTCCTAAGGTTAGTAGCCAGGAATTTGAAGGTGGATGGATCAAATGGGAGTTTACTAGAACATATCTAAATGTCAAACCCCAGGAAAAAATGTACCATGATTAATTGAGTGGGTATGATTTTTTAAATGACTTTGCAAAAGGGGTACAACCACATATGTTCACCTTCACCAACCAAAAAAGTGACTTCAAGAGGCAAAGGCGCAGGGGTCAAAAATAAAATCCAAGGGGCTGGACCTTTTTTGACTGAATACTTGCGGATGATCTTCAAAGGTTGGCCCACAGGAAAAAAGTCGCATCACCAGGCCAATCATCCACTGATAGGACATGATGGGCCGAATTCAGGAATTTTGTGCCAACGCGCGCCCAAATTGCAAAACACATGTTTTTTTTGCTGAAAATACAGTTGTCCTTGCAAAAGGGTACAGACACACATGTTCAGCTTCACCAACCAAAAAAGTGACTTGAAGAGGCCGAGGCGCAGGTGTCAAAAATAAAATCCAAGGGGCTGGACCTTTTTTTGACTGAATACTTGCGGATAATCTTCAAAGGTTGGCCCATAGGAAAAAAGTCGCATCTCCAGGCCAATCATCCACAGATAGGACATGATGGGACGAATTCGAGAATTTTGTGTCAACGCGCCCAAATTGCAAAACAGGCGTTTTTTTTCTGAAAATACATTTGTCCTTGCAAAAGGGGTACAACCACATATGTTCAGCTTCACCAACCAAAAAAAGGTGACTTGAAGAGGCCGAGGCGCAGGTGTCAAAAATAAAATCCAAGGGGCTGGACCTTTTTTTGGCCGAATTCTCGTGGATGATCTTAAAAGGCTGGCCCCACAGGAAAAAAATCGCATCACCAGGTCAACCATCCATAGATAGGAAATGCTGGGACAAATTGAAGAATTTTGTTCCAACGTGTGGCCAAATTGCAAAACAGGCGTTTTTTCCTGAAGATACATTTGTCCATGCAAAAGGGTTGCGCATTGCCGTGGGCATCTGTCGGACCGCACTCGTGAAGCCGTGGACTCTGAAAAACTGCGAGCTGTCAGCCGGGAAGTCAGGTGCCAGGAATTCATTTTTTTTCCGTATCAGATTGAGGGGGGGAAGATATGGCATGTTACCAACGCAAGCATCCAGGAAATAATTTTTTTACTTGGATATCAGGGGGGATAAATTTATTGGATGTTGGACGTTGGGTACCAGGAAATTAGCAAAGAAAATTCAAAAAGGTGGTTGGAAGTGAGATTTCGGCTTCAGAGGTTAGGAGCCAGGAATTTAAAGCTCTAAAACCTCTCTCAAAGGTTAGGGGTCATAATTTTAGACCAATTTTTTTCTAGGACTGTACCCCACGTTGGAGTACAGACGGGGATTATCTATCTATCTATCTATCTATCTATCTATCTATCTATCTATCTATCTATCTGATCAAAAACGAAGAGATTCTGCGAGACTTCCGTAATGTTTGAATCATTTTTTGAACTTGACAACATCCGAAACGAAGCAGTTCTGCGAGACTTCCTCATTTTTCGAAGTGCAAGACATCAAAAACGAAGAATTCTGCGAGACTTCCTTCAAAAATGGAAAGTTGAGTGCAGAGCTGACAGGCTCGTACCAATGCGTTTTGCAATTTTTCCAATCCACCTGTCTAAAGTACTGCGCCTGCCACGGAAAATTAATGCCAGGTCATACGAAGTGCTGCGCCTGTCACGCAAAATCATCTTAGCAAACCTGCACATCTGATACTCCAAAATGCAACCCCTCTCAGGAAATCAGCGCCCTGACCTCCTAACATCTCTCATGAACATGTCTTTTGTATTGCGCCTGCCACGAAAATGCATCTTTGCACATCCTCTTCAAATGTCCCATGCCTGCCGTCATTTCTTGGAAATGCTACAAAGCCCTCACGTTTTGCTCACTTTTGACAAGGTGCACAATCCCTTGCGCCTGCCACGCGAAACGACATCTGAACCTCCAAAAATGGTCCGTACATGGTGTGCTTTGCACGTTTTGACTTGGAAATGTGCTTTGCGCCACAGCGACATCTGAACTTCCAAAAGTGGCCCGAGAATGGTGTGCTTTGTACATTTTGACTTCGAAATGTGCTTCGCGCCACAACGGCGTGCACTTTTTCGACATCTCAACTTCCAAAAATGGTCCGAACGTGGTGTGCTTTGTACATTTTGACTTCTAAATGTGCTTCGCGCCACAACGGCGTGCACTTTTTCGACATCTCAAGTGCCAAAAGTGGTCCGCACCTGGTGTGTTTTGTGCATTTTGACTTGGAAATGCGCTTCGCGCCACAACGGCGTGCACTTTTTCAATATCTCAACTTCCAAAAGTGGTCCGAACGTTGTGTGTTTTGTACATTTTGACTTCGAAATGTGCTTCGCGCCACAACGGCGTGCACTTTTTCGACATCTCAACTGCCAAAAATGGTCCGAACGTAGAGTGCTTTGTACATTTTGCCTTCTAAATGTGCTTCGCGCCACAACGGCGTGCACTTTTTCGACATCTCAAGTGCCAAAAGTGGTCCGTACCTGGTGTGTTTTGTGCATTTTGACTTGGAAATGCGCTTCGCGCCACAACGGCGTGCACTTTTTCAATATCTCAACTTCCAAAAGTGGTCCGAACGTTGTGTGTTTTTGTACATTTTGACTTTAAATGTGCTTCGCGCCACAGCGGCGTGCACTTTTTCGACATCTCAACTTCCAAAAGAGTTCCGAACCTGTTGTGTTTTGTACATGTTTACTTCGAAATGTGCTTCGCGCCACAACGGCATGCAATTTTTCATCTCTCATCCGGCCAGCTAGCTCCGCACCCGCCGCTTTAGCGAGCCTACTTTTCGACCCTCCGGAGCCTCGAATCATTGGAAAAACACAGTGTTTCGCGACTTTCCTACCTTTTCGCGCACCTGGATCTTCTTTCTTCTGACTCTTTCTTTTTCTTCTTCTCTTCTCTTCTCTTCTCTGACACTTCCCATCTCTGCTTTTCATCTGTCCATATTGTCGGGAGGTTTGACTTCTAAACTTCCTTCGACCAATAGATAATTTTCCCAGCTATAAACATCCATTTAGTCCGGGGATTTTCGCGCGAGCAATCTTTGATTACCAGAGGGTGATGTTGTTCTTCGGCTCATGCTGCGACCTCAGGAGAAGTGTCAGACCGTTGCCATGCAGCGAGCAGTTGGCAATGGCTCAGCCACACTCCTCGCCGCTCAGATGTCAAGCCTAAGTAGATGAGACGCAAAGGACAGGGGTTGGTAAATGTCCTAATTAGATATCACCCAGACCCAAACCATTGGGGATACCCAACAGACACTTGAAGATGATCTTCAAAATCACCAAAAAGGGACATTTAAACGACCTCTAAAGGAAGAGAGTGTAACGCTACCAGGTGCCCCAAAATACATTGTTTTTAGCGTTTCTTTTTTATACTTTACATGTTATTATCTACAGCATACCTTTTGTCCAATGAAGTGTGCAATTGATTCTATACTTCATGTTGCTAGATATAGCTGGTGTTAACAGCACCATGACCCCTAGAGATTCCCAGATATGAGATCCCTAGGCATCCCCAGAGATTCCCAGAGATTCCCAAAGAACCCCGAAGATCCCCAGAGGTCCCTAGAGACCCCCAGAGACCCACAGAGATCCCGAAGCAAAGGGAAGGATCAAGAAAAATGAAAGAATACTAAATGTAATACATAGCTCCCAGAGGGAAGGGCCAAAACAAAAACGAAAAAAAAACAATGCCCCCCTTCCTCCAGAGCTCCAAAACCCTCAAAATCCTTGTTTGGAGCTTCCAGGAGCCTTGAAATCTTCATTTCAAACCTCCTCGAGGCTTTAATATCTCTATTTAGAGGCTTCCCAAGCTTCAAGATCTTCATTCGGAACTTCCCCAAGGCTTTAATATCTTTGTTTGGAGGCTCCCCAAGCTTCAAAGTCTTTACTTGAAAGTGTTCGGCGCTTCGTTCGAATCTTCAATTTAATAAATGCAGCTGCTTCAATATCTTTTTCATGAATCTTTTGTAGCTTCCTTGCTGACACTCACTAGTTCATCAGATTACGGGCTCATCTCCGGCAAAAGCTTTCTTAACAAACTTGTTTTTCCATTTTGTTTCAAAAAAACACGATATCTTTGGTTGCTAGCCGGTTAATTAATCTGATATCATTTGAATGAAGCAACCTGCTATATTATATCATTTGGCTCCATGGTTGGCGTGGCCTCTATGCTCTCATCAAGCTGTTACAGTTCAAGTTCAAAGAACGGTCATATTCAACTTGACTTCAATAGTCAACAATAGTGCCATGGCTTTCCAAAGTTTAGAACAAAAGATTGCAATGCGTAACGAGGTGCAATGAATACTTCCACTGATTATTTGCCAATATGCTTCAGGAGGATAGTGCCAGAGAAAGCGAGGAAAATCCTTTTACACTAGTTTAATCTGACCATATCCTTCAAAACATCGCAATTTTCCACTATTTTTCCTATTAGAAAGAAGGCTTTAGCATAAGCTTTTGCTCTATATAGCCCCGTTTCACTTTGTTTTGTAGGTCTGCTTCTGGCCATGGCCAAATATAGACATATCATTGGAAACATCTTATGTTCTGATGGCTCTACTGCAATTAAAATACTGGCTACCACTATTTAGGCTGAACACAGTCTTTGATCAGAACATCCACTCATAAATTTTGTTAACATGGCAACCTATACAAATTCTATCATTTACCATTCTGCAAGGGTATCCCTTATCATATTTATATGCAATTCTAAAAGTATACTGACATGTACCGTCCAAATATGTGTTATTGACACTATGTCTAAGCTCTTTGTTTGCTTGCAACGTTGGTTTTTAAGAGAGACATATACAAGCCAATGCAACTTTCAATTTGTCAAAGTGGCTCCTATTGATACGACTAGCATGCCTACAAGGAATCCTTTCAGTGGTTCCTATCTCAAGCTTTAAGTTTATGGAATAGTTGTTCTATGTGTTGGATTGAAGCTGATCTCTGCTACGTGCATGTGGGATTGACTTTACCTTGCTGTTCTATGATGGTTGGGCAAAAGTAAGCTTACATAGTTCATGTGCATTATCTTAAGTGCATTACCCAGATTGAAACATTCATATGAGAAGAGTCATTTACTGTATGCCCCTCCATGCTTACGGTGATGTCATCTTCACTTGATTATTGTTCTTTTCGTTTCATTTTTTTTGATGATTATTCAATCCATGGCAATTGCAGTATCTATGGTGATACCAGAAGGGAATCTGCCTTAGCAAAGAGATTTGTTTTTGCTATCTTAGTAAGCTGTGGATTCTCATAGATTGCTAGAGGGATGCTACCATGAAGATTTACAAGCCCGCGAGAATCTCTCAGATTCCCTTTGAACAAATCTGTAATCTTTGTAGGGGATATATATGCATTTGAAAAATCATTATCTAGATAGCATGATACTTTCATTTTGTATTCCTAAGAGATTATTGATGCGTTTGGTTACTTGGGAATGCAGATTTATAAATCACTGCGTTCTAGAAACGTAGAATTTTTGGGGACCTGACAGCGTGCCTTTCTGTAAAGGAAAGGGATTGAGTTTGAAACTTAGCCCTTTACATAAAACATTGATAAATACTGTGCAAGTACCAGCGCAACACTTTCCAAAACTGCATCCCCAAAATATTTGAGACCACCCTTGGAGTTAGCATTGGCCTAGTGACCGTAGTGACTTGACATACAGGGAGAGGCAGAGGAGGTAGTGAGCAATGGAATTGAGTGGGATACAACAGGCTACAGTGCAAACGCGTAAAACCACTTATTAAGGGCTTTCTTAAGTAAGAAAACGTTTTTTTCAGTTGATAGATTTGATCTACCGCGGGAAATGCGATAAGATCAATAAGGCATCAATAACTTGGATTTGCTGAAGATGAATTGTTATTTTCCCCGTGGGAAATCCACTATTTGGGGAACATAGTTTTTTAAAGAATGTTGGTGTTTCCTTAAGCAAATCCATGATAAGACATCATCCCTGTTGTGAGCCTATGGCTACTTGATGACTTTCCGAGCTGCGCAGGTGGAGACCTCGGACGAGTTGGCCCTGCGACGGTTGGCAGAAAGCGAACGCCGCATGGGGCTGGGCGAGTTGAGGCAGATCGCAGTGGATGCTCAGAAACTTTGCGTTGGAAAACATGGAAGTTTTGTGAAGTTGTTCCCCACATTGACGTGTGGGGTTTTTGTTTTTGGTTCTGTATCCGCTCCTTTATTCCTCCTTCCTCCCACTCCTCCTCCTCCTCCGCCTCCTCCTCCTCCTCAACCTCAACCTAACCTCAACACACACACACTCAATACACTCACTCTGACACGCACACACACACACACACACACTCATCACACTCACACACATCACCCGCGCACACACACAGACTCATCACACTCACACACATCACATCACACTCACACACATTATTCACACACACGCACTCACCCTCACACACACACACACAACGCTTCTGAGTGCAAGGAAACAAAACAAAACAAAACACTCACTCTCACACACACTCACTCGCTCTAATTCTCTCTCTCACTCTCTCCCACTCTCTCTCACTCTCTCTCACTCTCTCTCACTCTCTCTCAATCTCTCTCACTCACTCTCACTCACTCTCACTCACTCTCACTCACTCACTCACTCTCACTCTCACTCACTCTCACTCACTCTCACTCACTCTCACTCAGTCTCACTCACTCTCACTCAGTCTCACTCACTCTCACTCAGTCTCACTCAGTCTCACTCACTCTCACTCAGTCTCACTCACTCTCACTCACTCTCACTCACTCTCACTCTCACTCACTCTCACTCACTCTCACTCACTCTCACTCACTCTCACTCACTCTCACTCACTCTCACTCACTCTCACTCACTCTCACTCATCTCTCACTCACTCTCACTCACTCTCACTCACTCTCACTCACTCTCACTCACCCTCACTCACTCTCACTCACTCTCACCCACTGACTCACTCACTGACTCACTCACTGACTCACTCACTGACTCACTGACTCACTCACTCTCACACTCACACTCACACTCACACTCACGCTCACACACACTCACACTTACACTCACACTCACACTTACACTCACACTCACACTCACACCCACACTCACACTCACACTCACACTGACTCACTTTCACTCACTTTCACTCACTTTCACTCACTTTCACTCACTTTCACTCACTTTCACTCACTTTCACTCACTCACTCACCACTATGTGCACCTGGTGGCTTTTGCGTGGCAGGCATGGGACAATGTGCACTGCCAAGGGGTCGGATGTACGCCCCGGTGTCCCTTTGGCGTTCCTCCGGTGTCCCTTGGTCTCCGCCGCTCTGCCGGTGGCTTTTGCGTGGCAGGCGTGGGACAATGTGCACTGGCACTTCACTCACTCACTCACTCACTCACTCTCACTCACTCACTCACACTCTCACTCTCACTCTCACTCTCACTCTCACTCTCACTCTCACTTTCACTCACACTCACACTCACACTCACACTCACACTCACAATCACACTCACACTCACACTCACACTCACACTCACACTCACACTCACACTCACACTCACACTCACACTCTCTCTCACTCTCACTCTCACTCTCACTCTCACTCTCACTCTCACTCTCACACTCACACTCACTCTCACTCTCACTCTCACTCTCACTCTCACTCTCACTCTCACTCTCACTCTCACTCACTCTCACTCTCACTCACTCTCACTCTCACTCACTCTCACTCACTCTCACTCACTCTCACTCAGTCTCACTCACTCTCACTCAGTCTCACTCACTCTCACTCAGTCTCACTCAGTCTCACTCAGTCTCACTCAGTCTCACTCACTCTCACTCACTCTCACTCACTCTCACTCTCACTCACTCTCACTCACTCTCACTCACTCTCACTCACTCTCACTCACTCTCACTCACTCTCACTCACTCTCACTCATTCTCACTCACTCTCACTCACTCTCACTCACTCTCACTCACTCTCACTCACCCTCACTCACTCTCACTCACTCTCACTCACTGACTCACTCACTGACTCACTCACTGACTCACTCACTGACTCACTGACTCACTCACTCTCACACTCACACTCACGCTCACACACACTCACACTTACACTCACACTCACACTTACACTCACACTCACACTCACACCCACACTCACACTCACACTCACACTGACTCACTTTCACTCACTTTCACTCACTTTCACTCACTTTCACTCACTTTCACTCACTTTCACTCACTTTCACTCACTTTCACTCACTTTCACTCACACTCACTCACTTTCACTCACTTTCACTCACTTTCCCTCACTTTCACTCACTTTCGCTCACTTTCGCTCACTTTCGCTCACTTTCGCTCACTTTCGCTCACTTTCACTCACTTTCACTCACTTTCACTCACTCATTCACTCACTCATTCACTCACTCACTCACTCACTCACTCACTCTCACTCACTCACTTGGTGCACTGCCAAGGGGTCGGGTGTACGGGATGTACGCCCCGGTGTCCCCGGTGTTCCGCTGGCGTCCCTTGGTCTCCGCCGCTCTGCCGGTGGCTTTTGCGTGGCAGGCGTGGGACTTGGTGCACTGCGAAAGGGTCGGACGTACGCCCTGGCGTCCCTCCGGTGTCCCTTGGTCTCCGCCGCTCTGCCCGTGGCTTCTGCGTGGCAGGCGCGGGACTTGGCGCTAGAAAGATAGAAGGATGGATAGATAGATAGATAGAAAGATAGATAGATAGATCGATAGATAGATAGATAGATACATAGATAGATAGATAGATAGATCGGTAGATAGATAGATTAGATTAGATAGATTAGATAGATTAGATAGATAAGATAGATTAGATTAGATTAGATTAGATAGATTAGAGTAGATTAGATAGATAGATAGATAGATAGATAGATAAATTCGATAGATAGAAAGATAGATAGATAGAGAGATAGATAGGTAGGTAGATAGATTAGGTAGATTAGGTAGATTAGGTAGATTCGATAGATTAGGTAGATTAGATAGATTAGATAGATTAGATAGATTAGATAGATTAGATAGATTAGATAAGTTAGATAGATTAGATAGATTAGATAGATTAGATAGATTAGATAGATAAGATAGATTAGATTAGATTAGATTAGATAGATTAGAGTAGATTAGATAGATAGATAGATAGATAGATAGATAAATTCGATAGATAGAAAGATAGATAGACAGAGAGATAGATAGGTAGATAGATAGATTAGGTAGATTAGGTAGATTCGATAGATTAGATAGATTAGACAGATTAGATAGATTAGATAGATTAGATAGATTAGATAAATTAGATAAGTTAGATAGATTAGATAGATTAGATAGATTAGATAGATTAGATAGATTAGATAAATTAGATAAATTAGATAGATCGATAGATCGATAGATAGATCGATAGATACATAGATAGATATATCGATAGATAGATCGATAGATAGATAGATCGATAGATAGATAGATAGCTAGATAGATGGATAGCTAGATAGATAAATAGATAGATAGATAGGTAGATAGACAGATAGATAGATAGATAGGTAGGTAGGTAGGTAGGTAGATAGATAGAGAGATGGATCGATAGCTAGATAGATGATTAGTTAGATAACATCCGCATGAACATCAAATATATCTTGCACCCGGTACACATATCGTTAACACACTACCAAAGTGACACACCTGTACATGCACATACATACATACATACACACAAACTCACCCACCATCACCCCTCCATCACTCTCATGCTTCCTCTTCCCTTTTTGTTTTCTATGCTCAGTCTAAGTCTGGTGAAGTTGTTAACATGTGGGGTTATCCGGTCCGATAATTGTTTAAGATATTTTCCGCCGGGGCCGGGGTTCACTGTGAATGTTCTAAAATATTTCAAGGCTGGAGGGTTAGGAGTTGTCACGTCTTGATTTGAGTGTCAAAACCTGGCTACTACATGCTACTACATGGTAGTACTTCATTGAAGTACTGATTCAGAACTCTGTGCGTCTCAGGATTTTGCAAAACCTTTCTGGCTACCAAAGTTGCGGCCAAGTCCAACACATCCCCAGGCAGCGAGGACATGTCTTTCGGTCACAGGAGGTGAGACCAGAGATGATTCCAACACGCGCCCCCCTGGAAACTCTGAGTTCGTGCATTGACTGATTGATTTTATGTATTTTGATGTATTTTGATGTTTCATTTTAGGTTCCGAAAATCAAAATGTGGATCCGCAGAACGGGCCGATGTTCGAGGCGTCGCCTGAGATGCAAGACGCCGGTTGCTGGCATGCTCTCCGTCACTTGACTTCCATTGTCTCCCTTCCCTTGTGCTGTGAAATGGCATGTGAAATTTCGCAGTGCAAGGCAAAGGCACTTTTTGGGAACGTGATGCCAATCTGATAGAGCAATTGGAGCATTTGTATCATGTGTTTTTCACGGATGTACCAGTATGCTCAGTATGCCTATTGGTTTTTGGTTCCCAGTGCCATCATGTGGGCCCGCGGGGGCAATGAACAGTTTGGAGGTGCCACACGGCAGCATCTCCCCACCTTGCGCTGCAAGTGAACGTGGTTGCAGGGAGGTGGAGCCGTTCCCATGTGATACGATACAAAAGGGATCAAAAGGGCGTGGCTATGTGTGGCTTAAAGATGGGGCACACATGGGCCAGCTTTGGTAATGGACACTCTTGAACATTTTTCGCAGAGAACCGTCCCGATTCGGGTGAGATTTGAACCTCCATACAAAGGTGTTGATATTGATGTGACCATTAGATCATCGGACGAGTCAAGATAATATGGTTCTGGCATGTTCTGGCTGCTTTTTCACCGAACGCTTAGCATGCCTAAATAATTAGTCTACAGTCTTGCTAGACTTCTTGGACATTCCGTTCATTGGAGTAGGCATAAGCCATTGGTTAGGCTGAGCAGAAGGACGTATTGCTTACCGCAAGTGGTGATGATTTAACCTCTGCACTTGGCTATTGATTCATTGCTGCGCCTGGTGGCTTCAATGCGTTACATTCTGCAATATTTTGCAACACCATGGTGTTTCTCGCAGAGGAATGGCTCTAGAAAAAGATGCATTAAAACCATTAAATAACTTCCAGCGGTTTGACATACTTAGATATGAACGCCCTATGGATTCGTTAGGAATTGATCTGCAAGTTCCCTCCAGGAAATCAACTAATATTATAAAGCCACCGTTTCCAATGCTGAGTTTCATTTTGTAAACTTACAACTGCAAGCTATTCATGAGCACATCTGAGGTCGGTCTGCAGCCAAGGAGTCGAACCAGTCAAAGGGCAAACGGGCCCGAACATCTGTCCAAGCTTAAGTGAACTGGCTGGTGGTTTCAACAGGATTCAGCGGATTTCACATTTTTAGTTTTTTTATCTTATATATTTCCATTCTATGATACCTGGGATGGTGTTTGCTCATGGACTCAGATTTTTAGAAGGGGTTGAAACCACTAGACACTTCCAGCTCTGGAACCTAGTTTTTTTCTTTCATGTAGCGTGCCTCGGAATTGAAGCTTCCGTGGCATGGCTTGTGGCAATCTAGGGGAGGATGATTGTCGTGTGGATGTGGTAGTTCAAAAGAGTTGAAAAGAAAGGGTGCAATGAAGCTGCACCTTTCCGCAAACTTTTTTCCAGGGCTTATCGGTTTTTCGCTTTCAAGAAGAGCCCGGTAGTGGGTGACTTAGCTGAGTTCCATTGTTGGAGGATGTGGGAGGCACTTGAGACCAGTTGTGATGTATTTTTTCTTGAAGCTGGATAGGCAGGGACATGATCAGTAGACAGAGGCAGCATTGAAGCATGCAGCAGCGTAAGATTATTGTTTTTTTGTCTACCATGTGCAGGCATCTCAACCAGGATGGCAGAAGAGTCTCAGATTCTGCTTGCAAAGGTCCACTTGTTGAAGACGTCAATAACATACCAAACCCACAGAAATGATGCAGCATGACAGCATGACTGTAAAACACTTGCAACTGTGCCAGCTTCAGCACCTTGCCCGGGCCATGGGTTCTGCTGCCGGAGTTCCAAAGAAATTGGTGTACAAGAACAAAAAAGGAGGCGAGACACATAGAGCTGGGGCAGCTGGGCCTCTGCCACCGACATGTTTTGGGTAAAGCGAACCCCTACCTACCAGGACCTACCACCTTCGCTGCACAGAAGTAACATTTGTAACATTGTCCCAATATGTCCCAATGCCAATCGCCAATCGCCCGCAAACAAAGTGGGGTTGGGCCTGTTGGGCAGCCCTTTTTCGCAGGCAAACTGCGAGACAATTTGGAGATCCCTTTAGGGGATGGCACCCAATCTGCGAACTCCGTAGGCCTGGTCTGATGCATCAGCGGAGAGGGCGGCCCCCCTGTGTTTTTGGTGTTTTTCCTTGAGGAAAGTGAGGGTAAACCATGGGATTCTGGAGTGCCCAAGTGCAACTGCCAGGCAGCACAGGTCCTCCTGTTGAGGTGGGAAGGGTCCAGAGTGATGTCAAGAAAATCAGGAGATGAACCTTCAGCAAGGTCAATATATGATATTGATATTGTGCGCGCATGATGATGCATACGGTATATTTGGAAACAGGATGAATGGGGTACTTCTATGTACTTCTGAGATCTTTCATTTGGTGCACTGATGGGAATTTCTTTGCAGAGTTTGTAACAGAAGACAGAGTGCGTCAAAGGCGTGTGGTGAATCATGCGCTGCAGGCAAAGTCTTGGACAAATCTTCCCTTGTGCAGAAGCAGAACTACATGCATGAGAAAGTGACAGAACAGACTGGAAACTTCACGACTACATGTTTGTTTGTTCATACAATCTATTCTCACACACTACACAATCATGTTCCCATCCCCAAAATCATGGGTTGACTACGGGTAGATAAGATAAATGATGATACACCTCTCTCTCTCTCTATAATATATGAATATATATATATATATATATTTATGTACGCTGCATATATATATAACATATAATATATATACATATATATACCTGGGATCCCAAATGCCAGAAATTTTTCTGTCGTTCGGGGTCGATGACTTTTTTCCATCATTACGGGTTAACCCAAAATTACATCAAATTTCTGGCATTTGGGATCCCAGTATAAACCATAATGGGTGGATGTTGGTGGCGGCCACTGCAAATTCCCGCTCTTGATCTTTTTGCCTTGGCTCAGAGATCCCGGCATCCTGAGTTTGAAAATGCCAGAGCCTCAACCTGGACAAGGCGAAAGCCGCCTTTTTTTGTATTTAAGCACTGGCGCAAACTGGGATGCATACCCCTGTGATTTTTTTGGTTTTAGCCATACCATTTTGGCACGCGTAAGATATCTTTGGAGCGTTCTAAAGGCAACATTTTTGGGTGAAATACGGCGACTTAATCGCGCACATTGACCCACGAAGTCCTTAGCTTGAGCATGGAACCCATATAACAAACACGGTCAAAAAGAATCCTTAAACATCCTTAAACCACAAGTATTAAAATATAATACAACTTATACAACCCAAAAATGATAATGTCAACCCCGGATTAATAAACCATGGTTTATTAATTAGGGTGGTACTCCCCAAATAGTCATAATCTGATACTTAAATGGTATCCCCCCAATTAAACAACCTAGGGGTTTATTAATCCAGGGTTGACATTAACTTGTTGCTAACTTAGCTTCTTCGTCGGCCTGCACGGCCTCGCTAAGAACATTCAAGGACCACTTGAGGGATTCACGTTTTCTCATCCTGCGGATCTGGTGATCCACCATATGCATCTTGACAACCATGGGGTAGCGCAAACGCCCAGCATGGTAGCACATGTTCGCAAGCTGGCAGTAATTGCACAGAAAAGTTCGCCCCAGTGTTGCAGCATTCTTGACTTCTAGGGTTTCCATCCAAAGGCCAGAGGTATAGAGTATGTGGAACATTCCATTGATACTACGTAGCCCTTCCAAAATCCGGCAAAGAATTTCGTAGTCTTGGATTTGGTTTTCCCGTTCTTCTAGCCAAGATTGTAGGAATGAATGGTAGATCCTTGTGTCGTCAAACTTTGACCACCGGGCTTCCGGAAGGACCTGAAACGAAGTAAGCCCCACTCTTTCCCGGGTAAACGGGCCACTGTGAGGCAAACGGTTCTTTCTTCTTTCCGCCCACTCTTTCAATGCTTCAGCAAAATGATTCACTTTGTCATCAATAGTCCCAGGGACAAGGACCATGCATTCCACAATTGAAGAGGCAATGAAATACATGCCCAGGCCACCATGGTAGTTGTGAAATATATCCGGCTTGAAAATGTCCCATGGGGCTGATGGTGAATGGAATAGCCGAAGTACTGCAGGTTGAACTTGCCACGGAGGTCTGTTCTGGGTGTTGGACCATACGGAATTCAGGTTGCAGTCCTCAAAAGGGATATTTGGGGTTCCCGCCATACAAAGCCAGCAAACTCCAGGTGACGCCCTAGTTCTTGTTCTTGCGTTAGCTTTCCTCTCAGCACGTAACCAATGACGCTCAAACCCACCCGTCTTCACCAAGAAAGGCATATCGCCCTTGCACCCGATACAAACCAAATGCCAGGTCTCACCATGGTGTAGAAAACCTTGCTGCAGCTGAAGTAGGTCGTCGACAAGGTGCTCCATCAACGTGTTGTAGTTCTCCTTGCAAATGAGCAGGCTGGCAAGAAAACACAGACCCATGTATATGAAAACCTTAAGTTAGAAAACAAAATGTAAAAGTACACAACAGCGGATATTTACTAAGAATATGAACGAGTGTCAGGATTGGAAGCATAAAACTTTCGTTGCATTGCAGCAAAGAGTATTCGACTGTCAAAGGAGTGGCCACCAATGTTGACACCCATACGTCTCTTTCGGTCTTTGGCATGCTCAGCAAACCGTTCCACAAAAGGTCTGGTACCTTTTCCAATCACACCTTGTACTGTTACCAACATGATTCCCTTTTTCTTAAAGCATCTCCCTTCGTCACCATGCACCATGTATGGTATAGCACGCTGTAGGGAAATCTCACCGCGTAGGTTTGCAGAAAAAACTTGGTGGTCCGGCACTTCTTTGGAGAACCTATTCCAAAACTCTAGCAGTGTGGTCTGTATTCCATCTTCAGGTTCGCAACCAAAAAGTTTGTTCAAACTACCTAGGCTTGCCAAATGCCGCACCATGTCGCTAATCTTTATCACCGGGAACTCCACACCGTGATCAGCTGTGGTCGCTAGAGGTACCCAGGTAATTGGTACTGGTATGGAAAGGTTGTGCTCCATAAACCTGAAGTTTCCAGATCAATGAGAAAGTGATGACCAAAAAACAGCAAAAAAGAAACTTTTGGATCATACCAGGTCATGGCAAGAAAAAGGATCTATGATCATTTCAGCAAAGAACGTTTTGTGGCAAACATCTTCCGCCCTCTTCGCATGGGTCCGAGAAAGCTTCTGAGTTACAGGACAAGTAGACGCGCCAAATTGCAGCGTTGCGGCTTTGGACATGTCCACCACGCTTTTTGCAGTGGCCTTGGGGTATGGCAGAAACATGCAGAAACATAAAACATAGATAACTTGCAAGGGTCCCACTAACATAATCCTACCCCCGTAATATGCACTCCGTGTGGGCTTCAAAAACGTGTATCTAGTACTAACATATTTTCTAGTGTGATATTTAATATTGGGGTGATGAAATTATATAGTATGAAATTTATTGTATCAAACCTTCGACACGGGGTTTTCAAAAAAACACCCTTCCATATTCTTAAGATTATGAATGCAGTGTTTGCTTCTGTCATTTTATTGGCTGGAAATGTTGCATCTTATCTTAATACAATTCTTTACATAAGAATCGATTATAAATAACATCTCCCCATAAATGCTGGGACCCCCACTCCATTGGCCAAACAATCAGCTGCATGTTGCCCGAGTGGCCCGACGTGTCCTGGCATGGCTGAGGCTCCCAAATGGCAATGGGTGCTGGGGAAACTTTTCCAAGGCCGGGTGGGGTGGACATTCAAACTCAAGTTGCTGCATGGAAATCGTGCCCACGCTTTTTTTTTTACCCCAAGTCTTTCGGTTTCACCTCCGAGATTGTCACAGCATGTCAAACGGCTTCCATGTAGGAATCCAAACACGCTAAAGGACCATGAATTTCAATCCATTTGTTTGGACTGAACCGCAAATCAATTTGAACAAAATGCATGAAAGGCGTATAAAGGCATTAGGCTGTTGTTGTTTTGGCCTTTGCCTTAGACCTGCGCTTCGGTTTCGGCGCAGTTTCACCTTCATCCTGCGCGTCAGGTCGACGTTTGCGGGACTTCTTCAAGGCAGGCCTAGGCAGCGGCGATGTGTGAATGGGTGACATGGAGATAGATGGGAGTAATCTCAGGACTGGACCCACATTGGGCTTCAACTCGGATAGCTTTGCTTCCCCTTGGCTTTAGAATTTAAGATCCCATATAAACGCAGTAGGACTAAATGGCGTATAAAGAATAGGACAAGATACAAGACTTCAGCTTGTTCCAGCTGTTTGCTCACTTCGGCAAGGAACCTGAGATGGTAGGATATGATTGGCATTAGAGTTTTTACTTTAAATCGAAGTTGTCATAAGATCCAACTCCAACTGACCTATACGTAGTCCAAGATGGTATCACTGGTGCCCCGATCTTAATGTTTGGAATCATGAACAAATATGAATAGCCTTTGCAAGCCAAGAGCTGGTCCGAAGGGTTCTTGGTGCTCCGCAACCGTGCCAGTGAGGCAGCGATCAAATCATAGTGGGCATCCATCGCCGTAGTGGTTCGGGTAACGTCATCCACCAAACTGAACAAGCAAATTTGGAAGGATGGGGAAATATATTTTCACATGTTGATTATACATTGCAATCTTCCCAGTCAAGGCCCCACCTTTGATCCGCTTGCTCTTCTGTCAAAACCATTTGAATTTCTCGAAGCTTGGCACTTTTGGCAAGAAGAGCTTCCATAGTTTTGCCCATCAAAAAAAGCGGTTCCTGTCAAACAAATGATTGTGTGGCATCATGAGCATCCATAAGTTTCGTAGGCACCCCAACTCCAAACTTAAACAATGGAAATTTCCATATCGCTGGCCTGCACCTCTTGCTCTGCGTCAGGCTTCGGTGTGCTATCAGCAACAGAAGCGGGGGCCGAGGACAAGGGGTCCCCGGGAGAAGCAGTCAAGTTCTTGAGTGTCTTTCCATGGCTAACTCGTTTGGTTTCCACATGGTCTTCCCTTTGAAGGTACACTTTTTGCAGTTCACCAGACTCTTCAAATTCCACCCAGTGCTGGTGCACATTTTTGTCATACTTCCATTTCCTGGCAGCGGTGCGGAACGATATAAGCTATGACCAAATTGACTGTTCAAAACTTGGACAAATTTACAAATTTGATCAAATTTGTGAGTTTGAAGCATGGTTGATTGCAAGGCCTCCGCAACTCAGGAAAATCCGCAGTGTATTTCACCACCGAATCAACTTCTTGCCTAGAATCTGTTCAATTTCCAATGGGGTCATGGGTCATGCAGCCTTGGAAACAAAAAACATTTTGATGAGAATAACCTGAGAATCAAACTTGGCCATTTTGAGGGTTTCCTTCATGGCCTTCTCAGTGTACCAACCGCATTTCACCTTGAGAGTTTTCGACGTCTCCTCTCTGACCAGGACTTGCACTTGGCGCTTCAGCTCAACCTGTGGCGACGGCGTCGTCTTCAGGCATGGCACAGAGTGGGCTGGGGAAGATTTTTTTGCAACAATGGGTGCTGGCAAAAGTCATGGGGCCTTATCCAACATCACAGCTTTGAACATCTCGATCAAATCACCCCGATCATCACCAGACCATTTTTTGAGAACATCGTCCCCACAAGGCGCAGCACCATTCTTACGCTTGGTGCAAAAGCGACGAAGACGTTGCTCAATTGCTGACTCAGTCATGAGTCTTCCATTCCTGTAAAGTTTGCCGGACTCATCCTTGGTGATCTTCTCCTACCAGACAAACATTTTTGGGTTAATCAGGTTAATCCGATTCCAAGACTTCCATATTCCATATGATGTTTCATGCAAATGACAAACAAATATAACAGGGGCTCCTTTTCATCATCATCATCACTTTCACCCGGAACTGACTGCCCGGAGCGGCTTGCAGTGCTGGGGGCACGTGCAGAAGACGGTGGGCTCTTAGTCGGCGTACCCCCCTTAGGTGTAGGAGCTAACACAGTCACACGAGGAGTAAGAAGACATTCGTCGGCAGGATTCAAAAGCTTGGCTTTTTAGGCACGTAATGCATCTAGGTCCGATATCTCCTTCAACAACTTCTCTCTTTCCTGGAAGGTAAATGATGGTAAAATTGACCAGTGGCATAAGATCTGCTGAAGTAAAGGTTGGTTGCAAGACAAAATTTGAGAATGCAAATTAGTTGGGACTGGCCTCGACATTCATGCCAGGGCGAGGAGTCTCCACTTCAAGGCTACGTTGGGAATCCTGCAATTGAAAAAAAGTATATTTAAGCTGGTTCAAGTTGACTTCAAAAGAATCAAATCCAACTTGAATCCCATGTCCTTCTTTGCAGGGTTGGTCTCATTCACCCGGGAAGGTTCGGCCTCAAGAAAACAAGGCGGTGTCATAAAGATATATACCTGCATGCATGAATATGCATGATATCATATGATCTTAAAACCCATGTTCAAATACCCAGCAGTTTGCTTACATGAGGTTCGGGCAGTAGGCATCCCATGGCCACGACCAGATTCAAGTACTTTCAGCTGTTTCTCCAGCACCTAGTGCAAAGAATGGTTTTGGGACTAAAAGCTGTGTGAGGAACGATTCCATTTGGAAAATAATGGTCCCGTTTTGGAGCCTTCATAGTCTAAAGACCCTTCTGGTACCCCGCCTCCAACTCCTGTTCTGCCTTCTCACGCTCGTTGGTGAGCTCCCGCTTGACGGTGACCAGGTGCCTGGATCCAAGATCTAACGATCCTCCACTCCAGGCGCGTGATGGCAATGATCTCGCCATCGTTGAGGGCCAGGGCTGATTGGTTAGACTGCCAAATGGCTGAAAGGGAACATGTAATAAGGATGTTGTGAAGGATGCCCAAAAGAACATATCAATTGGTTCAAAAAATCATTCATCATATGGCAAACCCGTGGACGGCAAGTTTTTTTTTGCAACTTGTCCGCAATTGACATCCCAGATGCTGAATTTACTGTGTGGAATTCTCACACAGCTACTGGAAAACACATGGAGACCCCAACTGTGTGGACCCTGACTACGGCCTGTTAACGCCCATGAAGTTGAAAAAACATTACGGTTTTTTATTGATAAATTTCGGTTTTTAACGGGCGTTTTTTGGGTTGACATTTGACTATGGCCCAACTTTGGCCCAAAGTCAATAAAAACGCTGAGAAAATTCTAGCAAATGACTGTTTTTTTCCATCAAGAAAATTGTACATTTGAAACCTGAATTGGGGTCTCACTGGTGTAATTGACTCCAATTTCCCACAACTCCGGCAATTTACAGAGTTAGTGGTAAGACTTCCCTCCAATGATTTGGAATTTGCAGTTTACGGGACCCCCGGACATACACAATGGCATCCACTATTCTGGCATCATGGCAATCATCGTCGAACTCCATGTTGCTAAAGATCGCTCTCCCATCCACGTCATGTGGGCAGGAGATCAACGGTCCACCATCAGCCAAGAGGTGGGGCATCAGAGCTGCCACCCGTCGGGCAAATGGTACTGGATAGCACCTCAGCAAGGGACGCTGCATATAATATCGGGACCTTGAATTCAAGGGGCTTGAGTTTATCAAAATTCTTGGGATTTCTTGGGTATGGCTGACAATAGTGAAATCATTCCCCCAAATATTGGACAACTCATCTATGGGCCCCAGAAGTGAACAGGTCCGATAATCAACCTTGTTTTACTCTTGTAATTACAATATTAGGGGGAGGAACTAATTTAGACTAGGCACTGAGTAGGCTTTAAATGCTTTGAGCCATAGAACCTCTTCTTACCGGAGGCGTCTCTGTAAACATTGGTGGTTTTTTTATCAGGGTTCATCTCTGGCTTCCATCCCTTAAGTTTTCCAAGATCAAGCTTGACAATCCAAGTTGATGAAGACCAGGCAATGTGGCGCTTTGGTGAACTCGATCCATAAAGCCTCATCCACCAACTGGCCCGAAACACCTAAGTATTGAAGATATTGAATCCAAGTTAGTGAATTGTATACTCAAATGATGCCAACAGCTGCATATGTATATGCATGCATGCTGCATGCATGTATAAGTTTCCCACCCTTAGGATGCACGTTAGCCATCGAAATCTTGGATGCCGGTTCAGGAGCGATTGCCGTGGCTGCTCAACCACGAAGGTGCCGCCAAGGGCATAGGTTAATGCCATCAACAAGCAGCACCTGGGAGGACAAGGATCATTCACCTTCAATCTTATGGAGTGCGTATGAGCCCCAAAATGTTTTTTTTACACAAGTTGGCTTCAAATCAAGCAGTTAAGTGTTGCACCTACTCACCATCACATTGGCTTGTGACACACACGGGAGCGAGTCTAGACCCAGTGGTGCTAGAAAGCATCTTCGTGTGGAACCCCGTGACATGGCTGACCACGTGGCACAAAGGATTCCCATCCAAATTACAAATCCAGCTGGATCGGATTGTAGTATGGCGAACATCGCTGTCCTAAGCATGCTGACCAATGACAGGTTAATGTCAACATATGGTAAAGCCTCAATGTGTATTGGTGTAACTTGAAACACAATATCCTTTGAAAGGGGTCCTGGGAAGGGCTCCAAATTGAAGCTTTTTACCCATTCACCCCGAGGACCTCTTTCAAGGGAAATTTTGTTTTGAATTGAACTAAGTTTCGCAAAACCACTGTTGCTCAAAATATCGAAGGGAGAACCTGGACCTTTGGAAATGCCATATCCCTTGTAATCTTCGATGTCGATGCATGTAGCCCTATACCCAGCCATGGAGACTGCTCGCGTTGCAGACCTAGACCCTGCAAATAGCTCCACCCATTGGTAATCCTAAGTTTGCCAGTAGACATATTGTTCATGTTGAACTATATCTTGGGATCCATGCACACACACACATAAGGTCCTGACAGGACGCACCTCGCCAGTTGGGATACTCCATATGCATAGCAAAGAGTAGAAGACAAACACCTGGGAGTGGAAGGGTTCAGTTTTATGATGGTTTACATAGATTGGAAACATAAAAAAATATTGTACATCACAGGTTCCTCAACAAAAGAATGTTTGGAGGACCCAGAGTTTTTTTTAACCTTTCCCATCCCATGCCAATTACCTGTGGCACTGCGGTTGACAACTGGCCTTCGGGACCTTCATGGCTTTGAGCCGGTACACTAGGCGACTGATTTCGTTCTCATTCCAGGTTCGTGGCATGGTCTGCTTATGTCTGTATGGGCTTTGTGCTGAGGACCACCGTGGCTTTCGGGGCCGGTTATAGGATTCATCTCAATGATCTGCTGAAAACATGTTTTGAAGCTTTTCCAACTTTGAAGATTTTCCAAATGCTTTTTGACGCACAATGATTACGCTAGCAAAGTTCTTGAAAGCAGCAAAACATGTCAGCCTGACTTGGCTTGTAGAAGCCTCGCTTGGCCAACCATTTGTTTCCAGCTAGCGGCATCGAAGCCTGCAAGCGCTTCGTAGGTTGACATGTTGAAATCATGATATACATGGCATGAATTTCAGCATGCATATTCGTAAAAAACATTTGCAAGCAAGACCAGATTTTTTTTTGCTTGCGACAAGGGCAGTTGGTTATCGAGATACATATATGGATTGAACGGAGCTCAGTACCCCATTGCAGTTTGGCTTTCTGGAACCAAGCCAAAACAGCCCATGCCATGCCACCAGTGGCCAGGAACCCTAAAAATGAAAACATGTTTCTTATTGAAATATGGAGTGAATTGGTGTTGAACCATGAGTTCAGCATCTGGGGCAGCTGCATGGATAGGCCCCGTATTTGCACGGGAACCACCCCAAGCATGCTTTGCATGCCTACCCTAAGCTCGGTTTGGCAACTCATATGCCTGAATCAGCTTCATAAGCTCAGCCTCTTGGCCACATTCGCCTTCGCCACGGAAAACCGGCTTGAAGCTGTTGAACTTCTCCACAGCTTGGTCCATGTCAGTACCATCAAGGAAAGCCACTCCCTGAGCACGAGGTTGATCAGCAGGGTTGTAAAATATAATTTTGGAATTCATACCGTATATATCATGGTGTATTTTTGGGATTGGGTTACCATATATGCATGCATAATCATGCATATATATTATACTTTCGGGATTGGGTTACCATGTATGGTATATAATCACTTTGCTTGGGTTACAATATCACCTATCACCTATCCCCCACGGGTCGGATTCCGTGCCACCAAGAGTCAAGAAGACACGCTGCAGCTTTTGCAGTGATCTCCATATTGCCATTCTCACCGGCCGTTGCGTAGGACACCTTCATGGGCAAATGGCTATGAGACTTCGATGTCAAGGAGACCCCGGGAGGGTGTAGGATGGAAATTTAAGAGTCGACCCCAACTATGCCAGATTGGTGGATTTAAAAGTTTGGTTGGTACCCCATACCTGCTTCCACTTGTTGGTTTCGTCACACCACATGGTGAAGGCAAGTGCATGTCGAGACCAGTAAACCACAATCTTGCAATAGCCGTCAAACTGGTGGTTCGTGTCCGCCACCATGTCTTTGATTTGCTGGGTGTATTCGTTGTGAGCAAACCGTCGTCTCTTGGGCTCCTTTCAGGGTAGTTATTATATTAAGAATATAAAAAAATATATCATCAAAGTCTGCCCAAGTAAAAGGCTCCCAACACGATACCCTTTTTCCCTGTGGAGATAACCCAATTCCTCGGCACCAAGCTCGCCAAGATCCTGGTCTTCAGGCGTATGCTCAGGTCCGTTCGGGGTAGTCTCTGAGTTTGCTTCGTTACCTAGCTCTCCCTGGTCTTTCTTGCTTGCCGATTTCTTAGCCTTTGACTTTCTGGTTTGGTTCTCCGATTCCCCAGCTGATGCCTTCTTTGCATGCTTTGCTCGCTTTCCCTTCTTTGCCTTCTTGCTCTCATGCTTGCCATCACTAGGGGGATCAGCTTCCTTTGAATCTGCATCTACAGGCTTGCTCTTGCAGCGCAGGCGCTTGGAAGGGGCAGCTTTGCCCGTTGTGGGTTCACATGGCATCTCCGTGCTGCCTGCGCTCATGTCTTTAACTTGAGCTGGTGCTTGAGATTTGGTTCGTTTTTTCTTGATTCCTTCGGGATTGCGCTTGCTGGTGTGTGCTGCCTGTTCTGCCTGATCTGTTGTCTCTGCATTTGCAACCTTCTTCCCCTTGTCCTTCTTGTCAGCTTTCATCCCCAACTGCTGTGTGCGTAGCAGAACCTAAGATGGATCCCGTGCAAAGAAAATTAAGAGTTGAAAGTTTGCGGCTTTTGTTTTGAAGCTATATAATATTAATTTATCAGGCATCAACACCATATGATATTGAGTGCCCAGAAGCAGGGATATGATCATCAGCTTCGGGGCCATTGGGTGTGCCACTCACCGGTGACTCCGGAGACCAAGATGCCACCTTAGCACCATGAAATGCTTCGCAATGAGGAACTTGAGACTCTGTCATAGCGAGCGTATCCTCCACATCCGAAGCAGGGGCCAACCTTGGGAATCGAACACGTCAGTTTAAAATCATACGGGATAAATGCAGTTCCAAAATATGTTGAACGGACAGAAAGCTAAACCCTATAGACCAAAAGGTGTTTAATTTAGAACCGAAGAGCGGAGCAGAAAGCTGTGCAGCTTTAAGCTCAGCAATTCGGGCTTTGATGCGGGCAATCTCATGATGTCGGTCTGGAATCTCTTGATCAAACTTGCATTCTTTGGGATGTTCTGGTTCGGGATGAATCGGCTGTGGGGAAACAGGTGACAGTAAGCACTCTTCACCGCGGGGCTGGGCATCGGGCCACTCTTCGGGGTTCCATGTTGGCACTGGGAAATCATCGTCATCAACAATTTCAACAATTTCATCACCCAGTTCAAATTCAAGGCGCTTGGCCTCAGCAATTTCCCTCTTTGTTCGTTCAATTTTTTCTTTCAACCCAAAAATGCATGGTTCTGCCAAGTAATCATTCATCCAATCGGGATGGGAGCGATCACCATTGGAACATGATGGGGCAGACTCTTGACTGTCAATGTCGGTAGTCCTACAAGGGGTATCACCAAGATCACCAAGAGCCTTGCCGGTTTGCTCGACATGGCCAGGAGATTCCTCGTCGCTGTCTTCACCGGCTCCGCGTAGCTGAGGATCTTGGCCAATGTCATGATAAAGGTCCTAAGCAGCGGTGGGGATGACGACAAAAACATGTACCTCAATAAAAAGTTCAGCCATATGCCTCACTACTCATGACAAGATTTTTTGATTGAATTTCCATCTTCGCTACACACATATTTTGGCTTCATCATACTTACCAATAATACGCCCATCTAACATGAACATACAGCAGCGCGGTTGACTTTCACCCTCTGTTTCACCAACCACCATGTGAATGATAAACTTTGTGCAAAAAAGGTTCGCGGGGGCCGAAGAGATCAAGAACTGCTCTGAATTGGTCGTCCTTCAGGGCGCGGGGAAGGAATAAACCATGTAGTCCCAACTTGTCTCCAATTAACAATTTAATTCTATGTTTTTTTGGACTCCCGGTCCCGTGGTACATGGGGCCGCTTGTAGTGGTAACGAGCACAAATCAAGATCTTTTTGATGGACGAAGCATCAAGGTGAATAACTGTCTCATCTGTGGTAATCTTGGGTGGATTGCTCTCATCCAATTTCCCATTGGACTCCCTCCAAGCATGAAAGAGGGTAACCTCTTGTTCCAGCTGTTCAATGTAGGGGGTTTTGATCACATGGGCTTCTTGCATCTTGGAAATGATGGGAGCAATCAGCTCAACATTGTGCACCGCATGCCACCGATCTGCGACAGCCATGGCTGCAGTTGGTGGGTTTTTTTTCACCAACGTTTTCTCCTCATCAAAAAGTTCCCTTAAATCTGGGTTATTCCACCAAATTTTGCCCACTCCATCAATGCTCGCTGGAGCAAAGGGCGGCATCACACACAGTGAAAGGGAACACCTAAGCGCCAAGAAGGTTGAGCCACAAATCTACAGTGTTATAAAATTTTGGCTCATCAGTAAATCATGGAATGAACTTGACAGCGGGCAGTCTTTCAATTCACCTGACTTGGGAAACAACCCAGCCTTGCAAAGGCCATCAAAACGGCAAATGACATGGCTGGCCCTTCAGCCCGTTCTTGATGTTCTTGTGAAATCTTTTGTGATATCCCCATGTGGCTGTTTTGGAGCTACCATTTTGGATCTTGGATATCTTGGAAATCCTGAATTGTTGTCCTGGTTTGCTTCATGCCCTCCATTGATATCAAATTGAATTAGGCCAGCCCCCCTTGGAGCCAAGCACCTGGAAGCGCCAAGACACAGGAAGGGATGTTGGGGATATCACCATAATCTTAGGTTATCAATAATTGATGGGTTTTTCCTGTCATTACGGGTAAGATCAAGTGAAGTTGGAAATTCGACTATAAAAACATGTCATTACTAGTATTACGGGGTATGACTGAAAAATTCTTGACGTTTAGGGTTCCAGGTATATATTATACCCGGTATCACATATAGGAACGCCCCTACATCTCGAAACGTTCAATTGGGACGATTCACTTTGATCCAGGCCGAGGCCCTGTCACCGCAAACCCAGCAGCGGAGACATACGGTGCAGGAGCTGATGGGAAACTTGGGAAAATCCATTGAAATACTTGAGGGATTTATTAAACAATGTGTAAACATTGTAAGTTATGTAAGTTGGATATAGTTGGATTATGTAAATTCTGGATGATATGAGGTGTTGATAAATACAATAGGGGAATTGACAGGGATATGTGTTACATACATACGATACACAGTTGCAACCAACGGATAAAGACGGGTATAGCCCCAGTTTATGGTAGGTTATGGCCATTTCAGAAGGTAAATGATGATTAGCCAATGCATACAATGGGATACTCTTATTTTTTTGGCAAGCCCATTTGTTTGTTTGATACTGGTACTGGTAATGTTTGATTGATGTTGATTTATTATTATTGTCGATGTTGACATGCAAGTTGTTGATGTCCAATGCCGCATGATGTTATATATGCGGAGACTTAAGAAAACACAATATATGTCAGTCAGTTTGGACCGGTATTTGAATCATGTCCGTGATGTTTGTTGGAGCTAAGCTGGCCAGGGACACACTTTCTTGGTGATTGTTCCATGGTCAACCAGTAAATAGAATATATATAGAAGGTTGTATATAGCATGCTTTGACAGAAGATTAAGGTCGTTGCAACAGGTTTGCTCCTACACTTTCTGGAAGTTGCGCTATGTGCGTGCATTCATTAATTCTTTACTTGCGCAAGGATGTGAAGCAAAGGCTTCTGGAGACAGGGCTGAGGTTGGGACAGCATGTCACGCTGATAAGACCAGACCTGGATCCCTGGATCTCGCATGTCTCACCGACCTTGAACAAATTGTTGCCCGACTTTCTCTCTTCGTTGCCGCGACAACAAATAACAGCACAGAGTGTTGACAGGTTTTGGCCATATGACAAGATATGACAAGAGTATTTGTGCCAATGATATGGTATAGACCCCTGTACATGATACCTTGCTTCCTGGCAACTTCCGTTGGTTCCAGACCCCTTTATACAATCCCTTTCAAGCAAGATGACGCCTCTAGACTCTAGACCGTCCCCCCTGTAGCAACATGGGTCTCCCAGTTTTTTTCCCTTCACTTTACGTTTTTACCTCGTATTTTCTTTATCAAGCTGAGCTACTTGTTGAATCAATCAATTTGTGGCTGCCTTGTGACATGATGACATGATGAGATGAGAACTTTATGACAATGGGTGAAACATGACCTACATTTCTGCCGCGTCAGGCAAGAAGAAGTGGATGTCGCCCTGCTGAGAGTAGCAACCTCCATGCTCCAGGCCTCTTGCCTTGTGACAGGGGCATGGTATATCACGGTGTACTTGATCTCCTGAACAAAGTATCAACAAGTATTAACAAGCCATTGCAAGGGCATCAATATTGAGCAGACATGAGCAGACAAGTTTCCACAGACAGTTCTAAAATGTTCTAGGTCTGACTTGTGGACTGGATGATTCTTGGCTGCCTAATTCTGGCTCAAATCTAGATGAAGCCTCCCCGAATGGGGATGCAAGCGTCAAGGCTTAATATTGTGAAACGCATCCACCAATGTGGATACTTGAAATCGAGTCTCCCACTATCATTTTTGACTTCCGGAGCCTCAGGGAACTGCGCGGCATTCCTTGCAGATGATACAGAGGAGGATAGATTTTGGCCTTTCAGCCAAGCACTATCACTTTCCCAGCAATTATGTGTCCACGACTCGCTACAAGCTCTGGACAATCGTACCATTGAATCTCTTTGAGCAGTTTCACCGATTTGCGAACATTTGGTTTTTGATTGTGTCTACTTTGCAGATGTTGCCATTCAAGATCTCGCCAACTACATCTTGGGCTACATTGGTGCCATTGGTGGGCGTTCTTTTTGTGACATTTTGTAAAGATGCCTATGAAGACCTGAAAAGATGGCGAGATGACTGTCGTGTGAACAATCAAACCTGCAAGGTTTCTGAGACCTCTGAGGAAAGTACGTTCAAAACAGTCAGGTGGTCGGAAGTGCAAGTTGGTAGCTTCTTGAAGTTACAGCGCGACCAGCCTGTGCCTGCTGATTTGTTGCAACTTGGCATCGGCTCGCACATTTGTTTGTTGGTGTCGGAACCGTTCAATAATCCCCTGTGTTTTAACCCATTGCCGCGTTCCTACTATACCCGCTTAGTTTCCACAGAAAATTGGTATGAAAATGTATGAAAGACTTCGACATACTTTGACCAGTACCAGCGTGCCACGGCTTTCAGGCTTTTATTCTCAAGTGCCGGCGGCGGTGCGTTTGTAGACACTGCCCAGCTGGATGGGGAATCTGCCTTGAAGCCCAAGCAGGTGGTCGACGAGACTCAGCACATGATCAGCCATAATAGTGGAGTGGAGGGGCACCTTGAAGCTGATTTGCCTAACGAGCTGGTGACGAAGTTTGATGGATGCTTGTACCTGAAGGGTTATCCACGGGGAACTCCCGTGCATCTCAAAAACTTGCTGTTGCGCGGCTCAACTGTACGGAACACCGCCTACGTCATTGGCTTGGTGGTATACACAGGTTCAGATACGAAAATGGTCAGAAACTCCTCCAGATCCTTGACTTCCAAAAGGTCTCAAGTAGAATTATTGTCCAACAAGCTTCTTGGATTTGATGAAGATGTCTTTCTTCTCTTCCTGCATTGGTTAATCCACCAGACATGGGGAATCTGAAGAGACTGAAGAGGTATTTTTGATATTTCTTAAGCACATCCAAGGCTTTTGGCAATCATTTTCCTGCTGCTTTTTCTGATTTCCATCGGTTCAGCTATAGCACGGGCCTGCTTCATCGCAGATGAGAAGGGCTTCGCAAACCTTTCCTGGGTTTGGCCTCTTACTGGTGGAAATGGCTTGCAAGACAACCGGTACATGGCAATCCTGACTTTTCTCATTGGATACAACAATTTAATTCCCATCAGCCTCTACATGACCACGGACTTGGTTCGTGCGATGCAAGCCTGTGTCATGGAGTTAGACGAAAGCATGTATGACAGAGAGGCTGATGTAGCTTGCAAGGTTCGAAGCTCAGGATTGTGCGAGGACTTAGGGCAAGTTGACTTTGTGCTCTCAGACAAGACGGGCACCCTGACTCAAAACAAGATGTGCTTCAAAGCTTGCTATGTCGATGGTCAAGTCTATGGCTATTGGACAGAAGTCCCAAGGGATTCTGAAGTCGAAGATCCAGGTGAGCAAAGTGTGAATCTCCTGGGCCATCCCAGCAATCGCATCGAGAGGGTGCCTCCTCACAGTATTTGCATGCCGCTTAGCCCAGTGCTTTGGAATGTTGCTTGTGACTCAGACCCAGTGGATGATGAGCTTATCCCATTGCCTGCTGAAGGCTCAACAGTTCAGAATTTCTTTCTATGTTTGGCCACATGTCATGAAGCTGTGCCCGAAAGGAAGGGAAGCACTGGACAAAACGCGGCGAGAACAACAAATACAATTGTTGATATTCAGTATGACTTAGATTATGCATTGCAACATGATCCTGGGATGGTCAATTTGCACCTGGAAAGTGACATACAACAACGACAACGGCTGGTGGAGGAAGCTCAAAATACGGTTTTTCGGAGTCCATCTCCTGACGAGGAGGCTTTGCTGGCAATGGCTCGTGATTTTGGCTTCTTCTTTCAAAAAAAGGAGGGAAATCAGATCACCATCAACGTTCGAGGCGAGGAGATCGTTTTTACGGTGCTCTTGGTGAACGAGTTCTCCTCGGAACGGAAGCGAATGTCTGTGCTGGTGCATCGAGCGAATGAGTCCTATGATCCCGATCTGTTGGCCAAGCCGGCAGCGGCGCTGTCCTCCATGGAGGGTTTGCAGTTGGAAGCGGGACAATTTCTGCTCTTTGCGAAGGGTGCCTGGATGGATTTGCAAGTTTTGCGCTTGGAACATGCTAATTCAATATATTCAATCATATTCAATTTGGAGCCATTTATTTGGACAATTACGCAGCTTATCATTGCATTGTAAGGCAGAGGGGAGGAAGATTTAGATCATGACTTATCATGGTGACCATTGCTTTGCGGACCAACAACAAACAACCAAAAGGAGACGAAGATTTGGACAATGACGTAGCTTATCATTGCATTGTAAGGCAGAGGGGAGGAAGATTTAGATAATGAGTTAGCAAGCATGGTGTAAGAAAATGTGAACTCTTTAAAACGTCTGAAAACTACAAGCGGACTAGTTACAACTATATAATATTACAACTGATTACAACTAGTTACAACTAGTTATAGCTTTTTCCACAATTAGTGGATTCCCCCTGCTTCCCAACTGTGCTTTTCTGTTTTTGTTTGCTTCTCTGCTCTTTTGCTTCTCTGCTTTTCTGTCTTCTTTGCCTCTCCGCTTCTTTGCTTATTAATTCTCAGTTTTTTTGCTTCTCTGTTTTTTGTTTGTCTGTTTCCTGTTATTTGCTTTGTATTTGTTTGCTTTTCTGCTTTCGCCGCTTTTTGTTTTTCTACGTGCTTCTTTGTTGTTCTGCTTGATTGCAAGTGCAGCTACAACTACATTGAGAACAGCACCAGCAGCACAGACAACAAGAGTAGCAAATACAAAAGGAACAACAAGAACGATAAAAGCAACAAAAACAATCAAAAACAACAAGAACAGCAAGAGAAACAAGAACAAGTAGAAAGGCAAAGGAGGAACACAACTAGAACGAAGTTGTCTCTGTGCTTTTCTTTGGCGGGGAGGCGCTGCGCCCTTGTCCCCCATGCTCCCCTCCAGCTGGTTCTATTTTGTTGTTTTGTGCTTTCTTGTTTGACCTTTTTGGTTTCTTTGTGTTGGTGTAAAGACCATAAGATGTATAAATAAGCTATAATATAGTTAACAAGTTAACTTGCTAAGGTTTCACAATGATTCAGATATGGTCCAAGGTCGTCATGCAAATATGGAAGGTTGAAGTTCAAACATGTTGCAAATATCATGTGCAAAATCCTGCCAATACCATGCGGCATGAAAGGGTCTATCTTCCAAATGTCGCAGATACCATGCAAAATGAGAGGTTCTATCTCCAGAATGCAGGTTGACGTTGCAGAATGCTGAACATATTGCAAATACCGCGCAAACTCTATTGTTTGTTTCTGCTTTTTTGGGGCCTTGATAGTTTCGCCAGTTTTACGGGTTTCTTGACTTCATGGTTTTGTTGGTGTTCACCGCAACCAAAGCCACACGGATAAGAAAATCATAAACACGGCCTACACCAAAACAAAGGCTACAATATCAACAGTTGTTAGTGTTTTCCTCGGGCTACACCACCACCAACAACAAAAACCACAACAGCAGCAACAGTAACAACAAAAGCAACAACTACAAAAAACAACTATTACAAAAACAACTGTAACTGCAACAATAACTCCAAGTACAACTACAACAGCTACAACAACTACAACTGCAACAAGACCAACAAAACTAACAAGAACCCACAACGAACCGACAACAACCAACCAACAACAACTTGCAAATAGCATAATTAATAATTACCAAATGGAAGATTCCAGCTCCAAAATGTTGCGAATAGCATGGAAATAAGCACAACCAGAAATCAAAAAACAAATCCCTATACAAACCAAAAATTAAATTCCCAAAACAATTTCCTAAGCGCAACTTGGGCACATTGGGCAACTTGGCCCTGTGTGGGGGCATTTGGCGCCAAAGTTGGGCCCAATGCAGGCAGAATGTGGGGAACAGGGCCTCGCACAGACCTCCTGCAAAGCCAAAAAACGTTGGAAATAGCGGTTTTCAGCGTGTCGCATTGAGTCTGCACAATTGGCCCGGGTTGGGCTCAGCTTGGATGGACCCCAAATTGAAATGAAAGTCCAGGTCATGTTCAACATGGGGCAACTTGGGACCCTTTGGTGTCAGCTTTGCTCGAAGTGTGGCCCAACGGAGACACAACATGGGGAACATTGCTCAACATGAGGTGTCATCGATGCGATGGGAAATAAAAGTGAAACCGGGTGGTTGGAGGATAATTGGGCCGGCGGCCATGTCCCACATTTTCAAGCCATGTGGACCTCAACCTAAGTTGCTCCCAAACGGGGCCAACTTGGGGCCAAACTGCGGCATGTTGGACCGAAGTTGGGGCCAAGTTGGAGCCAATTGGGTCCAGGTTGGGCCCAAGTTGGGGCCTTGTTGGCCAATGTTGACCCCAAGTTGAACCACTGTTGCGGACATGTGGGGTCGAAACGATGCATCTGGACGATGTTGTGCCGATCTGCAAAATGCACAAATTACGGTGTCCCGTGCACTTTTGGCTTGCCCGGGCGCACATGCCCCCCCCAGCTGAAGCCGTACCAGTTGAACAGATCTGTTCGTATCCCTCGCTGCTAAACTACCACGCCTCCGCACCTTCGGTGCGGGCCGATTTACAGTGAGTGGGTTTTAACTTGTGTTTGTACTAGGCAAAATAACGCACCCTCAAATATCATGGTTTATCATGATTTATCATCATTTTCCTTTTAGAATTTCCATTCTGGGTCTGGGTATGTCCCATTTTTGCACGGACTCATTTATCAAATTACATTGCGGGGAATCAACAAACAAGGCGCCGACAGCGTGATGATGGAACGTATAACGTCTGGAAGAGGTGGAGGGCAGCGTCTGCCTTCAGAGAATGACTTTGTCCCAGACAAACGGGGCCTTGGAGCAAGCGACGGACAGCAGTCTTCGGGGCTGCTGAATTTCCGAGGCTTCCTGCTGATTAGCCGTCCTTGAGCAAACAGTTTGTCTGTGTGTAGAACACATGAAAGCAACCAAATGTCAAATCTCAAAATTTGTACAGCAATCTGATCGGAAACTTGTCTAAATTGCTTTATATAGCCAGATGCAATTTCTTCCACGGACAAAAGCCCACGATGTATTGTATTGTAATGTATTGTATTGCATTGTATTGTCTTGTGCTGTACCGTACCGTATTGTATTGTATTGTATTGTCATGAGTTGTCATGAATTGCATTGCATTGTAACATTGTAATTGTCTTGTCTTGTATTGTATTGCATTGTGTTTTATTGTCTTGCCTTGTCTTGTATTATATTATTATTGTGTTTTTTTCCTTGTGCTGTGTTCGAATTCTATTGTTTTGCAAACGTAATTATAATGTTAATGGTAATTTTAATTTCAATGTGTGTTGTATTGTATTGTCATGTATTGTGTTGTATTGCCATGTAACGTTTTATAATTGAATGCATTGTAGCGTAGCATAATGTAATGTAGTGTAGTGTAATGGAACGTAACGCAACATATATAATCACATATATATATATATATATATACATATGCAAATATGCATGTATGTATGCTTGCATTTAACATTATATATATGCATAGAAAACGGATGACCAGAATGTATAATATACACAGGTATAGACGGGGCAACATATATGTATATACACACATGTATTATACTTTGTGGAATACATAAATGAAGTATATGTTTAGATATAGGTTTGTAGAAGATATGTGAATTCACGTAGCACCCATGTTTATATCCACATTGGCTTCACATTTGGGGCATTTTCACAGCCGCATCAGGTGGGCCAGGAGAGATGCCCAAACCCGTGCCAGTTGCACCTAAAGAGCCAGCTCCTTTGCTGCAACTGCCAGACCTTGCGGCGGCACATGCTACCGTGAAAAGCAGGAGCCTCAGCATTTTCTCCAGCGAAAATTCAGCCAGCCATGCTGGAATGGTGAGCTTCTTGGAGAGCTGTTTAAGGTACAGGTAGAGTTTTGATTTGAGAATCTTTTTGGAAGAGATATATACATGTTTCTTTTCTTGGCTCGTTTTTTGTAGCTCGTAATCGTAATGTTTTTGTAACACATCATTATCATATTGTACCATAGTCAAAAATAATAATGTTGATCCATCATGCGAAGCAAACGGGCCCTCATTAGGCACATCAAAAAAAGATCAAAAGAAGTTCATCGAACACACACACACAAATAATATGTATATGTATATATATAATTAGTTTATTGTCATATATTCTTATTATCATATTATTATTACTATTATTATCACTTATATATATATATATACATATCCTCGTCTATGTATACATATATATATAGGCATGCTTTTCCCAAGATATCCTTTCTTTGCCTCCACTACCCATGGCAAAGCTACCCCACAAGTGGTAGTGAACATAGACTTGAGATGGAAAAAACCTTCCATGCAAAATTAAGTAATTAAGCAGCATTCTGGCACTGCAAGGTTGGACTGGAAAGGCTTTCATGGGTCACAGTGAGAGTATAGCTTCCATGCCAGCAGTGGTGGAACTCAAGCAGCAGAAGAAGCTCAAGTTTGCTCGTGACCATTTGCGTCATTTCTCCCATCATGGTTTGCGGACCCTGGTTTGCGGATACAGAGAGTTGTCAGACACAGAGGCCAGACGTTTCGTAAAGGAACATGGGATTGCAAAAACATCTTTGTTCAATCGCGAGGAGAAGGTGTCCCAGGTGGTTGATGAGATGGAAAGAGGCTTCTCCCTGCTTGGAGTCACTGCTGTCGAGGACAAGATTCAGGTCGGCGTTCCAGAGACTGTGAAAATGCTACTTGACGGGGGGATCCGAGTGTGGATGCTCACAGGTGACAGCGTAGAAACGGCTGTGAACATTGCTGGGGTCTGCCGGCTGGTTCCGCCGCAGTGCAAGCTCTTCTACTTAACATTTGAAGCTGACAAGACCAAGGATGACCCAAAGGATGAACTTGCAGGAAAGCTGAGGAAAATCCTTGACACAATCACAGAGTCAGAAGCCGACGGGTCAAAAGGACTCACCTTCAGCTTGGTGATCAATGGAACAGCCCTGTACGCCATTTTGGATGAAGGAAGTGCCAGCACCGCTTCTATGAAGCGCTTGTTCGCCACCGTAGCCTGCAATTCTTGCTCAGTGATTGCTTGTAGACTTGCACCAGCACAGAAGGCAGCTTTGGTGGAGCTTCTTCAAAAGGGTATTCCAGGTGGGGTTGTCTGAAACTGTGGAGAGACCAAAAAATCAAATGCACAAAATTGCCATCATTGGGTCTATCCTAATGTACGCTGCCATTTTCAGCCAGACGTGATTGATGGTTTATATTAGACATATAGGATCCCAAACATATTCCCATGATTCATTGTTATAATATCTACAAGACATTCTTTTTCACCACCCTTTGATCAGCCAGGCAACCCTTTAACTCTGGCAGTGGGTGATGGCGGCAACGACGTCAGCATGATCCAAAAAGCCCATGTGGGCGTTGGAATCTACGGGGCCGAGGGCCGGGAAGCCGTGAACGCCTCGGACTTTGCCATCGGACAATTCCGCTTTCTCAGGCGTGGCTGATATCAAACATGGCTGGGAAATCCACCAGAAAAAACTTTGAAGCTGGGAACATTTAAGATCTTCTCTAAATGATGAAATGATGGATTTCCCATCAAGCCATATTTGATGAGGGTAACCATGCTGCACCAATAGAAATTGGCCGAAAACATGCTTGATGGGGATATCTTACAGGACTTGATTGATTTAATTTGGCCAACATTTGGCAGCGGGTACTGAACCCGCCCGCAAGAAATATGGGATTTAAGCAGCATAATTGCATCTGCAACCAGCACACAAGTGAATGATGAATTATTGACCCCAAGTAATGAATCTGTCAAACATGGTTTAAATTTAATCACATTTATATGAATGCTAAACAATACCAAGGTTTGTGAGTCCATGAGTTTGGTTGCATAGGTCTCTTCTGTTCCTGCATGGCCGTTCGAACATTCGCCGCATCGGCATTGTGATTGGCTACTCCTTTTACAAGAACTTTTTGCTGGTGATTTGTATGGCTTGTTACGCGCCCTGGAATGGTTTGAGCGGCACAACCTTCTATGACTCCTACCTGATCATGATGTACAACATGGTCTTCACGAGCATTCCAATTTTCATCGTGGGGAGCTTGGACGTGGACATCTATGCTCCAGGTGCTTTTGCTTTGCCCAAGCTTTACTTATTTGGAGTGAACAAGGTTTACTTTAACTATCGCATGTTGGTTGCCTGGCTTTTCCGGGGAATTGTGCATGCTCTCGTGAATTTCTGTGCGGCTGTGTTCCTCTTGGGCGGTTTGCTTGGTAATGGTGACCACTTCCCGGACTACCTGTCACTGGGCACCTGGTCCTATTGGAGCTGTGTTGTGGTGGCCAACTCTACCCTGTTGTTGCATTCGCAGGTATGGATGGACTGGCAGATCCTTGGGTTTGTACGGATTTGTGTAGTGGTTGAAAAAGTTTTCCCATTGATAAAGCCACCATTCGGGCAATCTACGGTCTACGTTTCTTTTTCCACTTGGCCATCTTGAGCAAATCCCAGGATCTTCATTGCAATGTTATCAGTGATGCTCTTTCCGCCGATCCTCTTCATCTATTCCTCTCCTGCTGCATCCAACTTGTTCAATCCTTCTTTCCATGATGTTGCGTTCAACCTTTTCCAGTCTCTTCCAGGATGGCTTTGTTTGGTGCTGGTGCTAGCACTCTCTGTTCTTGTGGAGCTGGCGATGGATTCTTGGCGCCGTGTCAAGCGACCAGACATGATAACACGAGTTCAGGAAGTGCAGGGCAACTCGATGGATTACAGAAACTCATAGATTTTGATTCTTTATTTTCCTTCGGGGTTGGACACACAACAAGTTGATACAAGTTGTACTTTGGTGGAGCAACAGACCACCAAGGCAAAAAGAGCGACAAGGTCAAAAAGATCGCACCACAGCAGCCAAGCGCTTCCAAGACGGCGGGACCCATCGACTCGCTCGGTCTGCAAACTGAGCCGGATAAAACGATCCCAAGCAACCTGGGAAGCAGCCCAAGTTTTTTTTCTGCCCCAGCCATTGCGCCCATGACAATCAAAAGCCCTGTGAGCCCCTCCACTCTCAGTCCCTCCGCTGCTGTGCTCAACCCTTTCAGCACAAATCAGTTCACGCGAACAGGCTTGGACATGGTGCAAAAGATTGAGCGCTTGCAACAGTTGTACCCTGCAACATTGGTCAGTTCCCTTCCATGGTCCTATAAGCAGGACAGCTATGACGTCGAAGAATATCGAGCTGAGGCCGCCTTACTGCGAGCTCATGCCGGAAATGCTTGGCACCCACCGGTGAAGCAGCCGGGCCTGCGACTGCTTTATGAAGCACTGTGGTGGCTGCAGGGTGAGGGCCCGGCGGACGGAGCAGGGGCACTTCAGACTCTGAAGGATTTGAGCTACGGCCGCCTGAGCTTGGCAGCCAGGCCGATAGGATCCGGTAGTGTTGAAGTGTTGCAACATGTTGCAACCATATTCCATCCCGACATTGACAGTTCCAGAAACTATGTTCAACATTGTTTAACTACTGCTACATTTATATTTAGCCATAGTATGTAATCTGTTTTGCTTGCAGATTAATTCATTGCCATAAATATTGGTAGAAACTGTTTTCCAAAGCCAGGTGGCGGGCGCGTCTGAATCATTTGCAGTGGTGCCAAATTGTCCTTATGTTTGACGATCTGGACAAGGAGACCCCTGTGGAAGCGGCCAAATCCCAGGCTTCCGATGATGTGGCAAGCAAGTTGCTTGGAGATGGAATGGTTTTGGGTATTTGAGTTGTTTGTTTATTTATTGTTTTCTCTTGTTTTTCCTTTTATGTTTCCCGTTGGTTTAATTTTGCGGTGAGTTTGTTTTTGATTCTGTCTTTCATGTTTTTGCTAAAATCAACTTTCTTTGTTCAAACTAGACTCATAAATTTAGGGTATGCTTCGGTTTTGTTTTGTTTTTTGATTTTTGTATATAGAATCCTGCTCTCTCTGTACTGTCTGACTGGGTGTCTGGCTCTCAACACTAAATAAAGTTGAAACTAACCCTAAATAATCCCTAAACCAATCGGCCCTAAATAGATGTTAAACCACGCCTAAATAAGCCTTAAACTAACCCTAAACAAACCCTAAACAATCCCTAAGCCAACCCTAAATAGATTGTAAACCAAGCCAAATTAGATCCTAAAAAAGACTAATCAACATTGAATCAACACTAAATAGATCTTAAACCAATCATAAGTGAACCCTAAACCAGCCCCAAGTAGATCTTAAACCAACCCCAACAAGCCCTAAACCAACCATTGAAAGAAACCCTACTACATACACCGTAACTCTAAAATTCCAAAACAAACCCTTAAAACCATTTTAAAACATTCTAAAACCAAACCCCAAAAACTTAAACCAACCCTAAAACCAAAGATGCGCCCCAGTTGCAAACTACCATGTTACATGAACAGTTTGAGCATCAAAATGCTGCAAGTACCCTGGAAAATGAAAGGTTGGAACTCAAACATGTTGCAAATACCGTTGAAAATCGTTGAAATGGCAGCTTCCAGCTCCAAAGTGCTGCAAATAGCATGGAAAATGGACAGAACTGGAAACCAGCAAAGAAAACCCTAAACGGAGAAACAAATCCCAAAACAATTCCGGACCCTTGTAAAAACATGGGGCAGGATACCAGAAGTTGATTTGTTCAATAGGGTTAATGGGGACAGAGTCTTACAATCGGTGACACTCCATATTTAGACACCGATTTGCGCAGATGATTTAGTCTCAAATAAGAAATCCACCCAAAATGGTGAATCTATTGATACTGGGAATAGATTATTATGCGATATTATGCGTATTTTTGGGAGGTGAGGCCTTCAGCAACTCCATTTGGATGCACATCCCAGCTCATCAATCATAGAAGGTTTACCATGGTTTGCCCCAGTTACACTATTTCTTTTGTTGGTTTTGCATCCCCCACCCAAGCGGTGCCCGAGGTTATCTAAGAAAACTGGGATGCAGAAAGAGCTGCTGCATCTTGATCACTTGGCTTCGCTGACCCGGGAACAGTCCTTTCGGCTGTCCACCTGGGGGCCCAAAGAGGCGCCCACCCGGGCGTCCAACACCCGGCGCTACACCACAGACTTTGAGTACAATATCATCAACCTGCAGTTCCCTAGATTTTCCTTGGATGTGCACTATGTACAATACGTTGCCATTGGTGATTATCCATCAGACATGGGGGAATCGACTGGTCATATTTTGCTGATTTTTGTTGAATTATACCGTGTATTGTTAAGAAGATGTATTTTTCCCGAATGATCCCGAATGCGCGAAGGGTTCTCGTTTTACTTTGGGGTCTGGGAGTAGACCTGTGTTCGCTCGACGCTGCTTTTGTGCTCGCAACCGTCAGCAACCGTCGGAAGCACGACTGTGTGGGGACTCTATGGCCGTGCCTACGGGGAGTGGTCACTTTTGGAGGTTTGAAACGTCGCGCAGCATCGTTTCGTGTGGGAGGCATGGCACTTTGTGACATTCTCACGTGTCTTTCCCAAGTCGTTTTTCTGACAAGCGCGATGCATTTTGCAAGGTTTTCAGAAGATGAGTTCCATGTTTCCTGGCAGGCGCATAAGTTTGGAGACCTCAATCGTCTGTTTGCGTGGCGGGTGCATCACTTGAGACGTATGGTGTTGTGTGTTTTTTGCGAATCGCATTGTCAGGGCTGCGTCAAGTGGTGATAAATTGCGTGGCATGCGTTGTGATTGACGATAATTGACGGAAGGCTCGCACGAAACATCGCTTTTGCCTGAAATATTCGATCAATTATATATATATATTTATTTATTTATATTTATTTATTTATTTAGTAGTTTTGGAGCAACCTAAAATGACATATAGTTTTTCAGCATCTCGTCTAATTCTACTAGTTTGCCTAGTTTTTTTTCCTGATGGCCTGATGGCCAAACTATCACCACAAGTAAAATCTTGAATATGATTGAACATGGCTTGCATCCTGGCTGTATCCCAGGGGCGGGCCCAGGCCATTCCCATATCTAAAGCACCAACGCATTTTAAATGCACATGACTGCAACCAAAGTTACCTGCAAAACGCCCGCAAAAACCCGCAAACGCCCGCAAATCCAATCTGGTAAATTTGTCTTCTTTTGGGAGCGCAATTAAACACAAACCAACTTGGACGTGCGGCTCTGCATTTTGAAAGCAATATTGTGAGAAGACTGGGAGGAGGGCCCTGCGGATGGGAAACACTTCTATGACATACCGCCCTTATTTTTTTGAGGAAACGCGCGATACGACCATAAGTTTGATGAAACGCCTGATTGTGCAAAACGACCGATATTTTTTAGGAGTGGGAAGGGCCAGGTGAGGTAACCGATTTTAGGGGAAAACTCGTAGGAAGACGTCGATTTTGTAGCTAAACAAACTGTGAAAATCTGAGGAAGTCTCATACGAAATGCTCGGTTTGAGCCTCCTACACGTTTTGTCTCGCTTCTCCGGTTTTGTTCCGGTGTCGCCGTGCCTATGCGGGAAGCTGCAAAACCTCTCCTTTTTGAAGGTTTCAAAAGAGGTCGCTTCGTGTGGCAGGCGTGGCATTTCGTGACATTCTCAATGCACAATTTGGGTCACTTTCGTGATTTCAAATGCCGCTTTCCGCAGTGGCACAGCTGCGCGAGGTGTGATGTTGCCTTCATCTTCCGTGCAATTTTGAGTGGCAGGCTTTACACTCCTCATTCTACACTCCACACTCCACACTCTACACCTTACTCTGCACTTTACACTGAACACTCTACACTTTTACACTTCGCACTCCGCACTCTACAACTTGCACCTTACACTTTACACTTTGCACTCTACACTTTACACTCCACACTCTACACTTTTACACTTTAATTACACTCTATACACTCTACACTTTACACTCCACACTCTACACTTTACACTCTACAATTTACACTTCACTCTACACTTCACACTACACTTTACGCTTTACACTCCGCACTTTGCACTCCACACTCTACACTTTTCTCACTCCACACTTCACACTCCGCACTTTACACTCCACACTCTACACTTTACACTCTACACTATGCACTCCACACTCTACACCTTTACATTTCACACTCTTCACTTTACACCCTACACTTTGTACTTCTAGACTTCGCACTCTACAGTCGACACTCTACACTCTACACTTTGCACTCCACACTCTGCACTGTACACTTTACACTTCACACTCTACACTTTACACTCCACGCTTTGCACACTACACTCTACGCTTTGCACTTTACACTCTGCACTCCACTTTACACTCCGCACTCTACACTTTACACTTTACACTGCGCACTCTGCACTCTACACTACACTTGACACTCCACACTCTACACTTTACACTCTACACTGTGCACTCTACACTTTACACTCTACACTGTACACTCTACACTTAACAGTCCATTCTTTACACTGTACAATCCCCTCTTCACACTCTACACACTATATGTCCCACTCAAGACTTGACACTTTGCACTTCACCCCATTCCATACTTCACAGTCTACACTGGTACGGTCACAGGGGAAGAATATATAAGACCGTTGAAACAACTTGTTTCACCAAAGAGTTTCACGTGACTGCATTCGGGTTCGTTGGCTGGTCCTCTTTTTTTGATCCTGTCGATACCAAGGTTCCGCTCAAACTTCCATGAGGAGGCATTTCGGAGATACTTTGACGAAGGAAGCAGGAAACACTTCTTTGTCTCTGTCCGAGCGGTCACGTGGGTCATTGTGGTGGGTTTCCAAGTGGCGAAACTGGTAGCACTGGTGGCAACACCGCTCAGAGAAGGGAAAGAACCAGGGGAGAAAACACAGGAAATTCTTCAAACTTGCTTGGTCATTGTTGCCTCCATTGTTGGCTACTGGTTGGTAGTTTGAGTTGTTTTTACTTTCCATCCTATCTGGGATGATGATGATGTAATTATGATGATCCCCATTGAGTATATAATGAATCTGGTTCAGGGGGTGGCCAGCCACAAAGTAGGCTATCAAATTGTGCTCCTGCCTTTGCGTATCGAGGGCTTCAAGGCAGTGCAACCATATGTAGCCACCGCAGCTTGCATCCTGATTTTGGGGAAGCACGTCTATGAAACCATCACCCGTCTCCATGGTGAAGTCTCGGATGCAATCATGCCTCTTTTCTTAGTTGCTGGGGTGCGGATGAGATTTCCCGCGATGATTTTGGTGCTGTGTTTGCACATGCTGGTCCTCTTGGTCTACAACACCTTCCTTTTGAGTGAAGACAGTTGCGTAACTGGCTCTGGAGAAGCAAAGGTCTCAGTTTGCGATAGTAACAATATCCTCCGGGGTGAGTACAGCGTGATCCAATTCAATGTAGTGCTCATTGTGGTTGTCTATACCTATGTCTCGGAACGCTTCGCCCGCTTCAACTTTGCTTGGGGTGACATGATCAGCTCAGCTCGCAGCTCGGATCGAGATATCCTCAAAGGGATGTATCCGGAAGATGTGGTCGAAGCAGTCCGGACTAGTTTCCTGAAGAATCAGGGTGCCGCTGAAGCGAACACTTCAGTGTCTTCCACTGAAACCATTTTTCAAGATCGGGGCATCGTGACTGTGGTCTTCATCGACATCTATGACTTCGGAAAGGTGGTTGCAGGTTTACATCCCTGTGACCTTGTGATGATGCTGGACCGGGTCTTTTCCTTGATGGACAAGGTTTGTCAGGAGTGCGTGGCACAGCTTGGTCAAATTGTAAGCTCCTGGAGTTGTGCCACATCACAATGCAAGCAGAGTTACTGTGTGTATATGTATATATTTATATATTATATTGAACTTATTTGAACTTATGTATGCATATATATAATCATATATATATATGGTGATCGATCTAAAGGTCCTTGTAAGGAGTTTTAATCGCGAAAGCCGTGCATGTTATGTTGGAAACCCTCGCGAAAGTTTTTTTTTCGAGTTCGCGAAAGTAAAATTTTATTTCGCGAAAGTTTCGCGAAAGTTGGGTATTATAATCATTATATGTAAAGGGCTGCCACCCACTGCCGCCCGAGGTCTGGCAGGAGAAGGGCACCAGAGAATGCGAGTAGCAGTAGCCAAGTTTCCAAAAGTGAGGCTTTGCGAGAGCCAAACACCAAGGCCCCTGGTCTTCGTTTTTCCTTCAGTGCACCCCCTGCTGATGGCCGGGGTCTGTGAATAGGGATATTTTCGCGAAAGTTCCGCGAAAGTTATGCCAAAGAGCGGGCGAAAGTCAAAGTGCATGTTGAAGAGGGTGGGCCAGTAAACTTTGCAAAAGAAAATCTGTCCTGAGAAGGGATTCCGTGATGCTAGCTGCATGTTTAAAAGGCTACCATGCAAGAAGTGATCCGTGATTCTTTGGCGTAATTTGGCAGGTGGTGAACGAATCTTCATAAGAGGTGTTGTTGGCCAACATGGGCCCCGCGAAAGATAAGCATGGAGTTCGCGAAAGTTTCGCGAAAGTAAAATTTTTATTCGCGAAGAATGGCCGTTCCGGGATAAAGGAATTTTGATCAACAACCATATGTGTGTGTGTGTGTAAATGTGTATGTTGTACAATTACACACATATGCATTTGTGACATTGGCAGATCTTTGTGCAGATTGGTCAGATTGGTATTTTAAGATTCAATTTGATTTCGCTGTGTGGTTTGTAGCTGACTCTAAGATACCACTGAACAGAGCTCTGCATGTGGTTAGGTATTAATTACTTGTTCACGGAGTGGCCATCAGCCACAGCAGTGGCATGGTGAATCCTTAAGCTTTTGTCGGAGAATCCGTGGGATGTCCGGACTGTTTCCCAGAAGTTTTCATAGCAGTACTGACACATCACCGCAAGTGCAATTTACATCAATTTACGCCCTGACGTGTCGGTGCCCTTGGTCCCAGGAGCACGGAGTGGTGAAGATCGAGACAGTCGGCAAAACCTTCATGTTCGCAGGCCTTGGGGAGGAAGGATGCAAAGAAGCGGCCCTACAGGTCCAAGCGGTCAAGCGTCCTGGTTTTTTTTGAAAGGTGATTTTTTGATGATTTCTGGCATTTTTCCAAAATAACTTATATAACTATATAGAACTATATATTATATACATTTATTAATTATCATTATATTATACTCGTGAGTTTTTTTTTGGGCCACCTGCCACCTTAAGCAATTCCAAGGTGTTTAGAGACTGCTTGGGCCATTTTGCAGCAATTCACCAGGTCTAGTTTGGGACTGGATGGAAGATTGCACATTGAAAAGCTTCATTTGAAGATTGGCATCAACACAGGGAATGTGATCAGTGGAGTAGTAGGCTCCCAAAAGCCGCAGTTTCTGGCTGGCGTTTAGAAGATGTTTATCATTTTCCCATATTGCCCCATATTGCCCCGCCCCTTTACTCAGGATATTTCAGGATATGTGTTTAAAGGATACCTTCTGCTAATCAAGCATTGCAATGAACAATCCACCATTTGTAGTTGATTTCCCATCGGGAAAAAACATGTCTAAGGGATTTCCCATTGCCATGTTTCATGACACCCGAGGGTATACCCAATGGCATTTTTCAGTTGAAACGACCCCAGGTTTGCCCTCTTTGGAGACACGATCAACACAGCTTCAAGGATGATGAGTACTGGAGAGGTAGACCGAATCCACGTGTCCAGCGAAACTTACGAGTTGCTCTGGCGGTCTCATGTTCTTTTCAACGTTTGTGCTTCATCTATGAGTTTGTGTTCAAAGCATTTCAAAACCATTATCTAGCTTGTATGAAATCCCGGTGTTTGATCCGATGACCATCCAACAAAATGGCTGCAATTCTTGATTTTTGAATAAACCACACACACATATGTAACATTATGTAACTACTCAGAGTCTACAGTACCCAACCCTTGGGGGTTAGCCCAGTAGGGTTTGAACAGGTTCTCGGACCACTGTAGACCCTAAGATCTACTACTATAGACCCTGCAGATCCTTAACAGCCAAAAAGTAAACTACCTATGATCTATCGATGTTACAAGACGTCACAAGAAAACACAGAACATGTTGCAAGATATTACATTTGTTCTGGTTGAAAGTTGCAGGAAACACAGATCTAGACTGATGGTATCACAGTGCTATATCATGTTGTATTCATTCATGCTTTTATTTCTTCCAAGTTTTTTCCTGCATGTTAGGCAACTGATTCGGGAAACAAAACGCAAACTTATCCCTAATATGTACCCTCAAGTTCAAGGTATCTAGAATGGTAGCCCCCTGGGGTTGACAGGGAGGGTTCTAGAATTCGTAAGGACCTTTGACTTGAACATTTGGTTGCATGAGCCTTCTTGTGGCCTGCAAGTCCAACAAAAAAGGTAATTTTGGAATACACAAAAACGAGGCCAACACGAGGAGCATGCAGTAATGTGCCAAAACGACAGCTTGAATCAATATCTCGCATTTTGGTCGGTCACCATTCCCATCTTCGCACAAAGTGATTTTGAAGTCACTTTGTTTTACAGTAATTGCAAAAACAAAAAAAGAAGGTGAAGTGATGAGCAGCGCGCAGTAATGTGCAAAAGAATCGTTCTGAATTAACATCCTGCATTATGGCTGGCAACATTCTTGTTGAATAAGCATGAACCTGATTGTCGCGTGGTATGCCATTACCTATCATTATCTCCAACCTCGCAAAAAAGTCACCTTGATTTAGAATGTGCAAAAATCAAGTCAACTGCAACCTGCAGTGATGTGCATCCTTGTTTTCACAAGCCACCTCCAACACACCTCCTGTCCAACCAAGGCATTAGGACACGAACAGGGATCCAACATCATTTTCCCCAGGGTCAGTGCGTTTCAAAATCTGATGTTCAAAGCTTGGAGGCAACCATTCAAGACCCACAGATGCTGACTGGTGGCCAGCAACGACCCAACTTAGCCCTCCTCTTCCATCCCTTCTACATCCTTCTACATCCTTGTTTTCATCCACCATCTCAAACCCTTCGATACCAACACACCATAACACACCTCCCGTCCAACAAAGGCATTTGGAGGAAAACAGTGGTCCAACACCATCTTCTCGATTTGTTTAAAGCTTCGAGGCAACCATTCTATACCCCCCAACTTTCGAGTGGTGCTTAGTTTTGCTCGGATTTCTGCTCGCAGGACAACCTGAAAGTTTTGCATGGAACGGACAAAGAGCGCCATGCACGTATGATGTACCTTCTTTGATGGACAACTTCTGGGGAACAAGGAGGACAAACGCCTTTCCCAAGAAATGTGTCAGGACTGTCAGGGAAATAAAAATTCCGCAGTCAGCAAATCCAAGAGGAGATTCTTTCCTGAAAACCGATGATCTTGCTAGACATTAGCACGGTGAGTTTTTCTAGAAGAAGGTGAGGGCAAGGTGATTTAAAAACATGACTTGGCCACGAAACATGCGTTGGAAGAAACATTGTGCAACTGGGATGTAGAGGTTTAGTGAAAAGAATGAATAAAACGCAGAGAAAAAATGAATGTTCAATGGTTTGATGGCTTGGACGGATATGATTTTACAACCCTCCCACATGTAACTTTAAAAGCGCTCTCCCGGCTATCCCCATATGAAAAAAACAGGGCAGTGCAAAACTTGTCCAGACCCCGAAGGGAAACCTAACCAGACCCTTGGCTTTGCCATAAACAAAAAAAGGTCTAGAGGTATACCAGGTTTTGGTGGTATGTGCAGGTTGCTTTTTCGAGAGAAAACACACACTTAGGATCCAGCTCTCAGGGTGTACAAAATAGTCCACCAAGGGGCCCCCCAAGTAGCTGATGGTATTGTATTATACAATATGTGATGGATATCCGAGCCCGCTCGCCGGCTTCAGATTTTTCAAGATGATGGTGGTGATGATGATGATGATGATCATCATCATCATCATTATTTTCATCATCATCATCATCATCATCATCATAATCATAATCATAATCATCATCACCATCACCATCATCGTCATCATCGCCATAATCGTCATCATATTCATCTTCATCACTGTCATCATTGTCATCATTGCCATCATCATCATCATCATCACCATCATCATCATCATCACCACCATCATCATCATCATAATCATAATCATCATCACCATCACCATCATCGTCATCATCGCCATAATCGTCATCATAATCATCTTCATCATTGTCATCATTGTCCATCATCATCATCATCACCATCATTATCATCATCACCATCATCATCATCATTATCATCATCATCATCATCATCATCATCATTCATCATCATCATCATCATCATCATCATCATCGTCATCGCCATTGTCATCGTCATCACCATCATTATCATCACCACCATCATCATCATCATCATCATTATCATCATCATCATCATCATCATCATCTTTCATCATCATCATCATCATCGTCATCGTCATCGTCATCGCCATTGTCATCGTCACCATCATCGTCATCGTCATCATCATCATCATCATCGTTGTCATCATCGTCGTCGTCGTCGTGGTGGTGGTGGTGGTGGTGGTCGTCGTCGTCATCGTCGTCGTCGTCCTCCTCCTCCTCCTCATCATCATCATCATCATCGTGATTGTTATCGTCATCATTGTCATTGTCATCGTCGTCATCGTCATCATTGTCATCGTCATCATCGTCATCATCATCATCATCATCATAATCATCATTATCCTCACCACCACCACCACCAGCAGCAGCAGCAGCAGCAGCAGCACCAGCACCAGCACCAGCACCACCTTCATTTTCATTTTCGTCTTCATATTCATTTTCATCTTCATCATCATCACCATCACCATCATTGATCTGCAAAATACAATGTATTCTAATGTATTTTTCTGGTGCGGCTCAAGCACATCAAGCACCAGGTTGGTTCGCCATCAACGCTCCTTCTATTGGCACCAGCAGGAGATTTTTGCCAAAGGCAAAGGCATGATGACAACTTATCTGCTTGAGAAAGGAACCCCAACCATGGCTGAAACTTTGGCCGTCCCCAGGCAGTTGGATGCTGGGGATGGATCTCAGGATGCTGATGGCAATCCTCAGACGAAAAAGCACTTTGGCTTCAGCCTGGGCTGCCCATCTTGGCCAACGAAGAGCCGCGAAATGCTGCGGACTCACTGGAGCTTTTGCTGCAAGGTCTATGCGCGCGATTCCAGGAAGACATCGAATGGAAAAGGTTTATTTGCATCTTTGTTGCTCTTTTGGGTCTGCTTTTGCATGCAGTCGTGTTTCATTATCACCGGAGCAACTGGCTTGGCAGCTGATGATTTGGATCTCGTGCTCCAGCTGCGCGGAGGGTTTGCCCTAGCAAGCGCCATCTTGCTGCTTGGTGGCTTAGTCCTCTTTCGGCACAGGGCCCAAACAACTTCGGACACGGAGCCCGTGAGGTGGCTACGGCTCAAAATCACCCCATTTGGGGTTAAACAATTGCTGTAATTATAGTTCAAGACTGTAGTGGAAATGAGATGTAATTATAAAATGTGTTAAATTTAAACACGGATAACGAATAATTTTGTGGGCCCATGTGGGTCCCATGAGCCCTGTTCAGGTACCTGGACAGTGTTCGTCCCCATGGATCGGATGATTCTGGCGTTGCTGCCCGTGAATCCGATGGGTCAGCTGTCACATTGTCCAGGGACAGCGAGGGTGAGCAGCGCGACCAGGATTTGACCGAGGCACCCGAGGCGAATACTGGCGCCACAGATGAGATCCAAAGTGTTCGAGATGCGGGTGGCGATGGTCTGCGTTGGCTGTCCCAGTTTCTGTACACGGGGTTTCCGGTGTGCTTGGTGTTGGCGGGCTATGTCACCGCGTTGGTGTCCAACATTCAGGGCATTGCTGGAGGCGAAGCTCCCAAAATCGCATATTGGCTCTACTATGAGTCCATCTTCTATTCCAGTGCGCTCATGTATTTGAATGCCTTCCGAGTGTCCTTGGCATCGCTGATTTGCAGTGTCTTCATGCTATTTCCGGCGACCATTGGTGGGATAAGAGCTGACTGGCCTGGGGGTGCTATCTATCCCTTGACTGTCTTGATCTTACACCTGAAGGTAGTGACGGATTTGAAGCGCTATCAGCTGCAGGGCTTAGAGGATTTGAAGATGGTCGAGAAGGAGCATGCCGAGTGTGAATCCTTGCTGAACAGTTTGTTGCCAAAGGAAGTGCTTCTCAGCATGCAATCGAACACCTTGGAGTTAGCCTACACCTACCGCAATATGTCCATGCTCTTTGCGGATATCGTGGGCTTCACCGGCTACTGCAATAAACACAAGGACAACCCAAGTGATGCAGTAAGGTTGGTGACGCACTTGTTTGCAAGCTTTGATGATTGCTGCAAGCTTTTGGGTGCCTATAAGGTGTGCACCATTGGTGATGCGTACCTTGCAGTCAATGAGCCCAAGACACAACACGACGAGAGTGTTACGGGTGCTTTGGTCTTGCTTCACTTGGCAATGGCAATGCTTCGCATCATTGTCAAGGTGCGAGACGAGGTGCAGCATGAAGGACGGGTTTGGAAGGAAGCGGACCCACCATTCAGTTTCGCATTGATCTTGCAAAGAGGGATGGATTATTTCCAATCTTGTCCCATATTTCCCCGATTTTGCTTGGAGAATGACCTGCTTCGAAGATACGATTCCATTCTTATATGCAACTGTGTCAAACAGAAGGTGATGAAGAAGTGGTGTGCGACAGTGCGCTTCTCATTCCCATGTTCAAGACGTTGTTGCTGCGCATTCCAAGTGCGTATGTGCGTTTGTGCCCCCCATGACATGTGTGTGCGCAACACTGGCAGCTTTTAATCTTTATATATATATAATCAGAATCTTCTCTCACTGCAGTCGATCGCAATCTGGGTTTCGCAAATGTTGGATGTGTTTTTCCCCACCTCCCGGGTGAGGGTCTTTAGATGTCTTTATATATAGATCTCATCAGAGTCATATATTCTTCCCATTTCCTCCTCCTCTTGTCTCCTCTTCCTCCTCTTCCTCCTCCTCCTCCTCGTCCTGCGAGCTCCGGGCACTGCCGGACCTTGACCGCGAGCTCCAGATCTCAGTGGGCACTGCCGGACCTTAACTGCGAGCGCCAGAAAGAATGCCAGGTAGAATGTCAGAATAATTTTAAATATATGCCACAGAACATATGCCCGATAGAATGCCAGAATAGAATGTCAGAATAGAATGTCAGATAGAATGCCCGAAAAGAATGTCAGAAAATATATGCCATATAGACTTCCAGATGATATCAGAAACTATGTTTTTCCCTCACGGCGGGGACCACCCGAATCGAAGCAAAGTATTCTTTTCATTTCTTTTCCGGATGGTGGCCCGTCACATGTTGTTATTGTTCCCCTTTTTCGGATGATGCTGCTGCTGCTGCTGGTGCTGGTGCTGATGCTGATGCTGGCGTTGATGGTGGTGCTGATGGTGATGCTCATGGTGGTGCTGTTGGTGATGCTGGTGCTGTTGGTGGTGGTTGTGGTGGTGGTGGTGGCGGTAGATGGCGGTAGTCATGACGATTATGTATTTGAAAAGCATGGAAATATATATTGGGACGGATTGCAGTAAAAACACAAGGAAAGTTGAAGTCCTGGGTATGATTTCTGATGATTTCTGGTCCTTTTAAAGGACTCAACATGCGCATCGGCCTCCACCATGGAGAATTTGTGGCCGGAGTCATTGGGAGCAACCAGCTGCGCTTCGACATTTGGGGTGAGGATGTTTTGATGGGCAATCAAATGGAATCAGATGGTGAGCCTGGCCGGATTTGCTGCAGCGCGACCTTTGTGGAAGTCTCCTAGCACTGGACATTTGTGATCAGTTCTGTTTTCTTGATGGGACGTTGTAAGGTGTTCGTGCCTTTTTCTTGCTGCATCCTCTCAGTTGCCAATCCGTTTAGATGCTAGATGCACATCGGTGCCAGGACCTGCTAGGATCCATGGAATTGCTTCACAACTCTCGGCTCAGGTCCTAAAAGACTTCAAAGACTTTTCCTTCTCATCACATGATCCGCCTCGAGTGATCAAATGTGCTGGGTCAAATCGCACCTTGGAGAGTTTCTTGCTCGATGCACCGCACGGCACTGGTCAGGGACGAATCGAGTCCCCGCGAAGTGCCCAAAGGGGCAAATCCTTTCGGCAAGTATCTCCTAGAACACCAAGGAGGGGTACTAGTTCTTGATGATTCACATCTGACATATCTGACATTTGGGTCTGAAAATCAGGGACCCCAAAGTGGCACTGTCAAATATGTTTGATCCATAAATTTATGACAAACCATCAAATTTGGGGATGCACTACTTTCAGACAAACCCATTTGTAATTACTGTCAACATCTGTAAACCAAACCCTATCGCGAGCAACCAAACACAAGTGGCATGACATGGGCAAATGTCGGCAAGTGTCGGCAAGTGCCGGCAAGTGTCGGCAAGTGTTGTCAGTATCCCTTCATCGAAATTGGGATTGGTCAAATTGATCAACCTTGGGAGGTGCTTTGATTGAAACTAGAAATGACATACCCTCTGGATCCCTCTGGTTGTTTAACGTAGCTATGAAAAAATATGAAACAATCACCCTGTTTCATAGGTAAATCATGGTAAATCATCAAAATTTATCATCATGTTTCCTGTTTCCTAGATGACACGCCGAGTCGGCTCTAGCGGAAACGGCCTGAGAACCAGGGCACTTATCTGACCTTCACAAGCTGCACGGGTGACAGCTGCGGTGTCAACATTGGCTGAAAGGGAATCAGCACCAATCTGCATCTCAACCGCTTGGCGGCTCCAAGCGAATTATCTCCATTGACAAGTCGAAGAGGCATGTGGCAAAGAAGAAGCCATTGCCACAGGGCACAGCGCAAGTGATCAAGGGGCCACCGCCTAGAGAAGGGATGCTCAAATGAACGGAATGGCAAGGCCAATGCAAAGAACGAAACCACCACATTTAACGATGCCCAGCTGAGCGAACCTTCTTTGGGCAGCAGATCCCACCACCCACCGCATGCCAAAGGAGCAAAATCACACACCAGTGCCAGGCAAAGAAGCTAAGGCAAGCCAGTAACGAAGCCAAATGGGACCCCAATCGCCAATGCCCCCCATGTCATCCACAAACCACTGGAAGGAGAGCCGAGCATTGTTTGCGAGAAGCCCGACATGATGTTCACCGACATCCCAAGGTAGCATGTGTCTAACCTGTTCCAAGCCAAGCCGCAAGGCCTGAGCACTTGATTGCATAGCATCCCCAAGCCAAAAAAAAACATGTGGAGCGGCCAAGGGTAAGTATTGTCCAACGATGATGCTTTCAAATCCAGGCGTGAATGCTCCTTGCCCAAGCAAAACCCTGTAGGCGCGCAACTCTTCACTTTGCCTCTGCTCGTGCGTGCTAGGAATGCCACACCGGGACAAAGTAAGCAGAAATGATTCTGGCCATGATGCGCGCAAACACACCATGCGGGTCAACCAAGGCTCGGCCATCAAAACAGCAAGCGCAACATACCAGGGACTGGGACATAGGGCGAAGGCCAAAGCACAGCTGTGCTGATTCTCAAAAGAATTGTTTGCATAAGCGATGACAAGTGCAGAGCATCCGACTGCTCAACAATCTGTTTGCGCAACGCGCAAAACTGATCTGATCTATTGAGATACGCCACGGGCAGCACGGTCAACCTTCCCAACATGAACCAAGCACCAAGTATCCAAGGCCAAACGAGCCTGACAGCCTTTCTGATGACAAGCAACATCATTGGTTCGAAACTTTGCGGTTTCGTGTCCAGAAACCAGGCAGGCAGTGCCCATGCATGAGACACTCAGACAAGCCGTAAAATTTGCGAAATACAGTCAGCATACCCTGGCCGATGCACCAGCTACAAACACTTGTGTCAGATCGGAAACACAGTGGAGACAGGAGAACGCTCAGGAGCATAGAGAACATTGCACAACGAAACCCCAAACGTTCAGCCGGGTCAGCCTGCCCCGCTGGAAGGGAGTTCGGGTGGAGGCTAAAGATTGTCATCAATTACAATGATATGTAAATGGTCCATTTCCCAAAGCAATGAGGAACCAGAGGGTAACATGGCCAGATATGACCAGCCTTTTGTGGTGAATGACTTGGCCCATACCCAGAGAATAGATCAATGACGTGCGTTTGCGCAGTGCAAAAAGGCTGCCTGGCTGCCACAGTCTACGCCAAGCTATGGCACAAGCCCCCACGAATTAGATCATATGCAGATATGATCTGATACTTTCGACAGACGATAGGGTTAAATTACGTTAACTTTAACAGGCTTGGATCATGCAAAAAGCCAAAAGGAGACTGTTGGCATTGGCAGAAGAATTTGGCATTGATTCTTCCGTGGAGACGGCCACCAGGCATGCACCCTAACTGCCAACCCCTGTGGTCGATCCATCATGAATAGACTCAGAAATTCGTACAAAGGATTTTACAGGGGCACAATCCATGAAAGTCCTGAATAATTCCTCCATATTCCCCCATGTTTCTTTCTGCAGTTTATTGCCTATATGCGCCTGGTATCAAGTCGCATGATTTATTGTGATTGGTGCTGACCACATCTGTCCCGTCACAGGATGCAGGGGCTGCCGAAGCCAGAAACCCAGAGCGGTGAACCCACAAGCATTGTGAAGATAGACGGTTTTCATACATGTTATTTGTATATTATATGTAATGTATAATATTATACACACACATATATATATATAATATGTCTGTGTGCCATGGTCATACACTCATTAATAAGGTTTAATATACCCGTTATAATGATTCCCAATATCGGATAGATGACCATAGCCCATATACCATGTTTTGACGATGGCACATATGTTCTCTTTGTTCATGGTTGCTAGGGTCATTACAAAAAGAGGCGATCTGTTTCTAGCAGGACCATTGAAGACGGGGCATGGAGCCTGACGGCAAGGAAGTGCAAGACATCATGGGCCTGTTATAAGATGCTATAAAACCAAATTGTAAAAAATGTAGGATGTGCACGCATTTTTCTAGACGTTCGTTTTTTTTTATTTTTACATGTATATTTATATTTCTCGCGATTTGTGTTGCAGTTGCAATACTGGTGTCAATGAAAACCTTCTGAGCATAGGAGGACCTCCCTCACAGCCAACGGGCCAACCCCTACGTCAAAGCTGCTGGAGTGCTTCAGCACTTCGTAGTTTAGTTGAAAGAATCATGCTTCCCAGATGAGGCCGAAAAGACCAACTGGAGTATCCCTAGTAAATCTACATTCCCACAAGTAGGGAAAAACATCGATTTTTCTATTTAAGTTAACCATATAGATAGGTAATTGTCCATAGGTTATGGTAATATTCTGGCAGCAGTTAACAAATAGTTATTGGTAATATTACTGATTGTACTATATAGTTCAGATTAGTTCAGGCAGCCGCTGCGCTTCGCCGAGCCAGTACCTCCGAGCAAAGTCAGGTTGGATACAAACCGGATGTCGCGCGTTCCAATCGAAGGTTTGTTGGACATTAAACAGCCATACCTTATTTTTTTGCCAAAAAAACATGATTTCAGATGATTTCAGTACATATAGATGGTCCTTCGCATCAAGCCAGTGAATTCAGCAACAAATCCCTTCAGCCTGCGATTTTCCAACCATTTTTAACCCATCAAACCCATATATTTGAGTGAATTACAATATTACCAACCCATTTCTGAGCCACATGGGTTTGTCTCCGGGGTACGGCCGCATTTTTTTTGGTTTCACTGGCTGATTTCACCATGGGCTGGGGGCTAGCCCTGGTGAGCCCTGTCCAAAAGTGATGTTGGCTCAGAAGATAATGCAGATGGATTTGCCTTCCACGATGGGTGATTTTGGCGGGTAAACGTGCGTGGTATATTTTTAGCGGCATGCAAAGATGATATAGGCGATGCAAGACTGGTTTCTTGTTCCATTTTACTTATGCAGTATTTGCTTGCCCAATTTTGGAAAGGATTGTTGAGACAAACAAAGTGACTCTGCGGAAGGATTCGAACCCATCTCCTTCCGCAGAATTTGAATGAATTTGACTACTTGAACATGTAGCCCAGTGGTTTGCATCCAGATTCCAGTCACAGAATTCAGGAGATGGGGCTCATGAATGCATCGGAGATCTTGCATTGCATTGAGGCGTGTATCGGAAATCTGTTGGAACGCCCCGCCTAGTTTCTTGCTTCATGTGCAATTGTGTATGTGCCTTCTCACCTCCAGAATGCTGCTTCTCTCGTGTTAACAGTCTCCAGTGCAGACAGTGACTCTCAGACTGCCTCGGGCTGCCTGAGTTCATGGCACTGTGTTGAGTATGTGGTTCCATCACCATCATCATCATCATCATCATCATCGCCAGTTACAGTGTATAGTACGTTAATCATTTCTTGGGCCCAGACTGAGCACAACCTCCAATCACTTCACTTTGACAAGCTCTGTTGCGCTGAGTTGTGTTCAGGAGCAAGCCGGATCTTTGCCGAAAATTACGCTGCCCGCGGTGCAAAGCAGGTGAATTCCTGCAATATCCTGCAATATCCTGCAATGAAGATGGGTTCGTTGGAAGTCGGAACGCTTGTTGCCAATCCAACTTGTTCTTGGCGCAGTGTGCTTCATGCATCTCGCAAATACCACGACATGTTTTTCTTTGTTTGCCTCAACGTCCGTTGGGTCTAGAGCTCAAGTAATGTTTGCCTACATAATGACATGGTTCTTTAAAGACCGGGACAACTGGCTGTATCGCATTGTATCGCCCTATCAATTTCTGGGCAGCACACTTTTCGCAGGAGAAACAGCGACTTCTCAACCTGGATGGAAAGGTGTGAAGCACTGCTGGAAGCACAAGATGAGGCAAACTATCTGGCCAAAAAGCAGTGCTTCGGCAGATCCCAAGTCACAACTCTTGGATTGCACATGTATATAATATTAATATACATACACAGTATATGTATATATATACATACATATACATACATATACACAGTATATTGACGCATATGTTGGTTCTTGATGTTCTTTTGCTGTGTGCCCAAGACCTAAGCAAAGATCGTGTCCACCACACATGTCCAATCTAGACATAGTTACATAGTTGGACCTTGGTTTGGATTCGAAAAGAATTCAACATGTTTCACCAGCGATTGCTTTCTGCAAGTCAATTCAATGACAAAGCCGAGGTTGGCAGCCCAAGTGAGGACTTACCTGGCAAATTGCGCCGACTCTCAGGAGAAGGAGCAGATTTTCATGCGAAGACGGGCCGCTTGTCTGTGATCCATTTGGATGGCATGTAGATCTCAGCAGTCAGCAGTGAAAATGTTGCAAGGTGACCTAAGGTGGTGCTCACCAGGTAGAAGCTGGTTTATAAACCCAAGCAACTGTGTACATATATCATCCGTGAACCCCACTTAATCTATGAATAAACACCAACTTCGCTATAGTTTGGGGTCCCACCTTGTATCATTTCAGGTCGGGGAGATGCTTGGAGAGCAACTTGGTTCCATGATTGGGTGGGGTGATCGCACTTTTGTTATGGTCCCCAAAACTCAGATGCCGGTGGATAGTGAAAGTCTATAGGATATTAGGGAGCCAATATGAGCCAATAATAAATATAATAATGATATCCAATGGTTTTAACTTATGATTTATTTGTGTCATACCTATGTACTCAAAATGTGAGATCCTTGGGCGACTGGCAAAGTGGAGGTCCCAGTCAGCTCAACATCTCAGGTCCTACGATGATAGAGCGCCTGAGAGCAGAAAAAGCACAAACAGATCCGCCTATGCTCCAGTGAATTTGGACGATGACGACGAGGCACCCTCACCATGCGGCAAGCAAACTTGAGGCTGAGCCTGCGGACAAATATATCAACAAACACCCTGCTGTGATCAATTTTAGTCCCCTACCTTCTCTTCGCCATCGCAAAGTGAGCTGAGAGGACGACGTGGAAGATGAGGATCCTGACGCAGATGATGAGGACACTGAATCGCGACAATTATTTTGTGACTGGCAAGGGGGTTCGTTGTGCCACCTGACATCCAAAAAAGTCTCGCACCAGGTCAGGAATTGTGCACTTCTATGTTTTTTTCTTTTCACTGTGACGCTTTCCTGCAGGAAAATTGGGAGTGTGCCATTGTCAGAGTCAAAAGCGCATCTCGGCCTCAACGCTTGCCCAATCGAATGTCGGGACTAGAGCCTCTTTCCTTGGAAGCTTGGAGGATTAATAAACCACCAGTCTATCAACACCATTTTTAAGCGTAATTATGTTCTCGGCAAGTGAGTGGAGCTCAGGTGAAAACCATCGTGAAGAAGGAACGTGCCGAAGATTTGGGAATGACGGCTGACGAGTTGCTGCAGAGGCAGGGGTCATGTTTTTGTTCGAACAAAGAGCTGCTGGAGATACATCAAGATATCCCATTTGAGCCCCAGATTGCTTTCAAGTCTTCTACTTGCGTTGCCGCTGCCGTCGATTTGAGGGAGATGTTTCATGATGCGCATCGCGAGGCTGCTGACAAGAAAGTCTCGCATGCCCATCTCAAAAAGGTGCAGCTACACAGATGCTGATTGGCATACTTGGGAAGGAGCTATTGGATGAATTCATCATTGGCAGTGAATTATCGGGGCTAGATGCCAGACCGCAGACATCACATAATCATTGTGTTAAAATGTGTTAATGATAATGCGTTTTTCAGGTACTGAGACACACAGATCCCGTCATGATTGTTCCCGAACGTTCGGGGCCGGTGCCTTGTGTGTTTTGACAGGTATGTCCACAAACTTCTGGACAAGTTTGTCAAGGAGCGCTGGGGGCAGCACACGCATGGTCACTGAATGTCACTGATGGAGAACCATGTCTTTCCAGGACCCCAGGACCCCTTTTTTATCTACTGATTACTGTAACCCTATTATTTGATCCCAGGTTTGGAGCGAGAAGCACGGAAGGCCCGGTTCCGGCGGGCTTTTTTTGCCCTCTGGATCCAAAATGGGCATCGAACCGTCCATGTTTGGAGGTCAATATCGATTTGACCCATCTCAGTTTCGCTGGGTGATGGCTGTGCGTTTATTTGTTTTTGTAACATGTTGTAAGCTCTTCGATATACCACATAGATTCGCCAAGCTGTTTTGCAGGATGAATGAACCCCATAGAATGCCTGACTATTGATTGGGGTTCGTCCGCAAAATCATTCAACAGGGTTGTCAATCCAGGGGTGGCATAAATTTCATAAATCGCCCTTGGTGTCTCGGTTTGCTTTTCGATGCTGGTAGTCCTGCTGAAGAGCGGGCTGCAGGTATACATCTTTGCTTCAAAATGTGGAAGTTCCCTTCGGTGGCCAGACGGTTGTGGTAGGCCTGCAGGGCCTGCAGGGTCACCGAGGCAACAGGGATGAGAGTCGAAAGAGCGCACTCTGTGGGAAACTCAACGACATGAACCATCCTGAACCATCCCATGTATATACCAGTATTCCAATATTCAAAAATGGATAAACATGGTATTTACATGTATTTACCGAATGTTACCCCCCATTTGTATCCATTTGTATCATATCATTCCGGATATAAATCCAACCAGTGGATCAGTGGACTCTGCAGGCGACACGCACGGCCAACTGGAAGATGTTCTGACGATTTTCTTGGCGCATGGTACACCTTCGAGCCGCAATAGGCCGCAACGTGGTGCTGCCATGCGCTGACGGGACGAGTTCTGTAGTACTTTGTGATCATCAAATGATGTGTGATACAATGTGATACGTATGAAAAGTCATCGTCATCACTTTGCCAAGATAATCAGCTTTCTCAACTTGATCAATCCAATTTTTGAAGTGGCCAAGCTCACCAAGCTGCTGTCAGACTTGCACCCGCATGCGCAAAGCCTTTTGTGATTTGTGAAGCAAACTGGGGTCGCGTCAAGCACCGAAATGGCAGGTATATCTTCAATGGCGACATTGCTGATCGAGGTCTCAAACGCAACAGAAGGGTTAAACGAATGGTGGGAAGCTACAAAATCATACAAAATCCATGCCATGATCCATCCCCAAGATACGAATCCAAACAGCACAGAATGGAAATCAAATTAGACCGTTGAGAAGGCCATGGGCGACAAAGCACAAGGAGAAGGGCACCAAAAACCGTCACAGCGTAAAGCTGCGGATCAATTTAGACCAAAGTGTTTCCGCGTATGTATATATATATATATATATTAATTGTGTGTGTGTGTGTCTGTGTGCGACTCTTTATGAATTCATAAACAAATAAATAGATAGACCGTATGTTTCTATAGCGTATAGACACACCGACAGGTACACAGGTGCAACTCCATGTGGAATGTCAATTTGTATAAGGTACTTTGCAGTCTAAACCGAGTGATTTAGCCCCCTGTGTCAGGCCCAAATGCCTGCGAGATTTTCATGTTGCTTTTTGCCTTCTTCATTGAAGACCCGGATTGCCTCATCATTACGCGCGGCAACCATGAGGAGCCAACGTAGGGCATGAAGCTGTTGTGGCGCGACAGCCCCAGAACATTGATGTAGATAGATGTAGTGATATGAGTGTGACAAAACGTCCGTCAAGTGTGGATTTGCAACTTCTGGTTGAAGCGCTGAGGATCGCTGAGAGCTGAGGTGTAATACATATATATATAATCATATAATTATGCGTACATGTATGTGTGTGTGTTGGCATAGCTGTGACTGCTGTGCTGCTTTGCCACCCACAAAGCCTTTTCACGCAACTTATTCCAGATTCCAGACACTGAAAACAGACAAGGTCCCCTCCTAGCTTAGTAAGCTGACCCATTTTCGGATCAATCCACAAGATCAAGAAGAGCAGACTTGTCAGTTTTCGCTCAGGACGAAGAAATGAATAAACTGAGTAGTGAGGAAGGTGGCGGCTTTCATGAGGAGGTCTTACAAAAGTACACCGGTGGAGACTTGGTATGACTTGGCCCTCGGTTGCCTTGACTGTGTGGGCCCAGTGTAGGATGCCAATCTGATTTCTGCATTCACTGCACTGCCGAGGAATCTTTATGAAGTTTGAAGCGATTTACAAGATGTTGCCCCTGGCTGCCATCGTGCACAAGGCGCAGTGGGAAACACGTTTTCGGAATGTGCATTTCGCAAAGTTCCCAGTGGCTCTTATATATATAATATAATCAAAGAGACAGACGCATACTCATATGTAGTTGTTTTTTATCAGTACTTAGAGAGATACACACTTACATGCACTATAGATATAGTTAGAACAACAACAATAATACAACACTCACACATATACATATATCTAATTATTTAATTATTATTTATATATATAAATTATATATATATATAATTATAAATATATGTGGTATGTATGTATATATATATGTGTGTGTGTGTGTAAAATCGACTTTTCCCAAGTAACCACTACTTAGCTCGTTTGGACCGGTCACTTTTGGCAAGAAACTGGCCGCTGTGCTGTGTCAGGAGCTGTTCGTGGTACATGGCGGCCTTGCCTGACACCTAGCTGGACCATCAAAAATTATGATGAAATGGGAGATGTATGTAATATGATGTGATCATGGTGTGGTGTAGTATGATGTAATATAATGTAACATGATGTGATATGATATGATGGAACCAATGATATGTATATATATATACACACGATATATGTGTTGTTTATTTATTTATTTATCCACCCTCTTTGGGATGATATTACCCAATGGCAGATATTTGTCTCCAGGAGCCAAAACCACCAAGCAGCAAACCCTATTTTTTTTGCTCGATCAGCTAAGCTTTGAGGCCCGAAACAGCAAATCAAACTTGAACACTTCATTCATCCGGGACATTGATGCCGGCATTGTAAGCTGCCCCCACGGAGGACGCGTCAAGCTGCTGAGTTTGAGTTTTTCGTGTTTTCGGTTGCGTAGCCTGATTTTATCTATTGTTTACATCACACGGAGTAGGCTGGAACGTTTAGATGTGCAGACACTTTCTATGTGTCACAAAGTTTTATTCGTGAATGAAACGTGTTCAGAATGTCGGTGCAATAGGTGAGCTGTGCAAATTGAGATGTTTGGATGCTATCAGGATGCTATCCGTTGTGCTTGGAAGAGCAGGCAGGGTGTGGATTCGGCTTGTCTGGGTCAATGCACATTGATGGAGTCATATGGAGTCGAAATTGGTCAATGACCACGTTTCTTTAGGAGCTTTAGGTATTTTTTTGGTAAAAAAAAATATATATCTATCTATCTATCTATCTATCTATCTCTCTCTCTCTCTCTCTCCACATGCACTGGATCTCACTGAAACTTCGGCGGCGGTTTCCTCACTGCAGCTGAGGTCTTTCAGGACTTGCTCTGGTCTGACCCACAAGAGAAATTGGGTTGGGAGGCGAATCCCAGAGGGGCCGGTATCAAGTGCCTCGGAGCACCCTGGGAAGAGCGCCGGTCGGCTGACGATGGCTGTGATGAATGCCTGTTAAATGACCATGTTTGATGGGGAAAAAATGCTTAAACATGCTGATAAACCATCAAAATTTTGGGCAGCCTATTGTTCAGGCAAACCCTTCTGTTGACATGTTTGTTTATGTGGTTGTGAATGCTCCATTAGGCGGTTAACCCTGGAGTCTCATTCAATGTGCGTTGCGGCATTGCATAAAATATCTGGCATTGGTTTAAGTAAGGAAAACGTAGAGGAAATCAGAAAACCCTTATCTTGGACGGTTCACGTTTGATAGTCAAAACATGTTAGAAATTGGATTTCCTGTAAATGGCTCGCCTTCAACCACCCCAATGATAAATGCCGAGGTGGGGCCCGGATCTGACGGCAGCCTTCCTCAAGCGCACGGGTTGGGAGCTGAGGGTTCAGGAAATACCGGGGCATCGGTATCCTCTATCTTGCTTCCCAGTCTGATGTTTTTCTTCTTTGTCCCTGTAGTCATCAGAGTGACACTTCCGCAGCTTGAGGTTTGAAATGGATTATCCGTTCACACCAGCTTCCAGAGGACCAGCTTTCAATTTTGCAAGATTGTCATGAAATAAAGCCAGCCATGACCCATGATGGTTCCCCAATTTTAGCAGACATGGGTTGCCCCATTGGATTATTTGGATTGAGAATTCAATATATGCAGGGAGGTAAGTTGATGTTGTTTGCTGGCTTGAAATGAGTATTTTAGTTGCAAAGCCAGACTTGGGGAACAGGTCCCTGTCAAACATGTGGTTTTGACATTTCTGCATTGCATCATTGGGAGCTGCAAGCAGGGAAGCTGCGGGCTGTCGAGGACAAACGTGGCTTTAGTACACACCATCTTGGACTGGTGTACACCCTCTTCAGCGCAAGCAACTACTGTGGTACTGCAGGAAACAAGGCCATGGCAACCACCTCCTACCATGCAGCTGACACTAGAGATTCCACTCGGTAGTGCGCCGATTCTTCTATAATATACACATGATTGCAAGTGCCCTTTTTTGATTTGGGAGCATATCCCAGCCAGCCAGTACATAAGCAGGACGGGTTATCCAGCTGAGCCAAAAATGAAAACTCACATGCGCAACGTTTTCAATATGTTCAATTGTTTTTTCCATTCAGCAGTGAATGATGGCACCCGGTGGCAAATCATAGCAAATCCTTCCCTGTCACTGCAGGGAGGCGTGTGTTTGTTGGAGCTTCGCTACAATTCTGCCAATGAAGAAGGGACTCGACTTGTCGCACGTTTCGAGGAGTTCATTCATCCGATGCGACGTTAAGTAGGCGGATCGACAGTTGGCTAGTAGCCAGCTGCTTGACATGAACATGAGATATTTCTGAATTCCCAGAATCCAGTGGCCCAGTCCAGCCACAAGCATTAGATTTGAATGGTGCTGGTGGATACTTTTTTTGGTTCCTCCCTTACAGGTTGTCGCCCGTCAGGTAAGGTTTGGATATTTTCCTTATGAATTTTAGCCATTTGGATCCCGAAATTGGATGAAATTGGGAATTGTATTGCTGCCCCGTTTGGATACCTTCTGGTGATTGCCCGATCTCCTTGCTTCAGGAGCACTACGCTCCAGCACTGGAGCAAGGAAAGTGGGACCCTGAGATGGCTGAAGTCGCAAGCAGAGATGGATTTGCAAAGCTGGGACGGTGGTTTGTTGGGGAAGTTCTTAGACGTATGGCTACCATTCTTGTTTAAGTTAACATACTCAAAGCGTTTCCTGACACTGCTTTAACTCACTCATTTGCTGCTATAAAAAATGGATAGGGCCCACTGAGCCAGTCGTTGTTCGACAATGTACTTGTGCAATAGTGCGCATGTTTGTTTAGTTTAGCCCAATCACTGTTGCATCTGTTGCAATGGGAGTGATGATGGGTTATATGGGTTGCACTATTGAAATATACTGAAATCATTTGAAATTCAGAGGCAAAGTATCTATTTTTGACCATGGCTGCTGTCCAGCTTAGGGGAAAACTGAGGCTCTTGGAGATCTCCCAGTTGCCGGACATTGCTGCCCGCAAATTGGTACCATCCTCAAGACAGTTGCCTCACATTGTAGTATGGAAATGTATGGAAGCGCTTGGAAGCCCTCTCCCTGATACCAATTCCCCACCATATTTGGAATATGCTGGAATATTATGGAATCATATGGAATATCATAAATGGATACCGCTTGATGTTGGGTGCAACTTTCTCATGGTTCCCTCCACACCGACGACTCGCTCACTATCTAGTCTTCCCTTCCAAATGTCGTGACAGATTGCGACGGGATTATTTCATCTTAATTTGTGGTCATTCAGGAGCTTCTTTGGGGTGGCACCTACGGCTCATCCATATTTACATCATATGCCTATTTTGTTTGGCCAGGTATCTTTTTGGTCGCCATCTACTATTTTGTTCAGCCAGTGGCCATCATATACCTATTTTGTCGTTGGCTTTTACCCTATGTTCAATTTTCACTTGATACGTTTGAACTTTAAAGCCTTTGAAATCTTTGAATGGCGCCCGCACGTGCACCTTCCAGGCTCTTGAGGAAGCCGGCGTAGCACGAGCAACAGAGGAGCGCCAATCTGGGGATGGTTTTGACCCATGGTAATAGTGGGAACGGTTTTGGGCTTAGGGCTTACTTAATGTTAACCACATTTCACACACACACATGTATATATATATATAGATATATAATCATATACACACACACATATATATATATATATACACGCTATAGTTATATATATATATATGTGTGTGTGTGTCTTATAATACCCAATTGTTTTCCTGCAGCGTGCTTTCTTGATGGTGGTATGTGTGACATAACAATCCCAAATCGTAGTTAAGCGATTTTTCATGGCCAGCTGGCTGTTCAGCCAGCTGGTTGCAATCTGCAGGACATCCAAAAGGTTGGTCAGCGCCAGGCCAGAAGGGCATTTTTGAGGAATTCTTCAATTTACCCCCCAGTAATCAAACATGGTGATGGAACATCCCCTATGCAGTACATGGAGGTTTCAATGGGAAAATCATGAAAAATCATCTATGAATGGCGGATTTTCCATTGCCACGTTTGATTACGGGAGGGTAGTCCCATCATTTGCTGCATTCCTCTGCCCAATTTCCTTCCGGCGAGCCAAAAACACCTTACAGGAGCGTGCCATCCTACATCGAATGGCGGGAAAGGTTGTCGAACTGCGTTCAGAGCTATGGGTTGAAACCTGAGTAAAGCGCGGTGCAGCTGTGAAGAGTGCACGCATTCTCAACAATATCCAGAGGAAAACCGGCACTGAAATGGCAATTGCGAGGCTTTGCTGATGGTTGTGCTGGTTGTTTGCTTGTTAGCCCGTTCGATGCAGAACAGATTCAGGACGACTTCCGGCGGTGCGATGAGAAGCGAACTGGCAAGGCCTTGAAACAGCCTCCTACATGAAACGGGCTTTGGTGATGCATAGGGCTGTTTCCCAACCGATATGTTAAGAGTATGTAAAAATGGTTTGAAACTCAGATGCTGTACGTATAATGTATATCAAACATGTTTGTTGAAATGCATTTCTGAGTAGTTCAACTAGGATTAACTAGGCATATTAATGGTACAATGTTATACTATGTTATACTTATACAGTCATAGATTTCATGATAAGAAGAAATGCTTCCGCAGAGCACAGGTGAGCTTCCTCAACTGGTGCGATATTTTGACCTCCGTCTGTGGGGAGAACTTTCCATGGTCCTTGGGCGGCGAGCTCTGGGGCATTGCCCACGTCAGTTGCCTCAGTTTGGACCACCAGGATGTCGATGTTTTTCCCATAAGTATCCAGTCATCGATTATGGGATAATTATGGGATAAGTATGGCATAATTCTGATTATTAAGTATCCATTATATAATTATCCATAACATCATTTGATCAGAATTATCCCATAATTACCCCATGAATTAGGCTTAAAATTCTCCATAATTCACTTACGGATGATGCGTTTCTCTGGTTTCATTCAACAGCCAGTCGTCTCGCACTAGGAAGCTCCACCGGGTGAAGGGGCAACAAGAGGCGGGATGTCATGCATTATTGACTTCAATATGGACATGGTCGACACATATAAAGAATCATGACAATAAGAAATACGATACCAATACTTGAGGTCAAGACCCACCAGCTTTGGGGCCATGAAGATAATTAGCAGCATCTACATGCATCTACCAGCTATTTTGATCCATAGCCGCAGCGAATTATGCTGGGCTGCGATGCCCGGAGCTGTTACAGGTACCAGGGAGGTGGACTACAAGCGCTTTCTTCGTCGATTTGACGTGGCGGTGAACAAGGAAAAATGGGTTGCCTGATGGCACATTTAAGACTTACTCACCTTTAGCTCTGTTGAACTCCTTGAGAAGGCAATGGAGAGAGAGGGAGAGGGATGACACGTGAGAACTATAGAGTCAATATAGAGGATTAATATAGAATAACAATGAACAATAGGTGTCAGTTTTTTAGCCTGAACATGGTGCTTCATAGAGATCCTCCTGGCGCTTTATTGTGTCCATCATTCGACCATTTCTCAAAATCATTCTGTATTGATTCGCCTGTCGAAGACTTGGCTTAGTTTCACCGCCCGCCATTGCAGTTGAAAGTTTCAGTTGAAAGCGTTTTCTGGCTTCTTTGAAGCTATAAACATTACTTACTGGTGCTTAGTAGGGAATGAGGGAATGATCCACAATAACTATCAATAATCATCCCATTCCCCCATTCCCATCCGTTCCCTACTAAGCACCAGTCAGATTATAAATGTGTCTGAACTGGAGATGTTTTAGGAACATTTGCCAAAGTTTGAAGGTTGGCTGGAAGACTATTCTCATGAGAGACGCTTACGAGGCGCTCTACTGCAACTTGGCAGCGACAGGAGTTTGAATGGCCCACGTCCAGGTGACTGTGGTGCTGTGTATCTAAACAGTGCAAGTACGCATTCATGTGCAACTGTAGTATAATTGCAATATTAACTGCACTTAGTTGCATGTGCATATGCACATAATATATCATAATATGATATAATATGCACACATATGTATATTTACATATAATTACCGTGCATGTGTGTGTGTGTGCCGTATGAGTGTCCACATTAGATGTGTACATATACGGCACTTCACTTTCTGTGTAATTGATTGTATACAGACTGTATACATGTATAAATGCGCAAATAGGATAAATAGGTTGTCACTGTGCCCTGTTTATTGCTGAAGACTTCATGAACCTCTTTGAATACAAGTGACATGGGGTTATCAATGTGGGACTTCCAAATCTAGGCATCCTAACATGTTGCAAAGATCTCTGCACAACCACCAGGCGCTTGTGCTTTGCACAGCTTTTGGAAAAGCAAATGGTTCACCGCATCAGGAATTACAGTAGCCAAGTTGATTTCTGGCTTTTGTATCCAGTTGGCTTATCTCCCATTAGACCAATTTGGAGATTTAAAAAAAAACGCGCCTATTTGTTTTCCATGATCCCCCAGAGCCCCATGAGAAAAACAACGAGAACGGAGAACGGTTTTCTGAAAATGGTCTGTGTCCAGACTCTTGAAATCCAATGTTCTTGAATTCATTCTTGATCTGTCCATCGTTCTGCAGCTATTTACTGCTTTTGGTATCTTCCTTTCATTGTCTAGTCTTAATGGCGCGCCAACGAATGCGTGTCAGATTCTGCACAAGGAAGGTGCCTGGTAGGTGTTCACTACAGCTATTGTTTGATGATTGCAGCCCTTTCCAGAAAAACATGAATATACACACGATGCACGAACGATAGCAAAACGAGAACGGGAACGATAACTTTTGGCATTAAAAATGGTCCGTGTGAGGCACTGAGGCACTGCATATTTTTTTCCCCTTTTCCTCTCCATTTCCCTTCCTTTACTCTTCTTTTTCCTTTTCCTTTCCTTTTTCACTTTCTTATTATTTTTTACTTTCCTTTTCCTTTGTTCTTTCCTTTTTCCTTTCCCTTCCTTTCCTTTCCTTTTCTTGTCTTTTCCTTCTTCTGTTCCTTTTCCTTTCCTTTCCCTTTCCTGTTCCTCGCTCATGTGAATTCTTTGATCAAGGTGTGAAGCCAGCGCTTAGGAAAACGATAAGAGGAAAAAAAGTAAGGTGCGAGAAAACCATTACAAAACCCCATTTATATATAGATGATTTTACCAGCTAGAAGCCTCTACTTATAGTGGATTTTCCAGGTAGCCACGTTTGATGAAATCAGTTGGCTTCGCAAGACTCGTCACTTTGCAGCGTCACTGAGGTCGGGATGCCGACCTGAAGCTTAGTCTGTGTAAGTGAAATCTGGTCGTGGGGTGGGGGTGTTGCGGGCGGCTAGCATTACTGAGTAAAGATATAGTCATAGTATAATATATATATATATATATATACACATACAAATGTGTATGTATGTATGTGTGTGTGCATATGACATATGTTTGGATATTGAAACATGGTATTATATATGTTTCAATGAAAACTACATTGTCGTTAAATGCTACCACGGTCACCTGTGGCTTACCCAACGCCTTTGCATCCAGGAAAGCAACTCTAGCGTTGTTCGATCCTGAGCGCACTGGCAGAGTCAGTGTGCAGAACTTTTTGATGCTCAGCTGAAGTCAGCTGTGGAAAGGATTAGCAACTTGAAATGTCGATAGATGTTGATAGTTGCTACCGTAGTCCCTTTTCCAAGGGATAAGTCTTGGAATGTGAGTGATGTTGCAGATCAACAGATGATCCTTTGCCGAAGTGTTGTTTCTCCAGGAAAGTGCTACAAAGCGAAGTTTGCCTAGCATCCTGGATGCATTTCATCAGTGTGCGAGAAGCCTATGTACAAATTCCATTGGCCATTTATTTAGCACATCCTGGAATTTGAGAAAAATCCGAGTCAGCGAGACTTCCCAAAAAACTAGGCATTTGCAATGAACTCACACTAGTGGTACTCAGACGTGGTCCAGCGGAGGATGGTGGTGACAGCCCTCAACGCACGGCTCAGCAGATGTTGAGCGCTTCGCAGCTGCAATCATTGGCTCATGGCCTGTTCCCTCCAGATGAAGGCACGGTGGTGGACTGGAGTGTGGCTGCCAGAACCATATATATATATATTATAATTATAATTATATATATAAGGATCGCTCCGAAATGCTATAAAACACGCAAATATCGTTTGCATGCAAGATAGAGACTGACAAGAGCACTGGCTGATTCCCAATGAATGACGATGAGGATGAGTATAGGATTTTTGGGGAGGTGTTCGAAGCTTTGGCGTTACGCAGTTTGTGTTCGGTTGTTTCGTTGATTTCGTTGTTCCTTCAGAGTTTCCTTCTTGATGTGATTCGTCGCCTCAGGCGATGAAGATACGGATTTGAGTGTTCATGAGTTCTTCGAACGGTTTACTGCAACTTGCCTGTGATCAAATTAAGAGACAGAACCGCTTGTTTGACATGAAGTTGCACTCAAAAATCCCAAGTCAACACGCAGGTCTCTTTGTTGCTATGATGTGATCATGCATACAGAGATTTCAACACCTTTTAATCACTTTAATCAATTTAAAACATCTATGTAAATGCGAAACGGCATGTCACAATATGGCGTTTGCAATGGCATCGTGGCCATTTTAAAATAAATCATCGTATGGGTCGAAAGCAGTCAAGGCGATCGCAGCCGTTTTCGTCTGCTGAGGTGATCTATCGCCAGGCGAAAGCAATGACAGGTGTGGTGGCATGCGGGTATGCTTGGGCAATTGCTGGGCAATATTCACCCAGATTATTTCAAATGTGATGAAATGCATTCAAATGCTCGCAGATTGAGATCGAAAATGATCAAATCAAATCTCACCGGGGAAATATGATGAAATATGCATCAAAGAACTTGGAGTTCCAGCACGGTCAGCCAGATAGCAGAGCATAGATGATAGAACGACCAGGAAGCTATTCATCCCTGAGGCGATGACACGTTGGCAGATTGGAGAGATACTTTGCGATACCTGGGGCATTTGCTGCTAAAGCAAGACAAACGGGCATCCGCAACCATAAGCTCCTTGCCAACCGTCTCCCGAGTACCCTGCTTGCATGAAAATTCTCCTGGCGTGGCTTGCAAATTTGTCAGATTTGGAGGCATCATTCCTCCCCATAGTTTCCATAATATGTATCCACAACGTTTATCCATTGCATCTTTGTGCAAGCTGCAAGACCCTTGCCAAGGTAAAGACAAGTGCCAGCACCCACTCGCGCAAGACTCTCTTGCAGGTTCAGCGCTTGTGCCTTGCTATGCCTCTGTGCGCTTGAAAGATGTTTTTTTCCCATGTTTTGCGCCCAATAATGATATGTGGTAAACCCAACAATAATCCACTCCCCGAGTTTACCAGTCTGACCATGAATGGGATTGAAATCATCCCCCAATGGTAGGTTTATTAGTGGGGTTTGCTGGGTTTACCACATTGCTGTCAAACCCGGATTAATAGACCATAATAGACCCTGGTTGGTTAATTCGAGAGGAGCCCCCAAATAGTGATAATGTGGTACTAGAATGGTAATTCGCAATGATCAACGGGCTATATAGATCTATATAGGTGTTTGTTAATCTGGGGTTGACACTATTAATCTTAATATTGCCTTCGATCGCAGGTATACTTTTGACGTTGGTATGAAGCATAGGGTGGCACAGAGGTGATATCTTGCTGCTTTTTGGGTAATGTTAGCTGCATCAGCATGAAGAACATCTTGAATGGCGAGAGAGAAGAGAGGGAGAAAATATAGAAATTGCATAAAGCCTTTTAGCTGAAGTCGTTTGGACATACTTGAGATGGTCTTGTCCCAATTTGATGGCTCAGTTTGGAAAGACCACGCTCCCCACATTGATGTACATACCTTGTTCACAAACAATATGTAGGTACTGACACAAACAGAGTGCTATAGACTGCTTATGACTGCCTGTCACCACTGAGGGCGCACCAATTCGAGACGGGTGACGAGTCAGGAAGTGGCTTGTTGACAAGGCAAGAGCTGGTGGATTGCCTCAAAGGACGCGGCAGAAGCTGAGCGACGAGCGTTCGCAATGCAACCACGCTTCCTCAGCAATACATATACCAAAATGATCCAAAATCTCCATGTCTCTCCTTCCTCAATTTCACACAATGTGAGAGACTTTGTCTACACAAAGAGCTTACCTCGACCATAGGCCCATAGGCTTCAGTTCAAAGAATATTTTGGGTTTGAGGCAGTGTTGACAGCCTGACAGCACCGCCATAAGATGTGAACAGCTACCTCATCATGTGCATGAAGATCTGCAGCAAGCGAATCAATGCTGGTCATAGTAAACTTCAAATAGCCTTGTTGTTTGTTCTTGTTACCGTTTAGTTCCAACATCGTTTGAACTCGCTGTGCAGGACTGGAGGGCATCGAGGGTGTGATGCACAAAGGGCATCCAGTGAGTGACGCTGTCATGTTTGTGCCGCGCGATGTTGGCTTTCTTCAAACTAGGAACCCCATTGGGACCTCGGATGCTACCAAATTCACAAACAAATCGTCATTTCTTGAGGGAAATCCATGGGAAATCGCCATGTTCACTGAAAGCCAAGTAGCGCAGGTGAAGAGGACTTGCATGAGTTGGCCGTCAAGCTGGACTTGCTCAGTGGGCGAGAGACCGGCCAGGCATTTTGCAGTGAGTCAACAAGAATCCAATAATATCCAATGGCAATAATGATTACCTGTTACTAAACACCCATAGTTTCATAATGTTATATAGATATATAGTATGATATAGTTAGATTGATAGAGTTACATTCCATAGATTCCTGGTGAAGTAGTGGACCTCTTCAGTCTGGAGTATCACAATGATCATATCGAAAATGGATTCATTTTGGGGGATTCACTTGCTTAATGTTGCTCGATGATCACATGCGCAGGTCAACCTCTTTAGCTTCCTGGAGGCAGAATCAGTGGGCGAAGGGATGCCCATCGGTATGCCTCAAACTGATCAACACCAAGGGGATTGTTTGAAGTTCTTAATTTGTTTAAATTGTTAAATGATGTTAAATTATGTGTTAATCCCAGAATAGACCAGTATGGTGAGTTTCTTGGCCCGATATTTTTGACCCATACGCAAAGTATCAGACCTGCAGTGGAAGCAAAGGCATCCACATCAAACATGAGATGTAGAGCAGAGTTTGTGACCAGAGCGCTAAAGTCGTCAAGGCAATGCCAGCACTACACTACTTTGACTTGCTCATGCACATAACACACTTCATCAATCTTTATCATGTCATCTCCAGAATCACTACGAATCACTCATTTCCCCTGGCCAAATTCGTTCATATTCTCACGAGATCCAAAGGGTTTTGCGATGCTAGGCCTTTGTCGTGGAGCGACCTACCGGACAGGAGCGACCTGCGAAATCTCAAAACATCCATCCACAGCGGCAAGATGCATGGGGTCAAAATCACGAAACCACAACACCATACATTATAATACATTATATGTAAATATATGTGGACAGTGTTATATATATATATATACCGCATATATAACAGTTCCACATTGATGAAGCTGGGTAAAGAGCTAGAAGGAAAGTCCTTGTCGTGAAGTGGGTTCGTTTTTTCGGGGATGGTCAGGGTGACCGATCGGCCGAGAGATGACGGTGTGAAGGAGTTTGATGCCGCTGAAGAGTTCATGTGCGAGCACATCCTCAGTTTCCTGTGCGCCGGGAGGGCACAACTTGGTGTTGTATAAAGGGGGGGCCTGGTAGGGATGTAAAGCAAAAATCATGCAAAATCATGCAACATAATTCCTTTAAAAATTACACAGTGATGTTTTTGCGTAAAGGCTTGGAGCTGACCCTCAGGGAACATCCCTGTTGTAGTCATGAAACAAGGCGTTTGAAACGGGTTTACCATGGTTTACCTATAGATGTTGGGTTCATGATGTCCCATAGCATAGTTCCCCCGCAGCCACAAGTTTTTTGCTTCAGTGAATTCAGCCACCTGCAGGTATCGGAACAGACATGCAGTTTGCTGCGGCTGCCATGAGGCTGACCATGAGAAGCTGTGAGAAGCTTTCATTGAGTTTCATTGGTGTTTGAAAGGATGCACGGAACATCTACATATTATATATATATACATATGTAATATGATTCAATATAGTTATATGATGTTATATGGCTAAGTAATCTGTTCCCCCTAATGCTAAACCCCCCACCCAAATAAAAAACACCTCAGGTAGTTCTTATCATTAGGGGTATTTATTATTAGGGTGCGAAACTTCCCCCTAATACTCAATTTAAAACCCTAATTTAAAAAATTAGTTTTTTTCTATTTCAAAATCGATTAGATTTCCTTTGCCAAAAATTGGATTTCGAAGCTTCCCCCTAATACTAAATTTACAACTCTAATATTAAAAGAATACATTTTTTCTATTTCAAAATCGATTAGATGTCCTTTTAAAATCTAATTAACATATTGCCAAAAATTGGATTTCGAAGCTTCCCCCTAATTTAAAGTTAAAACCCTAATATTAAAAAAACATCGATTAGATTTCCTGTTTCTATGCCAAAAATTGGTTTCGAAGCTTTCCCTTAATATTAAATTACATACATTAATATAAGATACTTGTTTTTTTCGACCTTAAAAGACGGACCCTAATAAAAAACACCCCGGGCCCGGGGTTGACTAGTTTTTATTATTAGGGGGTGAAACCTTGAAATGGTAGCTTCATTTTTACTTTGTTTTCTAAAGGGGATCCATTCAGAATCAAATTGGCCAAACTCAAATTTTCCAAACTCGGAGAGGGACCCTGGTTTTTATTACTGGGGGGGTTTAGTAAGGGATTATTACTTATATTTACTTATACTAAAAGTTCATATCATTTTCACACATACCTACAAATACCTACAATACATTATATGTAATAACATCCCTGTGCGCATTTCCACTATGAAATGGGACCCATGTTCCATTTCATAGGCCATGTTTATAAAGAAAGGAACCATTTTGAAAGGACTTGTGCCCAGTGAATCCTGCCATTTTGTAAAAGGCTATTTTTGGTTGGGCGAAGCATTTTGTAAGAGCCACATTTTGCCCAAATGCGTTATAAAATGACGTCGGGGGCCAGTCATTCATAATACTGTTTGGGGCCCATTTCAGGAAGTGCAAAGGATGTTGTTGAAATCTCGAAAATGACCAGGAACCATGTTTTTTCTGGTTTGCCTGAGGGTTTGAAACCAGTTTTCTTACAAAATGGTTTGGGGCTAAATGCTACAAAATGGATTGGTTGAAAAACTTGATAAAAGTTGTATAGCTGTATTTACAGTACTGTAGATGGATTTATTTTTTTCATTTTATCCCAAAAGAAATACATATATTGTTTAGGGGACTGGGAAAAAGGATTGCAGATGATTGCAGTGTTTCCCGGGGAAGTGGGATAGGTACAAGTTAGACATATTTCCAAACCAACCATTTTATTTGTAAGGCACCTTTTTTGAGGAGGTTCACCGGTGTTTCCTAGGGAATCAAGCCAAGCCTCCACCATCATCCATCTTATAAACTTGAAGCCATGACATTCTGTAAGCCTGGGTCCTTTACGTAATGATACAAAATGGTTGCCCTGACGTCAAAGGGTAAATGTACAGGAGGATATGATAAGATAACTATTTTATTACATATATATGATATATATATATTAATATATATATATATATGTGTGTGTGTGTATGTATATGATATATGATATGTGTATGATATATATATATATATATGTGTGTGATACAGCCAGGCGGATGTCGCTCTCAGTGGACGTATCCGCTGTTCTGCCTTTGCAGAGGCCCAGCCAACCAACTGGGGGGGCATAAATCATCCTGCTTGATTTGAAATTCGTATCCGCCCAATTTTCATAAACATTGGGGCTGGTTTATTGATGTTTATGAAATTGGGTTTAGCACAAAACAATACAAAGCAATTGTTTCGTAGAGAATTTGAATGAAGTTGATGCATGCTTTTAAGGTCGTAGGGCAGCTTTGGCAACCAAATTTAAAGCAAAAATTTAAGGGTTGGGCGGGCTGGCAATGGTTTCCAACATTTGATTACCAGAAGCACTCCTCCCAGAGACAAGGCTTATACAAGAGCAAAAAGTGCTCCTTAGCCAGTGGCAGCTTGTGGGATACGGGCGAAGGGTTTCATTGATTGGATTCAATTATGGAGAGGGGTTTTGCATGGGAAAGACGTCCCTCAGAGACTGCATATGTCAGTGCTATCGAGACAGCTTGGACTTAATTGCACAAGACAAGGGATGATAACTTGGAGGTTTTTTTCCCAAACTGCACAGACCTGTGCAACGACACAACAAAGAAACACCCTGATGGACACACAGGCTGCATGATATATATATATATATAAATAATATATATATATATATACATCAAAGAATCAAATTGAACCCAGGCAAGTTTGATATTTCATGGATGCATCCCAAATAACTTCCCAGTTCAATTTGAATGTTTTTCCACACACATTTTGCCAGAGGATTGCCGCCCGCTCCCAGAGCCTCAGGTGCTCCGAGGTATCGACATCTCCTTGGCCAAGAATCGCCGGACCTTCACGGACGTTCAGATCGATGGTCTTGCAGACTCTCAGCGGAAATCGATGTGCCAACGGCCGGCCAAAGAATTGAGCGCGGTTGTTTTGCTCGATACCTGGATTTTTTTGCAGGTATTTACAATGTGGTAATGGTATACCAGCAATGTCATGTACACTAGATTGGAATACATTGGTTTCTGACCTCATGTATTGCAATGCTATTTTATGAAAAATTCTATCCAATTCTAATTTACATTTGACAGTTTGACAGTTCGACAATGTTTGACACTTCCATTTGCAGCAGGCTGTTCCCTCATTACACTTCAAAAAGGATCCCAACGACATTACCATGCTGCCAGCTGATGATCCTTCAAACAAGCAGAAGGGATGCTGCTCCCAGGAAGCCCTTGGAGAAGAGGATGGCACTTTCTCCTATTTCGAGCTGCTTCCTCAATAGCTACAGAGCACCACATCATGAACTTTCGACATATTTCATCATATTTCAGCTGGAAGAAATTCCGTTCAGCCTTGCTCACTTTGGCTGATGGACTGATGCACACAAATATACAGGGTGGATCAGGGTGGATGTTTCATGAATTTCCAGCAGATGAGCAGGACATGTTTGACGTTAGCAATGATTTGAATTGCCAAGGTTGCTTCAGGCCTTGATCGTTCGAGATTCGGAGAAGTCTGGGTCTTTCTAGAGAAAATTTCACCCGTCGTTGTGTCAGCCCACGAGGAAGCTGGCCACGGTATGAAAGCAGGAAGGCCTTCGAGCCATGTCACAAAGCCCTGTCAGTCCTACACAATGCTTTCATGCAATTTGGAAGATGATGACTCAGAACTATCCTATCACATAGCCATTATATAGCCATTATACAACCAAAAGCTTTCTACTGTGCAAGAAGCGGCTTCTGGTGGTGGGCTGATGCCAAATCCACCACGCAAGCTGCTTCTTGATGAGAACAAGTTTCCTCGCTCTGCTTAGGGGCTGAGATTCTGTCGAAACATTTGCTAAGAAAACACACTAAGGGCTCAGAGGAAAAGTTGTTTCTACTGAGTCTCCAAGGGAAAAGCAAGTGGTAGCAAACAACAAAAACAATGGTGGCCCAAAACATCTGCCATCACATGGAACCACCTCAGAGTCCAAGTCTTTTCACAGCTGGCGAATTGCCACAAGAGCATGGGTGGCCACATGTTGCCAAAGATGCATCCAAAGTGCATATGAATGCCAGTCATTAAGGTAGTGAACCATGGCTCCTTGTAAAGACACTGAATTTGAAAGGTCAAGTGAGCCTTTGAGGGCTCATAGCACCATCATGAGCACGTCCAGATCATTTTCTCGCAAATCTTGCACCAAGCTATAGGCGGTGCCGACCAGAACTTGCGTTGCTGAAAAAATATGGCTTTGTCCGATAGTTGGATATACATGGATATACCATGATGGCACGCCAGCCAGTTGCCAGTTGCAGAGTGAAAATCACAACATTTGTACCGAATCACTTTGGGATGTTGAGAGTTGGGAGGTGAAAAGGAAACAAGCTCAAAGAAGCACGACGGGGAGCACCACAATACCACAATGACATGGTGTATCATGGTAAGATTGTGGCTACTCTTTTTTCTGGAAAAATAGATTCTGTTTGATTCTTGCTGTTGCCCTTTCGGCTTTTCACATTTCGGCAAAGCTGCAGACAGCATTCCCTGTATCGTAGTAACATTGTCTCAGTGTTTCATGATCTCAGGACGCTCGGTATGCAAAATCGAAGCTAGTGACATGCGCAAGGGACAATTGAGCAGTCTTCATAGCCCCTGTTGGTTCATGACTACAGGGCATACTACATATTGGGGATTATCATCATCCATTGAATTATTGAATGATTATTGAAGCTGGCAATTCCAGGCAAGTTCCACATTTCACACCTTAGTCATGCATGTCTGAGATATTTGCAGGTAGATTGGATGCTCTTGCCTCCCTTTGACAATATTGATTTCGATGGTCACATTACAACTTTCAGCCCCGCATATCACTGAGAAGCACAGGTTTTGAATCATGTGAAAAGACTATCATGTGAAGACATGTGAAGACTCTAAAATATTCCAAGCTAGTTACTCCAAGATAACCCCTAAATCTGTCAAGATACTCAAATACTCCTCAAATACCTCCTAAGATCTCCTAAGTCTTCGTCCAACTCATAGCCACCGGACATCACCGTAGATGCCCCGGCGAGCCATGGGACATGGGGCCGCGTGAGCGGGAACGCCGACGGCCAGTCTTTGGCTCTCAGGAGCTGCCGCCGCCGCCGCGGCCGCCGAAACCGGAACGGGCCGGCGGCACTTTGGACAGGGTCAGGGACTTTCTGGACAGAGCTGGCTTTGAAAGTCCCCAAGTTGAAGCTCGGAGTTAGTTGAGTTAGTTGAGTTAGTTGAGTTAGTTGAGTTGTCATTTCTTTTGTTTCATTCATATTCATTCATGATTATATAGTTAGTTGCGTTCACGATGATGACTGTTTTGATACTGTATGCTAACAGATTCAAGGGCGCTCACCGGATGATCAGATGTTTCTTGTTTCATGCTGCCCAAGGACAACCGTCACAGAGCCAGAAGTGCAGAGGATTCTAGGCGAAGCACTTCTGAAATCCGCAGAGTACCGAGATCCAGGGACTCAAAGCGTGCGCATGGTGACCATTGCGATGAGTCGGATCCACCAGTGCCTCCGGCCCCGCCAGCAGTTCCACTGGCAGTTCCTTTGCCTCTACCGCCTCCAGCCCCACCGTCCGTGCCGCTACCTACACCCCCACCTCCACCCAGGCCCACCCATCACTCCGACAGGTCACTACCATCCCCACCATTGAGAACCAGGGAGACACAGCCGAAGAAGAAGCAGCGATTTCTTCAGCCTCCACCTGCCCCAGAAGCGAGACTACCACCAGCACCACCAGCACCACCACCACCAGCGCCACCACCGGCTCCACCAGCGTGGAATGATTATGAGGACAACGACTATGATGGTGAGTACTATGAGCCTTGGGATGATGGCTATGGTCCAGCTTCCCCAACATGGGATGATGGCTATGGGGCAGAGCCTGGTGCAAAGGTGCCAACCCACCTTGAGTACTTCAGCTCAGACGAAGAAGATGAAAGTCCAGATGGGGAGGAGGCGTCGAACAGCCCAGCGCTTAGCTACCTACCACCTCCTCCACCGCCCCCAGTACCACATGACTTACAAAACTTCATCCCGCCACCACCACAAATTCCCAAAGGTTGGGGCAAGGGCGGCAAGTATGGCTCCCGACGAAAAATGGCCTCGACGCATAGCCCCTGGTTCTGCAATGTGTGCAACAAGGACCTCTGGAATGAAGAGAAGTACAACACGCACGTCCAAGATGATCATATCCCATGCCCTGAGGAAGGATGCACATTCTCTGGTCCTGAGTTTGTGATGGCAGTCCACAAGCTGAAGCATGTGAAAGCTGCAGATGGCAGTAGTGTGACCGATTCTCCCGAGGAATTGGCTGCATGGAGATCCATGCGGAAAGCCAATTTTCCCAGCAAAGGGAATTTGAAACGAAAGGCCGAGCTGGAAGAGAAGAGGCGACAGTCAGGAGCCCTTCCAGATCCTCCCAAGGTCAGCATGCTTGAGAAGCTGTTGCGTCGTACGCACCAGGTGGAAAGAGGCAAAGGATTTGGCGGCTTTGGCGGCTTTGGCTACAAAGGCTTTGGAAAAAAGGGGAAGTTCAAGGGTAAAGGAAAGGATGGCAAAGGCAAAGAGGGAAAGGGCAAGGATTGGAAAGGAAAGGATGGAAAAGGAAAGGGAAAAACTTCGGGCAAAAAAGGCAAGGGCAAAAGCAAATGGAGTGTGGAGCCTGATGGGGAGCCAGAGAGGCGGCTTGATCATGCAACCTACAGTGTGCCTTTGCCATCGGTAGTTGCTAATTGTGTGCCATTGGAAGCACCCTTTGGCGGTGCGCCGACTTCGCAGGTCATCCCACCCAGCCTTCCCAAATGGGGCCCTTGCCGCTTTTTTGATCGCGGCTTTTGCTTCCACGGTGAAAATTGCCAGTACGAACATGTCGGCGCAGGCGCCATGACCCAGAAAGTGATCAATTCCACTGCGTGGTGGGCCTTGCCATCCTCCTTAGCAAATCGAGCTGGAAGACCAGGCGGGGGGACATGTTGAAGTGATTAGAGACCAGGGGAACTATGTGGAACTCATCGCGCAGCAACAAGATTGGAGAAATACACATTGGCACTGATCTTTGCACTCGCGAATGGAGGAAAATCACTTGTCATGGAGCACGCTACCACTCATAAAATAAGGTTCCCCATTTGATAGTTAATTACTGTATTAGCGTGTTTTCCATGATTTTCCCACATATGGGATTTTTCCACATCCACGATTTTGAGACCTTTCCTGAATTTCTTGCCAGGTGAGGGGCCGGCTGGCGGTGTCTTTACATCTTTGCGCTCACGGCCTTTGGTCGCCACCCGGGTGGAGCCTTATGTCGGCGCGGAGCAACGAGAACGCCGTGATGGGCTGTTGAGAAGACTTCTGCAGCCGGATGTGGAGAGGTTTCTTGGACAGCTGCACCACGAAAAGCATTGAACATGGGGAAAGCAACAAAATTGGGATTGCGATGCAGTGCAGATCTACAGATATATATATATATATAACATGATATAACATGATAATAATATGATACAGCATGATATAACATGATACAGCATGATACAAAATGATATATCTCATGATATAACTCATTATATATATAAGCCATGATACAACTCATGATGTAACATGATATAACATGACACAACATAAATTAACAATGCTTAGCGTTTACGCATCCTTTTGTTGTCTCTCGTATGCAACCGTGGAGAAGGTAACATGTTGTGCATAGGGTACCAGGTGCCAGGTGAGTGCAGTTTTTCATGACATTTTCCCTGCTCCGCAGGCTTAGATGAATGCTACACCGATCATTGAAATAGGAAGTCCATTTTGTGGTGCAGCATGGATGGACCCGTTTTTCTAATGTTTTTTTTCTACATTTGGGTTTGAAGTCGGTTTGCCACTTAGATACTACTCAGCGATTCTTCAGTGCGTTCGCTACATAGTTTCAACTGACTTTCTGCGGTTGGAGCGTCCACATGTGGAGAGGCCAATGGAGTACCTTGGCTGTGATGAGGGTGGTCTGGCCGAATCAATGAAGCAGGTTCGACAGACTCTATTTTATGCAGACAGTCTGGATCTTTCTTTCCTGAGGTTGTTTCCAACTATATTATGCCATGTCATTTCCATTAATTTTCGATTTTGCCTTACTTTTTGGTGCAGCACCCCAATCCTGCCCAATGGGGTTCGATCTGCAAGGGTTTGATGAAAATGACATTGGGATGTCTAGGGAGTGAGGCAAGACATGGATTGCATTCTATCCTATAGAAGCAGGAAGGGATAGACCACAACTTCAACAGAAGGATCGCAAGGGTACTTGAACTATAGGATTCAATTTAGAATTAGAATTCAATTCATTTCATACCCTTTGGATCCCTTTAGACCCCTTTAGACCCCTTTGGATCTCTTTAGACCCCTTTAGACCCCTTTAGATTCCTTTAGATCCCTTTAGATAGCCCAAGTTTTGCCGTGTTTCCACATTTCCACCCCTGTTTGCCAGACACCGCCAAGATCGGCCAAGGCCCAGTGTCTCGCAGCGAGATATTCAGGCAGAACTGGATGCAGAACTGCTGAAGGAAGATCTTGATGATGTGGACATGTCAGCTCTTCACGCAGCGCTGAACCAAAGCGAGTGACGAAAAAAATCGAAAAACAGAAGTGACGTCTTGGGAGTACACTGGGAATTGGAGATCTTTGGGGAAGGGCAGACGAACAGAAAAGAACCTGATGTATATTATGAAGCTTTATTGAATCATTTGTATATGTAATGAATATGGATCATTATGTATCTATATGTATATATATATAGTACCCCGGGCGTCAATGTTGAAGCTTACTGGTACCTCCTACGCGGACAATGTTGATGTTTGGGTTGGTTAAACATCGGCATTCGCAATGTTGACGTTTAACCCCTGTGAAGAAATCTATGGACCTTGGAAGCGCAATGAAGTGCAAAATCATCATACACACACACATATATATATTCATCATTCCAATTTCCCACCGTGTAAGGGCCCTTGGAACTGAATTTGAAACCTACAAGATCCTATAAGTATTGAATTTCCAGACAGGAAACAGATCAAGGAACCATATTTGCAAGTATTTGCATTCTTACTGTCAGAGTCCACGGACAAAACATGGGACCTTAAACGGTTTGGAAATTTGCCGCTCCCAGAAGCTCATGTCACAGATTGATATGAAATATATGAATTAATGCCCAAAGAAATCGGGAACTCAGTTTGGCCACCGGAGGACCAGACAAACCCCCAAAAATCCTTAGCGTGAAATAGCGTGAAGTACCTGTGAAGTTTGCGTGAAATGCGGCGTGAAATGCGATGTTTACCCGAGGAAAAGAGCAACCCCATGCCACCCCTAGAATATAATGTGTTTTTGCGTTTTTTCCTTGTTTGTCCGGTCATCCGGATGCCAGAGGGGCGGGACTATATATATATACATACATACATATATATATATATACATACATATATATTTATATATACATACATATATATATACACATACATACATACATACATACATACATACATACATACATACATACATATATAATATATATATATATATAAATATAAATATTATATATATATTGTGCAGTACATTTACACAGGAACATTTTGCAGCGTCTTCATTGGCCGCTGACTGCAATGTTCCCCAGCGGCCCCCTGCAACATAGTGAAGTTTTACATCTCTACAGATGGTACACACACACACACACGCCCCGCAACAGCGGGTCAGATGAAATGAAAATGAAAGTGAGATGACAATGAAAATGAAATGAAAGTTACTTAACCAGGACGCGAAGAGGGGAACGCAAAAGAAGAGGGAAGGAGCAAACACCAACACAAACGCCTGGCCCGGAGCGGGCAAACGCTGAAAGGGCAAGGGAAAAGAAAAGCGGAGGCCGACGGACACGAAACAAGACCAGCGGAGGAGGGGGAAGACGGAAGCGCCTAAACCAACCTACCACAGCGAAACCTAAGCCTACCTAAGCACGCGCAGGACCCAACCTACCTGAAGAGACGAGCACACATGAGAAAGGGAAGCCATGGGGGACTAGTTAATGAAAAGATGCAACCACAATACAGTGCAGAGTCCCCTCATCAGGCTCAATGGCCAAAATTCAAGTCAACCCTATCGACAGCTTAAGCAGACATCTTTCGAATTAGGTGCACAATTGAACCTCACCAGAATAACCAAAAAGAAAGACACCACACCTGAAAGGCATGTCCTGAAACCTAAACCTGGTCATGTGACATGATGCAAAATGAAGTTCAAAAAAGGTGGGTCCCCAAAACAGCGGGCAACTGTTCAACACGACGACAGTCGACAAGGTGAGAAGTGAGAAGTGAAAAATGGCCGGCTGTTTCACTTTACTTAGACGAATTACTAGGTTGAAAAATGTAAAGTCAGAGATCAGGTCGGAGGATCAAAGTTCCTACCTAGAAAGGTATTCCCCGAAGGGATCATGCCACCTTGACGAATCCAGCATGAGCCACACACTTGCTCAGAACGGTCGTTGCGAATTTTGTTGTGGAATGCACCGGACGTGCAAAGACACCAGCAGCAACAAACACGATGAGATGAACCTATATATATATATTATAATCACAGTGGACGTTGACCGTATAAATCAACAGCAAAAAGATATATGTCCCCCAGCTGCAACGTATATGCGCCCAGGGGCGGGACTAACTATATATTGCGCAGTACATTTACACAGGAACATTTTGCAGCGTCTTCATTGGCCGCTGACTGCAATGTTCCCCAGCGGCCCCCTGCAACATAGTGAAGTTTTACATCTCTACAGATGGTACACACACACACACGCCCCGCAACAGCGGGGCAGATGAAATGAAATGAAAGTGAGATGACAAGGAAAATGAAATGAAAGTTACTTAACCAGGACGCGAAGAGGGGAACGCAAAAGAAGAGGGAAGGAGCAAACACCAACACAAACACCTGGCCCGGAGCGGGCAAACGCTGAAAGGGCAAGGGAAAAGAAAAGCGGAGGCCGACGGACACGAAACAAGACCAGCGGAGGAGGGGGAAGACGGAAGCGCCTAAACCAACCTACCACAGCGAAACCTAAGCCTACCTAAGCACGCGCAGGACCCAACCTACCTGAAGAGACGAGCACACATGAGAAAGGAAAGCCATGGGGGACTAGTTAGTGAAAAGATGCAACCACAATACAATGCAGAGCCCCTCATCAGGCTCAATGGCCAAAATTCAAGTCAACCCTATGGACAGCTTAAGCAGACATCTTTCGAATTAGGTGCACAATTGAACCTCACCAGAGTAACCAAAAAGAAAGACACCACACCTGAAAGGCATGTCCTGAAACCTAAACCTGGTCATGTGACATGATGCAAAATTAAGTTCAAAAAAGGTGGGTCCCCAAAACAGCGGGCAACTGTTCAACACGACGACAGTCGACAAGGTGAGAAGTGAGAAGTGAAAAATGGCCGGCTGTGTCACTTTACTTAGACGAATTACTAGGTTGAAAAATGTAAAGTCAGAGATCAGGTCGGAGGATCGAAGTTCCTACCTAGAAAGGTATTCCCCGAAGGGATCATGCCACCTTGACGAATCCAGCATGAGCCACACACTTGCTCAGAACGGTCGTTACGAATTTTGTTGTGGAATGCACCGGACGTGCAAAGACACCAGCAGCAACAAACACGATGAGATGAACCTATATATATATATTATAATCACAGTGGACGTTGACCGTATAAATCAACAGCAAAAAGATATATGTCCCCCAGCTGCAACGTATATGCGCCCAGGGGCGGGACTAACTATATATTGCGCAGTACATTTACACAGGAACATTTTGCAGCGTCTTCATTGGCCGCTGACTGCAATGTTCCCCAGCGGCCCCCTGCAACATAGTGAAGTTTTACATCTCTACAGATGGTACACACACACAAAAAAAAATATAGATACATCGAATCATAGGTAATTTACCAATTGTTCCAGAAGAATTATGATCATGCAAGTTTAAAATATTTTTTTCTTGGTGCCTATGAATCATACAAACCGACAGTCTTGCTATGTTTTCAGTTTCAGGGTTGCACAGCGGCGGGATATGACATGGATCGACGCTGGCGCCTGGTTTTTGCAGAAGTTTTGGGATGCATATGGTGCAGTGGACGCTTTGCCAGATGCTTGCCCACTTGGGTTTTTGACAATGTTTATCTCAGCCTTGGCAACTTGTCAAAAGCCAGGCGTTATCACTTGAGGAACACTTTACCAGAGCATACCAGTGCTTTGAACCCACTACAAAATGGCAAAATATTTGCAGTGACCAGATTGGCACTGGCTCGCGTTGACAGCTGTTCTTTCCCAAATGTTCATACTCTTCTCCTGCGACAGATAGAGATAACTGGGTCTGTAGGAGGAAACAGGCTCAAACGTTCAGAGTTTCAGGTCTTGACATTTTCCCAAAAGCATCTCCGATGCTTGGCTTCTCGTTTAGTTAACTTTGCCGCGGGGGGAGCGATACGTCAGCGACGACAGGGTGGTTGGAAGGGGAAACCGCGGGAAATAGCTTGGGGAGAGCTCCGTTGGGAGGGAGCGAGATGGAAGCGACGACAAGGTGGACGGAGGGGAAACCGTGGGAAAGCTTGAGGAAAGCTCCGTTGGGAAGGAGCGAGATGAAAGCGACTATCCCCAAGCTATTTCCCATGGTTTCCCATCCGTCCACGACGTCCACGCTTCCCACGGGACGGGACACCACGGGACGGAGGGGAAACCACCGGGAAATAGTTCTGTTGGGAAGGAGCGATACGGAAGCGACGACAGGGTGGACGGAGGGGAAACCGTGGGAAATAGCTTGGGGAGAGCTCCGTTGGGAGGAGCGATATAGTGAGAATGTAGAGCTGTTGGTGCGGGTTTTCAGGGCACATTCCATCACTGCGATTGGGCCGAAAAAGCTCAAGGCTTGTCAAGCGGTGTGCAAACATTGGGCGATGGGACATGCATATAGCTTCATTGGCAGGGAGCAAGACTAAAATAAAAGAGCAAAGCTGTTGGCACGTGTTTTTCAAGGCAAATTCCATCAATGCCATTGTGCCGAAAAACTGTGTGCCCAAGACTTGTCAAGCGGTGTGCGAACACTGGGCGATGGGACATGCATAGCTTCGTTGGCAGGGAGCGACCCAAAAAATGCGCAGCTGTTGGCACGGGTTTTTCAGGACAAATTTCATCAACACGATTGTTTCGAAAAACTGCGCGCCCAAGATTTGCCAAAGTTTCCAAACCCTGGTCCATGGGACAGGCATAGCTCCGTTGGCAGGGAGCGAGACTAAAAGAGCAGAGCTGTTGGCACGGACTCTTCAGGACAAATTCCATCAACGCGATTGTCCCGAAAAACTGGTGCCAAAGACTTCTCAAACGGGATCTAAACGCTGGGCAAAGGGACATGCGTGGGAAAAAGTTCTTTGCTGGAGTGGTGTTCATTTTGCACGGCGTTCTGTCCGTCAATGCTTGGTTTTCGCTCCCTTCGCAGCGAAGCAAACTAAAAGAGAACCCAAGCATAGGATATGCATCAGCGTGAACGGACAGGTGGGGAAATAGCTTGGGAAGAGCTCTGCTGGGAGGGAGTGGCACTGAAAATGCGGAGCTGTTGGCACAGGTTTTACACAGAGCAGGTTTTTACACAGAGGAGCTTTACACAGAGGAGCTTTGCACGGAGGATCTTTTACACAGAGAAGCTTGCACACAGGGAGGACTTTACGCACAAAGTCTTTTGCACAGAGAAACTTTTACACAGGAAAGGTTTTACACACAGAAGCTCTTACACAGAGAAGTCTTTATACAGAGTAGTCTTGACACAGAGAAGCTTGCACACACAGAGGCTTTTACAGCAGCTTTTACACAGAGTAGCTTTTACACGGAAAAGCATGTACACGCAGAGGCTTTGACACAGAGAGGTCATTTACACAGAGAAGTCTTTACACAGAGGAGCTTTTACACAGAGAAGCTTGTACAGACAGAGGAGCTTTTACAAACAGACGCTTTTACACAAAGAAACTTTTACACAGGGCAGCTTTTACACAGAAACATTTTATACAGAGGAGCTTTACACACAGAAGCTTTTACACGGGAAAGCCTTTACACAGAGAAGCTCTTACACACAGAAGTGTTTACACAAAAAAGCGTTTACACAGAAACTTTTACGCACAGAAGCTTTTACGCACAGACGCGTTTACACGGAGGAGTGTTTACACAGGGGCGCATTTACACACAGAAGCCTCCACACACAAAAGTTTTTACGCAGAGTAGCTTTTACACAGAGAAGTCGTTACACAGAGAAGTCTTGACACAGACAAGCTTGCACACACAGAGGCTTTTGCAGAGAGAAGTCTTTTACAGAGAGAAGCCTTTACACAGAGGAGCTTTTACACAGACTTGTCCTTACACAAAGGAGATCACACAGAAACTTTTACACAAAGACGCGTTTACACACAGGATGTTTTACACACAGGAGCGTTTACGGCGCACAGAAACTTTTACACAGAGCAGCTTTTGCACACAGAAGCTTTTACACAAAAAAAGCCTTTACACAGAGAAGTTTTTACACACAGAGGCTTTTGCACAAGGAAGCTTTTACACAGGAATGCTTTTACACACAGAAGCTTTGCCACAGAGAAGTTTTTTTCACCGAGAAGTCTTACACAGAGGAGCTTTTACGCACAGACGGGTTTGCACAGATAAGTCTTTACACAGAGGAGTTTCTGCACACAAAGTTTTTACATACAAAAAACGTTTACGCACAGAGGAGCTTTACGTACAGAAGCTTTTACACGCAGAAGCTTCTGAACGGGAAAGCCTTTACACAGAGAAGCCTGTACACACAGAGGCTTTTACAGAGAGAAGCCTTTTATATAGAGAAGTCTTGACACAGAGGAGCTTTTAATTACACAGTGAAGTTCTTACACAAAGGAGATGCAAACGATGCAAACAGAAGCTGCACACACAGACATATTTACACACAGAAGGTTTTACAAATAGAGGCTCTTACGGCGCATAGAAACTTTTACACAGAGCAGCTTTTACACAGAAGCTTTTACACGAAAAGCCTTTACGCAGAGAAGTTTTTACAGACAGGAGCTTTTGCACAAGGAAACTTTTACACAGGAAAGCTTTTACACACAGAAGCCTTTTACGCACGGAAGCTTTTGCACAGGGTGGCTTTTACACAGAGAAGTTTTACACAGAGAAGCTTTTACGCGCAGACGCGTTTACACAGAGAAGTCTTTACACAGAGGAGCTTTTGCACACAGAATCTTGTACACACCGACGCGTTCACACACAGAAGGTTTTAAAAACAGACAACTTTTCGGCGCACAGAACTTTTACATAGAGCAGCTTTTTTGCAGGGATCCTTGCACACACAGAGTGAGCTTTTATACACAGAAGCTTGTACACAAAACCAAATGACACACAGCTTTTGCACACAGAAGCTTTTACATAAAAACTCAAACCTTTACACAGAGGAGGTTTTACACACAGACGGGTTTACACAGAGGAGCCTTTACACACGGAGGCGTTTGCACAGCGAAGCCTTTACACTGAGTAGTTTTTACACAGAGAAGTCTTTATACAAAGAAGTCTTGACACAGAGAAGCTTGCACACGCAGAGGCTTTTACACAGAGAAGCCTTTTGCACAGAGCAACTTCTTCACAGAGGAGCTTTTACACAGAGCAGCTTTTTCACAGAGGAGCTTTTACACAGGAACTTTTACACAGAGAAGTCTTTTACACGAGAAGCTTTTACACACAGAAGTTTTTACACACAAGAAACCTTAACACAGAGGAGCTTTTACACACAGAAGCTGGTACGCGAAGATACTTTCAGAAACAGAAGCTTTTACACACAGAGGACGTTTTACACAGAAGCTTTTACACAAAAAACACTTTTACACATGCACAGAGAAGTTTTTACCCACAGAAGCTTTTACATACAGAAGCTTTTACGCAAAGATTTTTTTCACGCACAGAAACCCTTTTACACGGACGCTTTTACACACAACAATTTTCTCACAAAGAACCTTTACACAGAGGAACTTTTACACAAAGAAACTTGTACGCACAGATGCGTTTACACACAGTAGCTTTTACGCATCAAAGTTTTTGTACAGAGAAGTCTTTCCCATCTTCCATCATGTTTCATTTTTCAGGATCATTCACCATCTGTCAATCTGTCATCATCATATCTTCGTTTTCATGCTCTTTTGGTCAACTCCCTCCGTCGTTTAGTTTCCATTTCGCACGGTGTTCTGTGTGTCCACGCTTCATCCTCGGTCCCCTGCAGCGAAGCAAACTAGACGAGAACCCAGCAATAAATAGCAACTAGAAAGATGGGATAGAGATAATGACATTAGCAGAAATCGCGACTATATAGAAGAATGTAGACGTAGCCGAAACAGCATGCTGTGGTGAATTGTGGCCCCTGAATGCCCCTGATACCATCAGTGCGCACGATGTTTCAGTAAAGATCTTACGTCGATTTCGTGCAGAGCACAGCTGCCCACACCACACGATTTTTTAAAAAGGCGTGCTGTGTGCTGTCTTGCTTTTTGGTTCTCTGGCCCACCTTGTTTACACTGAAACTTTAGCGCGGGCTGTATTCATTTGGGTTCACTGCCATAGTTTGAGATCATGGTTCTTTGTATCTAGGTGGCAAGCCGTACCCGCAGTGTAAAGGTACTCATGCCTGTGATTCTCTTCTCGACGCTGATAATGGTTTGGTCCTTGGCACGAGTGGGGACTGCGAGGAAATTGATGAGTTCCTTCTTCATTGTGACCTGGCTTGCTGATGCCCCAGTGCCAGAATCCCATTTCTATCCCCTCCAGTCATCTCATGATTTAATTTAATTAACAATCCAATCCCTGTCATGGCCATGGAGCTCCAGCGGGACAGTGGGCCCAGGTGGTTCTTGGCGTTCCGCTGTATCCCATCCTGGCAGCCCTTCTTCTGGCACTTTTCTTTCTGGCCATTCGGATTCTGACCCTGGCAGTTGTTGTGATTGGGCCCATGGCGCTAGCTGGTATGGCAATTTGTCAGCTGCTTGCTTTACAATGCGCCTTCGTCGAAGAACAGAAGCTTTGGCAGAGCTGATATGAGATCAGTGAGTTGATCCTGTTCCAGTCAGCTGCACGGGTGACCGACTGAGCATAACTGAGCCATTATCCTTTCGAAGGGTTTCCTTCTTGTGCTGGGAGTGGTAAGACCTAGGATGGCATCAGATATTAGGTTCTATCGGATAGATCCAACCTGGGCTGAGTTTTATATGCACACTTGCCTACGGCAGCGTAGGATGTAGGAACAGCACCTTAATTTGTCTCTGCCGGTATCTAGGTACTGACGTTCCGGGATTGCAGATGCTAACGTTCCTAAGGAAAGATTATGAATTATGACAATTACCAGTAGTACCGCACAAGGTGGTGGCGGAAGTTTCAAAAATATATAGGAGAGGTGAGTTGTTGTGAATCACGGATGGCACAGCGAATCCACTGATGGACCGAAAGGTGGTTGGAGTTGTGCTTTTTGGAGTGGTTGCAATGGTTGCAGTGGTCACCTCACCCACAACTGCTGGATGTAGTGTGGTGTAGTGCAGTTGTAGCTGTAGCTGTAGTGTAGTGGAGATGTGGCTGTAGTGTGGTGTAATCAGCGTAGCTGTAGTTGTAGTTGTGGTCGTAAAGTAGTGTAGTGTAATGTAGTGCAGTGTAGCGTCGTGTAGTGCAGTGAAAGGTAGTCTAGGATAGTGCAGTGTAGCCTAGTGTAGTGTAGTGTGTGTGTGTGTGAATAGTGTAGTTGTACTTGGAATGTAGCGTCATGTAGTGTAGTAATGAAATGTAGTGTAATTAGTGTAAAACTAGTAGTAGTAGTCGTCGTCGTCGTCGTAGTCGTAGTAGTCGTAGTAGTAGCAGTAGCAGTAGGAGGAGTAGTAGTAGTTGTTGTTGTTGTTGGAGTTTAGTAGTAGAAGTAGTAGAAGCAGAAGTAGAAGTAGAAGTAGAAGTAGTAGTAGTAGTAGTAGTAGTAGAAAAAACTAGTAGAAAAAACTAGTAGAAAAAACTAGTAGAAAAAACTAGTAGAAAAAACTAGTAGAAAAAATAGTAGAAAAGTAGTAGAAAAAAATAGTAGAAAAGTAGTAGAAAAAAATAGTAGAAAAGTAGTAGAAAAGTAGTAGAAAAGTAGTAGAAAAGTAGTAGAAAAGTAGTAGAAAAGTAGTAGAAAAGTAGTAGAAAAGTAGTAGAGAAGTAGTAGTAGTAGTAGTAGTAGCAGCAGTAGCAGTAGCAGTAGCAGTGGCAGTAGCAGTGGTAGTAGTAATACTCGTCGTCGTGGTAGCGGAAGTGGTAGTGGCAGTGGCAGTGGCAGCGGTAGTGGTAGTGGTGGTAGTGGTAGTAGTGGTAGTAGTGGTTGTTGTTGTTGTCGTTGTCGTTGTAGTTGTAATGTAGTGTACTGTAATTAGCGTAGTGTAGTGTAATGTAGTTGTAGTTGCCGTTGCAGTTGTAGTTGGCAGTGGTAGTTGTAGTTTTTTGATCCATCTATCTGTCAATCTGCAAGCTTGAAAACGAAGCTATTCTGCGAGACTTGCCAAGGTTTGAACTTGACAACATCAAAAACGCAGCAATTCTGTGAGACCTCCTCAATTTTTGAAGTTGATAACGTCAAAAGCGAAGCAATTCTGCGAGTCTTCCTCAATTTTCCAAGTTGGCAAGATCAGAAACGAAGCAATTCTGCGAGACTTCCTTCAAAAATGGAAAGTTGAGTGCAGAGCTGACGGCCTCGTACCAATGCGTTTTCCGATTTTTCCAGTCCACCTGTCTAAAGTATTGCGAAAAGTGATGCCAGGGCATATGAAGTGCTGCACCTGTCACGCAAAATCATCTTAGCAAACCTACAGATCTGATGCTCGCAAATGCAACACCTTTCAGGAAATCAGCGCCCGGACCTCCTAATTAACATCTCTGATGAACATGTCTCTTGTACTGCGCCTGCCACGGAAAATGCATCTTGCCAGATCCTCTTCACATGTCCCACGCCTGTCATCGTTTTAGGAAATGCTACAAAACCCTCACGTTTTGCTCACTTTTGACAAGGTGCATAATCCCTTGCGCCTGCCACGCAAAACGACGTCTGAACGTCCTCCGAACCCGTCAGTTTTTTACACTTTTGATTTGGAAATGTGCTTGGAGCCACAATGGCGTGCACTTTTCATTATCTCAGCTTCCAAAAGTGGTCCGAACCTGGTGTGTTTTGTAGAAACGTGCTTCGCGCCACAGCGGCGTGCAATTTTTCATCTCTCATCTGGCCAGCTGGCTCCGCACCCGCCGCTTTAGCGAGCCTACTTTTCGACCGTCCGGAGCCACAAATCGTTTGGAAAAACACAGTGTTTCGCGACTTTCCTACCTTTTCGCGCACATGGATCTTCTTTCTTCTGAGACTTTCTCTTTTTTGATCTTCTTTCTTCTTCTCTTCTCTTCTCTGACTCTTCCCATCTCTGCTTTTCATCTGTCCATATTGTCGGAAGTTTGACTTCTAAACTTCCTCCGATGAATGATTGTATCAGGAGTTGTCAGGGCAAGCTATGCAGAGCAGATTGGTTCTTGTTGTTGATATGTTTTCCCGAGAGCGCCTGCGAAGGGTTCTTCGTAAAAAGAAGCCGTTGTAATACATCTTCACACCTTCACATCTCCTGATCTACATCTTCACACCTTCACATCTGCTGATCTACATCTTCACACCCTCACATCTGCTGATCTACATCTTCACACCTTCACATCTGCTGATATACATCTTCACACCCTCACACCTGCTGATCTACATCTTCACACTCTCACATCTGCAGATCTACATCTTCACACCCTCACACCTGCTGATCTACATCTTCACACCTTCACGCCTGCAGATCTACATCTTCACACCTTCACGCCTGCAGATCTACATCTTCACACCCTCACATCTGCTGATCTACATCTTCACACCCTCACACCTGCAGATCTACATCTTCACATCTTCACGTCTGCAGATCTCCTATCGCTCTTCTTTCTATCTCTCTCTTAAGGCGGGGGCGGTGCCGCCGGAGCGCCACGAAACGCAACCCTTTCGCACGAAATGGACGTTGGACGTCAAAAACTGAGGTAAATTTTTGTAAAATTGCGATTTTAGTTAGTCGCGCGCAACCCTTTCGCACGAAATGGACGTTGGACGTCAAAAACTGAGGTAAAATTGCGATTTTAGTTAGTCCATCGCAACCCTTTCGCACGAAATGGACGTTGGACGTCAAAAACTAAGGTAAAATATAATTGCGATTTTGATTTGAGGTGTCACGGGCAACCTTTACACGCGAAATGGAGGTTCGACGTCAAAAACTGAGGTAAAATTGCGATTTTACTTGGCCCATCGCAACCCTTTCGCACGAAATGGACCTTGAACGTCAAAAACTGAAGTAAAATTGCGATTTCACAGGTCCGGTCTCTGTGTGTGAAAGTGTTTGTGTGTAAAAGCTTCTGTGTGTGTGAAAGTGTTTGTGTGTAAAAGCTTCTGTGTGTGAAAGTGTTTGTGTGTACAAGCTTCTGTGTGTAAAAGTTTCTGTGTGTACTGTAAAAGCTTCTGTGTGTAAAAGCTTCTGTGTGTAAAAGGGTCTGTGTGTAAAAGGGTCTGTATGTAAAAGCATCTGTGTGTAAAAGCGTGTGTGTGTAAAGGAGTCTGTGTGTAAAAGCCTGTGTGTGTAAAAGCTTCTGTGTGTAAAAGCTTCTGTGTTTAAATGCTTCTGTGTGTAAAAGTGTGTAATTAAAAGTGTCCGTGTGTAAAAGTGTCTGTGTGTAAAAGTTTCTGTGCGTGTAAAAGCGTCTGTGTGTAAAAGTGTCTGTGTGTAAAAGCTGCTGTGTGTAAAAGCGTCTGTGTGTAAAAGCTTCTGTGTGTAAAAGCTTCTGTGTATAAAAAAGCGTCGCGTTTCTTCACATCCGAGGAATGGTGGTACCGAGCTTTTTCGGCAATGTGTGTAGGAATTACCATAGTAAAATGAGATAACACATGTCATTCGCAGACTCATGGTGCCGAGCCTCCTGTGCACTTTTGTTGCTCACATTATATTTCTCCATGTGTTCTTTCTATCTCCCTTTCCTTCTCTCTCTCTCTCCCCCTCTTTCTCTCTCACTCTCTCACCCTCTCCCTCTTTCTCTCTCTCCTCTCTCTCTATCTATGTCTATGTCTCTCTGTGGTTGCAAGACACGTGTCATCTGATGCCCTTTACCAAGTATCCTCTTCTTAATCAATCTTACTTTTCACACCTGATCCCTCCATAGCTCATATAAAATTCACCAACCATTCACCGACTATCTTTTACGACTACCATCCTCAGAGCTGCTTGAAAAACATCTTTTTCGCTCTTGGGCCAACCGTCGTCTAGTTGATTTCCTTAATGCTGTTGGATATGAGCGCTCCCTGCAATGCATACAGGCAATAGGTTTAAAATTGATTATATACTAATCATGTTGCCTTCTCATGCAGTTAAAATCAAGGATAAAGAAATTGCTTCTAAGATATGGCAAGATCTGCGAGTTTTCTATGGTTCTATGATCCATGATCCATGCATATCTTGCCACAAACAAAGGATTGAGCTCAGAGACGAGAATGGCGATGTGCCCGATGTGCAAGACATCGGGTGCTGTAGCATGATTTTGGGAATGATATTTGGAGTGGGCAGCCTTGTCACACTTGGTTTGGTGACATGTTGTTGCAATATCCTGAAGTTTCCGGTGGCATTTCTCTCCCTGTTCTTCCGTCTTTGGCACTGGGCAGTTTGTTCTTGGCTGCGCTTGGTGCAGTGCCCCTTGGGATGTCAAGACGACGGATCGGATTCAGATTTCGAGTCGGATATCTGCGACTGTTGTTGTTGGTGGCTCTGGTTCCCGATTATCCTGGCAGCTTGGCTGGTGACTGTCATGGTGTTCTTCCCTTGCGTCTTTCTCCTGGTTTTTTGCATCTTCCTGGTGGTGCAACTGCTGGCGTCTGCCATTTGGCCGGCTTATGTCACTGCCGGATGGTTGAGATATGCAGGGCCTCGAGGTGGACGGAGAAGACACGGATCTACCTGCTCGGCCATGAGCCAAGGGGTGAGAGCCTCCTACCAACTTTTGTGGGCCAACGACGTGATCACAAACTTGCTGATTTGCCAGGCATGCACATGCACGTCTGAGACTAGACCGAACCTCGTTGGTGACATCAGATTCATGCTATGACATGTTGTATGCTTCCTCAAAGCATCTCCGATGCTCGTTTAGTTTACTTTCCCGCGGGGGGAGCGATACGGAAGCGACGACAAGGTGGACGGACGGAACCGTGGGAAATAGCTTGGTGGAGCGAGATGGAAGCGACGACAGAGTGGACGGACGGGAAACCGTGGGAAATAGCTTGGGGAGAGCCCCGTTGGGAGGGAGCGAGATGGAAGCGACGACAGGGTGGATGGACGGGAAGCCGTGGGAAATAGCTTGGGGAGAGCTCCGTTGGGAGGGAGCGAGATAGAAGCGTAGACATGGTGGACGGACGGGAAAAGGCGGGAAATAGCTTGGGGAGAGGTCTGTTGGGAGGGGGCGAGGCGAAAGCGTGGACACCGTGGACGGATGGGAAAGCGTGGCTCGGGGAGAGCTTGGAGGGAGCGAGATGGAAGCGACGACAGGGCGGACGGACGGGAAACAGTGGCAAATATAAGGAGAGCTCCGTTGCGAGGGAGCGAGACGGAAGCGTGGCCACCGTGGATGGATAGAAAACCGTGCGAAATAGGTTGGGAGGGAACGAGATGGAAGCAACGACAGGGTGGACGGACGGGAAACCGTGGGAAATAGCTTGGAGGGAGCTTCATTGGAAGGAGTGAGATGGAAGTGTGGACAACGGATGGGAAACCGTGGGAAAATATCATAGCTTGGGGAGAGCTCCGTTCGGAGGGAGCGAGACGGAAGCGTGGACACCGTGGACGGATGGGAAACTGTGGGAAATAGCTTGGGGAGAGCTCCGTTGGGAGGGAGCAAGACGGAAGCGTGGACATGGTGGACGGACGGGAAAAGGTGGGAAATATAGCTTGGGAGCGAGATGGAAGCGTGGACATGGTGGACGGATGGGAAAACGTGGGAAATAGCTTTGGGAGAGGTCCATTGGGAGGGAGCGAGATGAAAGGCATGGTGGACGGATGGGAAAACGTGGGAAATAGCTTGGGGAGAGGTCCGGTGGGAGGGAGCGAGAGGGAAGCGTGGACATCGTGGACGGATGGGAAACCGCGGGCAATAGCTTGGGTTTGCAACGTTGGGCGTTGGGACATGCATAGCTTCGTTGGCAGGGAGCGACCCAAAAAATGCACAGCTGTTTGCACGGGTTTTTCAGGACAAATAATTTCATCAATATACGATTGTTCCGAAAAACTGTGCGCCAAGACCTGCCAAAGTTTCCAAACCCTGTGCCATGGGACATGCATAGCTTCGTTGGCAGGGAGCGAGACTAAAAGAGCATAGCTGTTGGCACGGTTTTTCAGGACAAATTCCATCAACGCGATTGTCCCGAAAAACTGGTGCCAAAGACTTCTCAAACGGTGTCTAAACGCTGGGCAAAGGGACATGCCGGACATGATGCATGGGAAAAAGTTCTTTTGCACGGCGTTCTGTCCGTCGATGCTTGGTTTTCGCTCCCTTTGCAGCGACGCAAACTAAACGAGAACCCAAGCATAGGATATGCATCAGCGTGAACGGACAGATGGGGAAATAGCTTGGGAAGAGCTCTGCTGGAGTTGGCCCTGGCCCGGGTTTTATACAGAGGAGCTTTACACAGAAAAGCTTGTACACGCAGAGGCTTTGACACAGAGAGGTCTTTACACAGAGGATCATTTACACAGAGAAGCTTTTACATACAGAAGCTTTTACGCAAAGACACTTTTACACAGAGAATCTTGTACACACAGAAGCTTTTTGCACACAGAAACGTTTACAGTACGTTTGCACACAGAGGAGCTTTACACACAGAAGCTTTTACACACAGATGCTCTCACACAAACAAACTTTTACACAGAGCAGCTTTTACACACAGAAACGTTTACACACAGGCGCGTTTACACAGAAGTATTTACAATTGTTTACACACGGATGCGTTTACACACAGAAGCCTTCACGCACACAAGCTTTTACGCAGAGTAGCTTTTACACAGGGAAGTCTACACAGAGAAGTCTTTACACAGAGGAGCGTTTACAATATTTTACACAGAGAAGTCCTTCTTACACAAAGGAGATTACACACAGAAACTTTTACACACACAGACGCGTTTACACACAGAAGCGTTTACGGCGCACTGAAACTTTTACACAGAGCAGCTTTTACACACAAAAGCTTTTACACAAAAAAGCCTTTACACAAAGAAGTTTTTACACACAGAGGCCTTACACAGAGGAGCTTTTGCGCACAGAAGCCTTATACACACAGAAGCTTTCACACACAGAAGCTTTTTACACCGAGAAGACTTATATACACAGAGGAGCTTTTACGCACAGACGCGTTTACACAGAGAAGCCTCACAGAGGAGCTTTTGCACACAGAAGCCTTTTACACGCAGATCTTTTTGCACAGCGTAGCTTTTACACAGAGAAGTCTTACACAGAGAAGCTTTTACGCACAAATGCGTTTACACAGAGAAGTCTTTACACAGAGGCTTTTACGCACAGACGCATTTACACAGAGAAGTCTTTACACAGAGGAGCTTTTACGCACAGACGCGTTTACACAGAGAAGTCTTTACACAGAGGAGCTTTTGCACACGGAATCTTGTACACACAGACGCGTTCACACACAGAAGGCTTTACAAACAGACAACTTTACGGCGCACAGAACTTTTACATAGAGCAGCTTTTAGGCAGCGAATGTTGTACACACAGGGGAGCTTTTTTACACAGAAGCTTTTACGCAAAGATTTTTTAAATACACAGAAGCTTTTACACACAGAAACTTTTAAACACAGAAGCTTTTACACACAGAAGCTTTTACACAAAAAAAAGCCTTTACACAGAGGAGCTTTTACACACAGATGGGTTTACACAGAAAAATCTTTACACAAAGAAGTCTTGACACAGAGAAGCTTGCACACACAGAGGCTTTTACACAGAGAAGCCTTTTACACAGAGCAGCTTTTTCACAGAGGAGCTTTTACACAGGAACTTTTACACAGAGAAGCTTGTACACTCAGAGGCTTTGACGCAGAGAAGTCTTTTACACAGAGAAACTTTTACACACAGAAGCTTTTACATAAAAAAAAACTTAACACAGAGGAGCACAGAAGCTGGTACGCAAAGAAACTTTCACAAACAGAAGCCTTTACACACAGAGGACGTTTTACACAGAGGCTTTTACACACAGAAGCTTTTACACAAAAAAGCCTTTACACTTTACATTACACTTTAATTTACACAGAGAAGTTTTTACCCTTAGAAGCTTCTACATACAGACGTTTTTACGCAAAGAATCTTTTACACAGAGAATCTTTTACACACAGAAGCTTTTACACACAGAAGTTGATTCACAAAAAACTTTTACACAGAGGAAGTTTTACACAAAGAAACTTGTACGCACAGACGCGTTAACACACATTAACTTTGACGCATAGAAGCTTTTGTACAGAGAAGCCTATACCCATCTTTCATGATGTATAATTTCTCATGATCATTCACCATCTGTCATCTTCATATCTTCGTTTTCATGCTCTTTTGGTCGATGTATAATTTCTCATGATCATTCACCATCTGTCATCTTCATATCTTCGTTTTCATGCTCTTTTGGTCAACTCCCTCCGTCGTTTAGTTTCCATTTCGCACGGTGTTCTGTCCGTCCACGCTTCATCCTCGCCCCCTCTGCGGCGAAGCAATCTAAACGAGGACCCACGAATAAATAGCGACTAGAAAGATGGGATAGAGTTAATTACATTAGCAGAAATAGCGACTAGAAGAATGTAGACGTAGCTGACACAGCATGCTGTGGTGAATTTTGGCCCCGGATACCATCAGTGTGCACGATGTTTCAGTAAAGATCTTACGTCGATTTCGTGCAGAGCACATCTGCCCGGCCCACACCACAAGATTTTTTGAAAAGGCGTGCTGTGCGCTGTCTTGCTTTTGGGTTCTCTGGCCCACCTTGTTTGGAAGGCCGCATAGGCCGCGTTGCCAGAATAGACCCTATGGTGAGTCAAGGGTCAGCACAAATTCAATAGAAATTGGACGGAATGCAAAGCGGCATACGTATCATGGCGTGTCCAGGGAAAGCGGGAGGAGTCATGGGAGAGGATTTGGCAAGTCATGTTTTGCTTCCAAAATGCTTGCCCCACTGCCCCGATCCCAAAGGATCACAGAGATGCGCCAAGAAGAAAGCGCCCAGACCATTAAGGAACTCTTGGACTACATGACAGAGCAGAACGGAACCGTCGATCGCTGTCGGAAGCTTTCTCTCCTGCCCCCTCTGACCATTGGTCTTTCCGACAGCTGGGATTTTGCTGCGCAGGAAATTGCCCGACAACTGGGCATTGGAGCGAATCAGGTGGAAGAGGCCTGGAATTCCTTGGCGCGGCAGATGATCCGACTGGGCAGGGAGGCAATTGAAGATGGCTGGATTACCCGCGATTCCTGGAGGTGATTTTGTGGATTTTGGCGTTTCCAAACACGGCATGACTGGGGAATCAACGAAGATTGACGAAGATGTTCATTTTTTTTGCCCCCTGAATCCAAGGATTGGGTTCTGGAAATTCCAGTTGAGCTCTGTATTGGACTACCTGCACGCACCATATTGGATACCGTTGAGAGGTCTCGCAATAGCGGTGAGATTGTTTTGTCCAGCGGCCTGAAGTTGAGCATGGAAGACCGACCCAGGGGGAATGAAATTTTTGAAGAAATCTGGGACAATTTGATGGCGGCCAGGGAAGCCCGTGCCCAGATAAAACTTACAGATGGGGAGCGCGAGTGTTTGTGTGCCATGCTACTCGCTGGGGGTGGTGATGCTGACCAGTTGCCTCCAGGATTGTCAGCTATTCTGGGTAGAAGTGAGGCATATTTGGGAAGCAAGCATGCTGCCTGCCAAGATGTTGTACGTCCGTTGATCTCCATTTCCATTCTTTGCTCCAAGCAACATTTGTTCAAAAAGAAACTCAGAGTTATCATCGAGGGCATCACATCAGACGATGCGGAGGATTATCTCAGAGTGATAAGACGCCATTCCACAGCGGATGCACTGGACCAAATGGTCCTGGAGGTCCAGTCTGAATCAGGCTCCAACGACAGCCCAAGTTCAGAGTCGACTGTTTAAGTGTTTAAGTGCAACCTGTGCTAGCCTGAAAATCAAAAAAATCGTGGTCTTGAAACGCACGCTGATGACACTGCCAAGTGGTGTCAGGTGTCAGGCATTGCAAGGGGTTTGAGGATGTCATCATTGAAGTTCGAGCCAGGTCATCCCACAGACAGGGATACAGCATGTTGCAAAGTGAAACCTTTGTCAGTTCTGAACTGATGGTACGGTTCAATGGAGGCTTGCCCTGTGACATATGACTCGGCAAAAATTCCTGGCCCCACAAGTGGTGTTAGAACTCAAGACCAACATTGTAGGATATAGGTTCATATGTGTGTAAATATATTTATATCATTATATATATATATATATCATTAATATATATATATATATATATCAATATAAGTGCGTTGTGTGTTATATGTTTTATGCGTACACTATTGTTTATAGTGGAGTTTAGTGGTTGACCTCTCTTGTCTGGAAAGCTTCAACAAAATCACCATGGAGCCATTGCGGCCTGCCGGTTTGCCACCACTGTCTGTAGGGATGGGAAGGGAGGGAAGCAAAAAGCCGCCAGAACCGAAAGTTGAGCCAGTGGAAGAGAAAGAAAGCCCTTTTGAATGTACCATGGGCACACGCGGTGTGACCTTGATGCGATTTATGCTGCAAATTATTTTTCTTGTGATTTATTCTTGGAATGTGTGAATGTGTTTCGCATTCCAAGCCATTCTGGTGTCTGGCAGGCCTGCATATAAATAGCTGTAATTATGTTCAATTATGTATACTGCTGTGCTATACAATATACATTATATACTTTCTTGATGTGCGTATGAGGAAAACATAGGAAAACCCTCCAAATACTGAGAGAGAGAACTGTAGATATCATTATGTTGCAGTTCCTGCTGGACAGCGAGTTCTCTTCTGTTGAAACCATGGCCCAGGTGACCCAGTTGACCACACCAGCGCCCAAGAAGAGCGTGGCTGACCTTGAGGAAACGTTGAGGACGATGACTTCGGTGGTGAAAGGTTCCAGTGGCCGCCGCTGGATCCGCGGGGAGGCCATTGGCAGAGGCTCGCTGGGAACCGTTTTCCAGGCCATGGATCAACAGACGGGCGAACTCTTGGCAGTGAAGGAGGGGTCGCAAAAGATGAATGGAATTGAACATTTGGACTATGTCCATTGTAATTCCATCCAAATTTCAGATGAATGGACTCAAATTGCATGGAATTGGTGTGACCTGGTGTGATCTACATATCTACGTCGTTATCATCGTTTATATGCGTTTATCATATTTTCCAAGTAGTTTCATTGTATTTCATGTTCAAAGATGTGAAAGTTCAGGCAAGTCGCGTCTCGCGGCCAGGAGGTTGGCATCAATAGCTCCGACAAGTCAGATCTGAAGTTCAAAGAACAGCTGGAGAATGAGATTCAGATGATGAAGGACTTGAAGCACCCAAGGATTGTGACATACTTTGGTCATGATTACATGGATGATGCCTGGATTGGCTGAGTTGAGCTGATGATGTTTTTTCCCCTAATGTCATAAGGTGGTCCAAAGCAATGGGTGAATCCATGGGAAAATCTGCTTGGAAAATATTCAATTTAAGGATGGGGAGCTCCTTGAGCAAAATCCAAGGATTGCCTCTACATCTATTTAGAGTATATGGCAGGTGGCTCTCTAGCGCAGGCCTTGAAGCAATTTGGCTGCTTCGAGGAGTCCTTGACTCTTTCATATGCCAAGGAGATTTTGGAAGGCTTGGAATACCTCCACACCCATGACCCACCTGTGGTGCATCGAGACATTAAGGGTGGAAATGTCCTGGTGGATTTGGAATGTCATGCCAAGTTGTCGGACTTTGGATGCTCCAAGCGTGCCACGGATGCGGACACCTTGTGTCACACGATGCGGGGCTCCATCCCCTGGATGGCTCCAGAGGTCATCAAAAGTACCGGCTATGGCCGCAAGGCGGACATTTGGAGTTACGGCTGCGTGATTATCGAGATGGCCACCGGGAAGAATCCTTGGGGCTCCTTCGACAACCCCATGGCTGCCATGGTGAAGATTGGCATGTCTGAGGCAACTCCTCCCGTACCGGAGACTTTGTCATCAGCTGCCCAGGCTTTCATTCGCTTGTGCACACAGAGGGATGCTACCCTGAGACCAGATGCCACGAGTTTGCTTTCGCATGAAGCCTTGCAGAATGTGGGCATTGATGGCTGAGGGAATTGAACAGCAATCAGTCGACCACAGTGTCCGACCACATGGTGATTTTCGGTCGATCTTTCTGGCAGAAAACGCTGCCAGATCGGGCGATCAGAATGTGGTTGTTGGCAGTTTGCCGCATGTGTTCCAGAAATTGGAAGGACGTGTTTTTCTTCGATGATTGAATAACTTAACCATCAATACCATACAGTCAAGAAGGACCCCGCGGCTTTTCCCACAATCCTTCGTCCTGTCACTTTCATGCAGCCTTCATTTTAGCATGGAGCATGCAGAAAAAAGTATCAGTTCAGCGGCATTCCCGGGTTCTTTGTGATTGAAATCCTATCCCAGATTTGTCATAGCTGGCCATGTACGATGTGTGGCGGCGTAGCATTCTGGAAAGTCCACGCTGAGAATGTCAGCCTGGCAGCCTCAAAATGCGAGTTTCGAGTCGTTTTCGAGGAAAAAAATATCAAAGGGCAGGAAGCGCTGGAGCTCAATTCACCTCATTCACCCAATGAGGGCTTTCAGAAGCAGGTTGCCAGTTGGGGTATAGTCCAAGCTGTGCGGATGAAGCCCATGCAATCACAGCACCTCTTAACAAAGACACATCATTCTTCGCCGTGTTCTTGCAAAGCAAGTTCAGCTGACAAAATTGAAATGAAAGCCAAATCAATATATATATAATTATATATATATATATTATTATTATTATATATATATATTATTATTGTGATTTCAGTATCAACTGCCTCTTGATGTGATTCTTGCTGAAGGTTGCATATGAACTCATGCGGTACCATCCGTGGGTGCTATGGCCCAAAGCACCACGTGGTGGGTAGGGCTGAGGACTTAGCTGTCGGACGGCTATGGTGTGCTGAGCGGGTGACAAAGAGCTGCGTGTGATTTCTGGTGTGGGACACCTTTCCAATTTCTGGTGACCGGGTCACTTTACAATTTCATCTGGATTTCATCTGACAGGGTCAGAGCATTTGCTTGTTGGTGATTCTTCCGTTGCCAGTGTATTTACACTGGTAGCGGAGCCAAGAGCTCCAGCTATCATTTGATATCTGAAAGAGCGGCGATCCAGGGAGGTCGTTTCAGTGCAGTCCAATTTTGTTTTTTTTGGTGATCCACCATGCCGCCTGGGGTTAGTGGAAACGGAGATCTGCCTCCGGTGCCTGACGATGAGACACCAGCACCGGTGAATCCTCAATTGCCTTGGAGCCAGATTCCGAAGTTTACTCCAGGAGTCACGAACGTCCAGGAATACTCACAGAAGCTCAAGTTCTTAGCAGCTTTGTGGCCTGTAGATTTTCTGGACCAGCTTGCACCACGTGCAGCACTTTTGGTAGAAGGTACAGCTTTCAAGAAGATCGCTAGGATCCCTCCTGCAAAACTGAAAGTCAAATCGACCGATGGAGTTGCGGCCATTGTGGAGGCCATTGGAGGTTCATGGGGCTCCACGGAGCTTGAAGAACGCTATGAATACTTTGAAAAGTCTCTGTATGGTACCATCCAAAGGTCTGACGAATCCCATGATTCCTTTTTGTCTCGAATGGAGGCGAATTTTGTTGAGCTTTTGTCGCGGAACACCACTCTGGAGGAAGTGCAAGCCTACGTTTTGCTTAGGCAATCTACTTTGAGTGCAGAAGATAAGAAACGTATCCTGCTGGAACATGAGGGTGAACTGAAGTATCAGCCAGTTGTCAAGTCCTTTAGACTTCTGGGCAGCAATTTTTTCAATGAGTTCCAATCGGGACGTGCCAGTCAGAAGACCAAGGTCTATGATGCCAATGTCTTGGAAACTCCTGACCACCATGAGGGCAGTTCGTCCTTGGAGTCAGGACACACTGAGCGTGCTTTTCACGCCTTTTCCGAGGACTTTGAGCCAGAGCTTGACCAGGATTTCATTGATGCCATGATTGCTCAGGAAGACACTGATGCTTTGACAGTTTCAACATTCGAAGGTGAATTTGAGGAATTTCTGCAGGAGACGCCAGAGATGTTTGATGCCTTGACCAGTTACATCGAGGCCAGATCCAAACTGGTTGAGAAACGCAAGAGCCGTGGGTTTTGGCCCGTCAAAGGCAAAGGAAAGGCCAATAAAGGCCGTGGGAAAAGTTTTGGAAAGCGATCCAAAGATCGAGATGCCTTGCTGCAACGCATTTCCCGTAGCCACTGCAGGCGATGTGGCGCACTTGGCCACTGGAAGGCAGAGTGCCCTCTGAATTCCAGTGACAAGAACAGTGCTCCTTCAACCTCAGCCTCAGCCAATGTCGTGTTTGATGAGCGCCCCAAGGAGATTTTCCATGCCGAAGACACCGTGGATGAAGTGATCTCTGAAGATGAATACGAGATGCCCAGCACCGAAACCTGCACGCAATCATGTCCTGCCGAAGAAACATGTTTCATGCTGAGTCATGAGGGTAGGATAATGGGAGTAAATAATCTGAGTAATCGTATGGCAAGTTTCAATAAAAGGGTTTCCAAGTTGACTCATGCTCATGCCAGTAGATCCAATCAGGGTCTGCAGCCCAACATGCCCAGGAACAGCCGTGAGTGTGAAGAGACTGCTTTCGTTCGATGCCGATTCAAGCATTTTCACAGTGCCGAGTCACAAGCATCCGAGCATGTTTATAGCAGTTTGGAATCCTTCAGCACCCATGCGATTCTTGACACCGGCGCCAGCCGTTGCATCATTGGAGAAAAAACACTGATCAAGCTGAAGCAAGCCTTACCTGAATGTTTGAGGGATCGGTTTCGCCAGAAAGACAGCCAAGTGAAGTTCCGTTTTGGAAACAACCAAACTCTGACCAGCATGTATGCAGTACAGATCCCCCTCAAACATCAAGGGTCCAAGAAGCTATGGTTATCCGTAGAAGTTGTGCCTGGTCAGACACCATTTCTCTTTTCCAAGCGTGCTTTCAAGATGTTGCAGGGTACTTTGGACTCCCACCGAGATGAATGTTTCATGCATAGGGTGCAAAAATCTCCTATTCAGCTGGCCACCAGTCCTACAGGTCTGTATCTCATCAATTTGATCGACATTTGCCCAGGTGAAGAAACAGCCTTTTTCCAGTCACAAGTTCCAAAGACATCGGACGAAGTCAAGGGGATTAGTTCTAATGGGGATATGTTAGAGCTCAACATAAATAAAAATAGCATAAGCCATGGGGACCGTATTGATGGGGATAATCAATGCCGTTCAGCAGCCAAAGCAGAGACTCAGAGGTTTCAACGAAGCCGAAGTTTTCGCTCAAAGAACCCCCCCGCTGAGTCAAACAGCAGATTTGTGCAGCACCATCACCATGCCACCGATGGTCAGCATGCTCAAGTCGATCGCGGAGGCCATAATCAACCTCTTGACGCTCCTTCTCCAGATCCTGGTCCATCAACTGGAGAAACAAGAAGTGATCGTCGAATCAGAAGCTCAGAACGATCAAGAGCTCCATGCAAGCCTTCACGAGATGATGAACCAGATCAATGTGCAACGGGCCTCACTGGAAGCCTTGAAGGGAGAGATCGTGGCCAAGAAGACCAGTCCCAAAAGGGGCATTCCGACAGCATCCATGTCTGCCGGATCAAGTCCACCCATCGAGGATTCAGTGGCAATGGTTCCAACACAGACCAAGAATGTGGTTCAACGCCGATCCAAGGCACCATCAATGACTTCACAAGCCCCCAGCTGGGAAGAAGTCGAGGAGATCGAGGAGGTCTTTGTCCAGGAGACCGTGAATGTGGTCCCAGTGAGCCGCGGATCCAATCGCGGGTCCTTGCCGGCGCCTTCACCGCCGACTCTTCCCCTGCCAGGAAATTTGTCCCTGGCGGAGTGGGGAACGAATGTGATCGAGTTCGGTCGGAAGCACAAGGGGAGAACGTTTGCCGAGGTCATGGAAAAGGACCCAGGGTATCTTCGATGGAGTCTTGCCAGGTACCACAGCTTGATGCCGGAACATCAAGATTTTGTTCGTTACGGACAGCTGTGGGAACGCGAGATCGGCCAGGGAATTTAGATAGATCTGAGTTCCACAAGGAAGTGACACACATGAAAAGCCACTTGCAAAACAGTGTCAAGATGTTTTCAACTTTCAATCTTCCTGACAATATTGACCAGACCATTTCCAAGCTTGAAGAATCAATCAACATTTCTTCTACTACCATGACCCCTTCATCCAGAATTGTGTGTTTGGAAGTCTATGCCAACAACAATAGCCCTCTCACTGATGCTATCAAGAACCTTGGGTATTCAGCCATGCGTTTTACGAAACAAGATGGAGACCTCTCTACCTTTGCGGGCCGTCAGAAATTGTGGAACGTGATCGAGAAATTCCAGCCGGAGCATATCTGGGTTGCACCGGAATGTGGACCATGGGGAGGATGGAATCACCTAAATAAGTGCAAGAGCCCTGAAATGTTTGACAGAATCCAAGAAAAACAAGATCAACAGATGCCCCATGCTCGCTTGTGCGTCAGGCTGTGTCAGTACCAAACCAAATTAGGGCGACATTTCCACATGGAGCAGCCTGCCGGATCCGGTCTTCCACTTCTGAAAGAACTGACACCGATTGTGTCAAGGACAGCCAAGGCTCGTTTCGACATTTGTCAGTTTGGCTTGCGCATTCCTCAAACCAACAGATTTCTTCGAAAAGGGAGTCAGTTGTTGACCACTTCAAAACAAATGTTTCATGCATTGCACGGTCAGAGATGTGCAAACCAACACTCTCACCACCGTATCGAAGGGAGTGTCAGCATCCGAGGTTTTCGACAGCGGCTGACCAGCTTCTGTGCAACCTATTGTACAGGTTTTGCCCGCGTGATGGCCAGGAACATTTGTTTTTCTCCACATGTAGCCATAGGTCCTGATGAACATGCCATGGTATTTCATGATGAAGAAGATGAGAGACCGAAGAAGAGAGCCAAAGTAGAGCAAGGTCGTTTCAAGCGACAAAAGACCATGCATGAAAGATCCGAAAATCCAGAAATGCCATCCAGCAGTGATAACCTCGTTCCTGACCCGGCACTTGGGGATCCGAATCCCGTGCATGAATCTGCAGAGACAGCCCCACTAGCTTCTGATGCGTCCGTACCATGGAAGCCAGTTTTCGATGATGTTTTGCGGATTGCAAGCCGTGTGGGCAACACCCGATGTTCCGCAGATTCAAATGCTTGGAGGTTGGCACAAGAGATTGTGAAGCAGTCCATTAGGATCACTGACATGTTTGTTTGTCGAGGCACTGAACGCTTTCAAGTTCCCTTGCAAGCACCACCATCAAGCCAATTTCCTCTGAGGTATTCTATCAGCATGCACCGAGAAACATCGGTTATTCATGACTTAGGAGTAGAAGATTGGCATCAGATTACTCGAGCACAAAGAATCCGAAAGAGCATTCCCAGCAAGTTGACCATAACTCTTTTTGGAATTTCACCTGAGCATGAATCTGCACCTGCGATAGTCCCTGAAGAAAAGCCTGATGAGCCCAGAGATGGATGCGAGCCATCTCCAGCTGTCCGCGCAACCGGAAGTCACGATCTTCCAGTAGCTGTGCATGCCCGAACTAGCAATGTTGTCTGCGAAGGCTGGGCACCTCCTCCAGTGCCCTTGCATGGTCCCAAGTTTAGATTGTTGAATGAACATGAGAAACAAGACCTTGTGAAACTGCATAAGAACCTGGGACATCCCAGTCCTTTGACGCTATCACAACATTTGCAAGCCACTGGAGCCGCCGAGCACATTGTGGAAGCTGCCAAAGAATACATCTGTGACCCTGTGTGGAGACCACTCGATTCCATCACCAGCGTCCTGCGAAACTTCATGAACCCAAAGAATTTAATGATCTGGTAGGGATTGATGGTTTCTTTTGGACTGGTCGAGCCGGTTTTCAAGTTATGGTTTTTCACTGTGTGGATGAGGCCTCATTGTTTCATTTGGGTCGTCGCATATCCAACAGGCATTTGGAGCATGTGATTCCAGCTTTCCTTGATATGTGGTCTTCATGGGCAGGCCATCCTCTGAGTATCTACTCAGACCCAGCCGGGGAGTTCCGAGCCGACCAGTGGCTCACATTTTTGCAGGAGCAAAGCATTGAACCTCGCGTGTCAAGTGAGGCCTGGCAAAAAGGGAGAGTTGAGAGACATGGACAGATCATCAAGACCATGCTGGATAGATATGATCAAGAGAAAATAATCAGTAATCCTCAAGAACTTGATGATGTGCTTCGTTCATGTTTCCAAGCCAAGAACGCCTTGTCTCGGCACCAGGGATACTCACCAGAACAAATCGTGCTGGGAAAATCAGCCAAATTGCCAGCATCTTTGACTTCAGATGAACAAGTATCAGCTCATAGCCTTGCCGATGGTTCATCCCTGGAGTGTGAGACTTTTCGGAAAAGCCTTGAAATCCGCTCCCGAGCCAGAAAGATGTTTTTGCTTGCCGACAACGATGCGGCTATACGCCGAGCCATCCTCAGGAAGTCAAATCCCCTTCCCGGACCGTACAGTCATGTACTGGAGAAAGAAAAATGTTGGGGGCAGACGGGAAGCAGGAAGATGGCACGGTCCTGGCCGAGTCGTGTGCCAAGATGGCTCCTCTACCATATGGGTCTCACATGGAGACCGCCTGCTCAGATGCGCACCGGAAAATCTGAGACCTGCGTCCTTGCGTGAATGGAATGGGACGTCAGAGTCTCTCGACCAGAGAGTCCAAGAAGTAAGACGTGAGATTGATCATGACACCCAACAACTCAATAACTCTTCCCATAACAATATTCCACCAGAAGATGACACTTATACGCCAGGCACTCCCATTCCTTCACATGACATGCCCAACAGTCATCAGACCAGCATCCAACCAGAAAGCGAAGAATTTCCAGAGTTTCCAGAATCAGGCTCAAATACCCCTATTCATACTCCTCAACATGATAATAATAATCAACCCTTAATAGATCCATCTACCGACTTCAACATTGAAAATGCCATTGACCTTGACCCAGATATTTCCACAGCTGACGTTCCACGAAGTGAGCATCAAGTTTTGACTTGCCATGCACTAGATGACCTGACGGCTGAACAGCCTCTACTGGAGTGGGAATCCTTTCTTCCAGGATCTTCAACACTGGATGTTTGTTTAGCTGAAGACGGCATGCCATATGTTGATGAACCTTTGATGCCTCATGAAAATCAATGTTTTTATCTTGAAGTGCCCATGTCCCGACAAGACATTTTGCAATGGTCACAGAGCACACATCCAGAAGAGTTGGCACAGATTGCATCAGCAAGCAAACGTGCCCGTGCTGAAGTGCAACTCAAAGATCTGAATAGTGATGAAAGAAAGCTGTTCTCTGAAGCCAAGGAAGCTGAACTGTCATGTTGGTTACAAACCAGCGCCTTGAAGCCAGTGCTCCGGAAACATTTGAATCCTGAACAGATTCTCAAGTCCCGATGGGTTCTTACTTGGAAGAATGTTTCAGAAGGAGAAGGTGCTTCTGGAAGTCGTAAGGCCAAGGCCAGACTGGTAGTCTTGGGTTACCAAGATCCTCGACTTACTGAGGTCAACAGGGATGCACCCACACTGACTAGAGAAGGTAGACACACCATACTCCAGTTAATAGCATCTCAGCAATGGATCCTGACATCTTTCGACATTAAAACTGCTTTTCTTCGAGGTAAAGCTGACAGTGACAATCCACTTGCAATGGAACCACCAAAGGAACTCAGAAGTAGAATGCAATTGAAGGACGATCAAGTGTGTGCTCTCATCGGCAACGCTTACGGTCGAGTTGACGCGCCTTTGCTTTTCTACAAAGAACTTTGTAATCAACTTCAAAACCTAGGGTTTAAAGTGCATCCTTTGGAACCGTGTGTATATTACCTGGAATCTTGGAATGGTGATCAGAGAGTTCTTCATGGAGTTCTCGGTACTCACGTGGATGATGGTATATGTGGCGGCGACTCATGGTTTCATTCCCGTATTGAACTTTTGCGAGAACACCTGCCTTTTGGATCATACAAGCAACGAAAGTTTGTCTTCACTGGGATTCAATTAGAGCAACTGCCGGATTTCAGTATTCGTGCAAATCAAGGAGACTACATCCATGCCATCCCATGTATTGAAATAGGTAAACACCGAAGAAACCAGATTCAGGAACCCATCACTGAATCAGAAATGACTTGCCTACGTGGGCTTATTGGTAGCCTCCAATACGCTACAACTCATACCCGACCGGACATGTCAGCCAAATTAGGGGAAATCCAAGTCCAACTGTCGAAACCAACAGTATCCACCCTACTTGCGGCAAACAAAGTTCTGCGAGAAGCTAAGGAGACCAGTGACGTGAACATATGTTTCAGGTCCATCCCACCTAAGGATGTTACCCATGTGGTATTCGGTGACGCGTCTTTTGCAAGTCCAAAGCAGCTAGCCTCATTTCAAGGAACAATGGTGTTTGCAACAAATCCTTCACTTCAGGAGAACCTCAAGGCACCAATCAGTCCATTATCATGGTCTTCCAAAAAGATATCAAGAGTAGTGCGATCGACGTTGTCTGCAGAAGCCTTCTCTATGTCCCGTAGCGTGGATAAGATGGGATGGTGTAGACTCTTGTGGGGCACTCTGGTAGTTCCGGGATTTCAATGGCGAAGTCCACCAGACGCATTTCGTCAACTGCATGCAGCAATCATTGTGACAGATTGTAAGTCCCTATATGATCTTGTGAGCCGGCGAGCAATGCCAAGTTGCGAGGAATATCGAACAACATTAGAAGTTTTGCTTATCAAAGAACGTTGCTTGGAACATTGTTTTTTTAGATGGATACCAACAGCTCTTCAACTGGCTGATCCTCTTACGAAGAATATGGATGCCACTCTTCTTCGTGCTGCCTTGGAACAGGGGACTTTTCAACTTTTCGATGAAGCTGCGAGCCTGCAGGCGAATGCCCATAAGAAGCAAGCCATCCAATGGCTACGTGAATCACATCAACAGAGTTTTCAGGGAGTGTGATTTCAGTATCAACTGCCTCTTGATGTGATTCTTGCTGAAGGTTGCATATGAACTCATGCGGTACCATCCGTGGGTGCTATGGCCCAAAGCACCACGTGGTGGGTAGGGCTGAGGACTTAGCTGTCGGACGGCTATGGTGTGCTGAGCGGGTGACAAAGAGCTGCGTGTGATTTCTGGTGTGGGACACCTTTCCAATTTCTGGTGACCGGATCACTTTACAATTTCATCTGGATTTCATCTGACAGGGTCAGAGCATTTGCTTGTTGGTGATTCTTCCGTTGCCAGTGTATTTACAATTATTATATATATAATATCAAGGCCCAACCGTTACAGTACAGCACATAGATTTGGATTCCATGTCAGCTTTGGTCGCATTTTTGATTGCTCATGTGACTACTGTATCTACTGTGGTCAGGAAGGCTAGTACCTTTCACAGGAAAAGGATGAATCTATTTTGCAGCACGTAGCCAACACCCTCTTGTTGAGGAGAGCAAGGAGAGCAACAGGTCTTTGCAGTAGAAAAAGAGAATTGGATTCATTCCTGATCAGATTTGACATCGATCGTAAAGAATTTTAATTGAATGGTCTGATGGCTCTACTGAATCAGGTAAGCCGTTTCTCGATACTACCTTCCGCAGCCTTGTCAGATGGCGATCAAGAGAGAGAAAGCAGAGAGAGAGAGAGAGACAGAGACAGAGACAGAGAAAGAGACAGAGACAGAGAGGGAGAGAGAGAGAGAGAGACAGAGGGAGGGAGGGAGGGAGAGAGAGAGAGAGAGCGAGAGAGAGAGAGAGAGAGAGAGAGAGAGAGAGAAGAGAGCAGGAGAGAGAGAGAGGACACACAGAGAAGACAGATAGAGGACAGATAGAGAGAGAGAGAGACAGAGATAGAGATAGAGACAGATAGAGACAGATAGAGAGAGAGAGAGAGGGAGAGAGAGAGAGAAAGAGAGAGACACACAGAGAGACACACAGAGAGACAGATAGAGACAGATAGAGAGAGAGAGAGAAGGGGAGAGAGAGAGAGA